TCAAAACGCGATTGTTCTGTATAATTTTTACAATTAGTGATTATTAATTTGTACTATTTTTATTTACACAGTGAGTGGCGTGTTTTGATTTTGATTTTAATTAATGTCGAGTAAGTCATAACTTTTTGAGATATATTGCATTATTATCACGTAGCAAAACGCAACAAAAGGCATGGTGTAACGTCGCGAGTGTACAAAGCGTAAATTGCTGTATGATCGTATGCTGATTAGTGCGTAATTATTTGTTTTAAATATTAAGTGAATATCATAAAGCAGAAAAAAATAAATGAGAGAAACGAAAAAAATAACTCATTAAACGCATCGAGCGAAACAATCGTAAGTAATTTATAATTTATTTTATTTTATTATATTTATTATTTGTGGAATTAATTATTTGCTTTTATCTTTAACAATAATTTATTTCACCAATGTGAAATATTAAAATATTCTATATGTATATATAAACTTTAAATTATATAAAATATTAAATGATATTAATATACATAAATATAAATAAATAAATAAATAAATATATATATATATATATATATATATATTTAATATTATGTAAAATTAATAATGATTAAAATAAAAAAATAGATTTTCGTTTATAATATTCCATGAAAGTACATATATTTAAAAAAGAATTTAATTGCATGTAATAATTTTCCTAAATCTTAATTATTTGCTTTATTACCACTTTGTGTATGATTTGAATTTATTTCTATTTAATTATATTTACTGAATACTATAATTCTGTTGTTCCGCATTGTATCGATGAGAATTAATTTATTTTTATTTCATACAAAATTTAAATATCTTATCGTATTCTTATCGTTTATGTATGTAATCATTTCTGCATAAATCCACTTAGTATCTCGGAGTAAATTTAAAATTTGTTCTCCTCTTTAATAATAAATCTCCATTTTACGCGAATGGTGATTCGCGAATCTACCAATTTATCTACTGTATTGGTAATATCAAATATAACACGAAAAATTCGGTTAGCTCTCATGTCCAACAATTTCATATGTATACGATAAAAAAATATAATTATTGACTATCACGAAATATTTCTAAATATCTAATTATAATTATATTTATTTCTGATTATACTTTTTGTTTCTCTTTTTGTCTTTAATCATTTTAATTTTAAAAAGAATAGATTTATATATATATATTTTTTTTTTTATATATTTTATATATATTTTATATATATTTTTTATATATTTTTATATATATTTAAAATCATATTTTTCGCGTAGCTTTTTCATTCACGAAAATTATTGCGTGATTAAACAAAGTTATATTTCTATCTTTTACGTGAGGTAAACAAATTGGGTTCCATAAATATACTAACTTATCTATTTTCCAATCACTCGTTTAACGATCGAAGAAACAAATAAGAATTTCGAACATTTACGTTTGTTTATGAAAAGAGAAAATAATTAACATATATAAATCTTTTTCATATATAAATTTTTTATATAAATAATTTTATATAGTTGATATATATAAACTTTCTCCATCATCTTTGAGAGAGTCTATCGCGTTTTTCTAAATCTTTTTTTAAATCGAAAATGAAAAATTAAAATTAATATTCAAATCTATAAATTTAAATCGACTTTTGATGTCTCGGTTAGTCTTTATTTATCTAGTTTGGATAATTGCTAATTATATAAATCTACTATCGAGAAAATGAAAAAATGATAAGCAATATATCTATTTTGAAAATAATATATAATATAAATAATAAATAATTTTTATAAATTACTCACCACATATCTGGCTGCTTCAGGCTCTGTCACTGCTCTCCGGCTGTCCAATACTTTTTTAAGATGTCCTTCTCCTTTCTTTTTCATTCTTTGCTGTTTCCTCGTAGCACTAATATTTACTCACGAACAAACAATTAATTATATTTAACCATGTACAGAAACGATTGCGAGACACTTTGCATAACACTCCCGATCGCGGAATAATTACGAGAAACGCACTTTAATATATCGTATCTCATGTTGTTGGCGCGCGATACTTTGACGACACTCCCGCACTCGCGAGCGATATCGCTATTTTCGTTATTTTACGCGCGATACTGAACGGCATTCCCGCACTATTTCGATGTCATTAAAAATTTTATATTTGATCGCGCGATGTATATACTTATATGTATATAACTTTAACGGCACTCCCTAATATACCTAAACGCGACGCGTTGACGAAGCGCTTGCCGTCCGCGGCACGTTAACGGCATCGACGACGCGAAAGGATACTTAGCTTCCCATTCAGGTACCTTAAGATTTATCATAAATTGAAAAATTTAAGATAAACCTCAAGGCATCGTCCAGGTACTAAGCCCTCCCACCGCGACAAGGTGTACCCCATGGGAGGGTTATATTATATTATATATAATTTTATATATAATATAATATATAAGTAATTTTGTAATATACTATATAAATTTTAATTCGCAAATATAAACGATAAATAAAAATATAAAAGATAAGAGAAAATCTATTATATAAAGCAATGTTCAAAATAATTGTTAGAGAAAGAATTTGATAATATATGGAACGTCTCACATCACTACCTCACTGCTCGAAGGCCATTGAGGGAATGATTGTAGGTCAGAAACATTACCGCGGTAATGCTTATATTGCCTATGTAGAGAGAGAATTTGATAATATATGAAACATCACTACTTTATTGTTCAAGGTTATTGTGCGAATGATCTCGTAAGTCATAAAACGTCGTTGAAATATTCTATAAGTGATTGCCGATTAAGAAAATTTAAAGCATTGATCGAAATTTATTTAATTTTAATAAGTATCGTTAGAGAAATTATTATAATAAGTATTAATAATCGAAAGATCATAATAAAATTGATTTCTTTATCCTCTTTTATGTTTCCTTTTTCAATTTTTATTCGCAGTAATTAATGATTGCGATTCGATAAAGATTTATCGTTGCGATACAATTTCATGTCGTTTGTCATAAATTAATTAATTTATAATTATTAATAATTATATCAAATTATGTTTCGATACTAATTTAAACTGTATTTAGGAAAAATATTTGATAATATGCGAAGCGTTTCGAACCATTACTTTATTGCTCGAGTGTCACCGTGCGAATAATAACGAAGCCGTGACATATTAACAATAGCGCGCTATTGTTTATATTGCCAAAATCGAACAATGTGTTATCGATAATTCGTTATCGAAATATTTTACGTACTATAATATATACTGTTATACATGAAAATATTAAATTGTAGAAGTTTTTCAATTTATAGATTAATTAAACAATTATTTATTAAACAATTAATTAACATACGAAGCATTTCCCATTGTTACTTTACTGTTCGAATGTCACTGAACAAATGATAGCAAAACCGTAACGTACAAACAATAATACGCTATTGTTTATGTTATCAAAGTCGAACATAATGTTATTGATAATTCGTTGTCGAAATATTTTATATACTATAAAACAATTTATTGATTAAAATTGATTATTTATTAAACAATATTTATCACGGAGCCTTTTTTAATGTTAATTATTTGCATCTATAATTCGATTGTTTTACTTCGTGTTCTCTCACAATCCCCCCCTCCAATTATATTTAGATTGTCAAGTAGAATAATAAAGTAACACGGATGGAATATATTTGTGACTCTAAATATTAAAATAATAATTATTGCTCGTAAAGATTGCAAACATCGATGTGATTATTTAATATTTTGTATTCCTTTCATTTTATCGATTCTCGATTAAATTGTATATTGTTTAATTAATAAGGATTGAGAATATTTAAAGCATTAATTGAAATATATTTAATTTTAATATTGTTAAGGGAATGTCATTATAATAAGCATCAATATGATCAAAAGATCATAATATATTTAATTCTCTTGTCTCCTTTCATGTAATCCCTGTTTCAATTTTTATTCGCAGTAATGAATGATTACGATTCAATAAGTATTTATCGTTGCGATACAGTTTTATTTTTCGTTTATCAAAAGTTAATTAATTTTTAATTTTTAATTATTAATATTTATAGCAAATTATGTTTCGATATTAATCATAATAGTGTTTAGTACAAAAATTATAATATATATATAGTATATAATATAATGTAACAATGAAAGATTTTTTACGCATTTGGATGAATTTTTGTTTCGACTTGGAACATAATTGAGCATCGTCTCTTTGAAAAATTAAAATTTTAATTAGTATACTTCATTTTTTTTATTTACTTAAATAAAAATTGAACTCGCGTTCCATGTTAATCACTTTTACATATATGTATTGTGTATATATAAAACTTTTATCATTTTTATACATTTATATATTTACATTATATGAAATATGAAATATACTTATATATATATATTTATACTTATACATACATACAATATTAATATACATACATATAATATTATACTATACAATAACAATTATTTATACTATATAATAATACTTAATTATATTATACAGTAATAGTAATATTAATAAATATTATTATTTTGTTTTATCATGTAATAATGAAGAAATTTGTCAAAGTATACGGTTTGTAAAAGTATGTCAGCTTACGTTAATGCAATAAAAATTATTTCGTTCTAGTATAATTTTTAATTATAATTCATTTTTAACATGAATGATATGATACTAAAAAAGATTATTGAACTTAATAATATTACAATTGTATTCTAGAAGGATGATACTATATTTAATATAAACTTGATTGTTTTAAAATTTAAAGATGTCATAAAATCATCGAATAATTAAAACTATAATTACTAGTGAAAGATACATATTATACATCGTTCTTTGTTTGATGAATGTTTTTGTAGATTTTTTAAAAAAGAAATTAAATATTTGCACATTCTTCGAATACGTTTAAGTATCTCGTTAAATTTGTTACGAACAATTATTATAAAAGTTATGTTAGTCATATTTTAACATATAAGAATAATATTTAATATCAATGTTAATCCACGACTGTATAAAACCCATAAAATATGCCACCAAATATACATAATTGCACATTATGTACATTTTTATTATATAAGATGTATATTTTAAAAAAGTGCTAAAGAAAGTAACTAATATTTATTTCGCCAAAGCAAATCCTATTCGATCATTCTCCATATCAAACTCGGTGTAGTAACGGCCAATAAATGGAACGCCTAGAATCCACTCGACTTCACGCGAGTCCAATCCCACAAAGCGGCTTATACAAATAGTATTACCATTATCTGGCAACTGTACAGAATTAAATATACAATGTAAACTTCTCTTATATATACTTACATATTCTTCTTTTCTTGTATATATTTAATTTAAATAATTTACATATAGTACTCACCTGAATGATGTAATCTTCACCGGTAAGATTGAATGCCTTACCACCCAAAATAAAACTAATTGTAGGCAATAGATCAATTCGATGGCAGTTCACCTTTAAATAAAAGAAAATACCAAGTTAGTATACAGAAAAAAAGGACATTCTTGTTTTAAAAATATATTTAGTTTTAACATGGAAATCTTGAAATGAGATTATATTGCGTTAATTTAAGAAAAATATAATTGCGTGAATAATTGCTTACTTGAAACCATTTTATATAGTTCAATCAAGAAAAATATATTCTTATGATTTAATGTTTAATTTTTTTGAATGGAAAAGAAACAATGTTAGATAGAAAATAATATTTTTAAATCAAAGCTTATAATTTTTTTTGAAGTAGAATTAAATAATTATATATTCTTGAGATGAGAATTACAGTATTAAAATAAGACTATAATATTGTTAAAATTTAAAATTATTAAATTCTTCTAAGAAGATTATAAATTGTTACGTATATACGAAATAATGAACGCGTTAGTTTAAGTATATAAGTTTTGATTTGACTTATTTTTTTTCTGTGTAATTAATAATATTTGTAAACATATTAAATATATTTAATTGGAACGTGGATTAATGTCGTTGTTCCATAGAAGATTATGTATCATGTATTTGAACGCACTAATATTTATTTTTATCACTATTATCAACTTCTATAATTTATTTATCAAAGCCTACATGCTTTGTGAAAGATATGTTCGTTTACTTACTCTTTCCTCTCCATTAATATTAACAGTTCCAATAAGGTCATTAATAAATACGATATGTTGTTTTGGTCCAACTATTGCATCAGCACTTACATCAGCGACAGCTTGACAGTTTTCATCGCACAGATTAATATAACTTGCTATGATCCTACAAAGCGATAACATTAATAATTTATTGAAACGTTATTAACGTAGTTTAAGAAATAACATACTTATCCAATGTAAATTGCCAGTATCCTTTGCGACTAACAGGAATATATGTGAAATCGCCCTCGTAATGAGTAGGATCGGAACCACCCAATATTAATTCACCACCATTTAATGCGTCTGAAAAATCTCTGCATAAATTGCATATTTTTTATATCATTATATATCATTATATCATTATATCATTATATATGTACGTGTGTGATAATTAAGATTAATAATATTTGATATAGAAGTATAAATATTACGTTAATGTAAAAAGTTATAATAATAAAAAAATAAATAAATAATAAATTTAATTTATGTTAATATTAAAATAAATATAAATACACATAAAAATATTATATATATATATATATATATATTTATATGTATATTTATTTATAAATTTATATGTAATATTTACATTTATTAAGAATTCTTGCTTAGAGATATGTGTTGTTCATAAGTAGAAAAAATATATACCTATTTAGATAAAAACTGAAAACAGGTGATGACACTAGACCTTGTTCAATTATGTTGTTGAAGATAAATATTCTTCCATTGACAGATGTGTTGGAATAACCCAAGCCCAAAATACCATCATATATGTGAAGATCAATTGGATACACTGATACGTTAGTCGCTTCTGCAAACATTTGATTCTGAACACTGAGGTTGGCAATCTATAATAAAATTGATAATGAAATAATATAATGTTATCGCCCCACAAAAAAACAATATGGTTGCTTAAGAAATGTTTGAATTATGATTATATATAGTTGTAACTGAGTTGGATTGTTAAATATAGTTGTAACTGAGTTGTTTGTTTAATGATGACTTACTTTCACTATGTCAGTAGATAGAAATCCTTCCATACCGGCATTAAAGTTTTTTATATGAATCGAAGTACCATTTGCTATATGTGTGCTGGATTCGGCACTATTATATTGATTATGGTTTACTATAAAGCATATTCGATAATATCATAAATTAGTAATATTAGAAAGATTTTAAAATATAAAAATATTGTCTTATTAATCTATAATAAATATACAATATTTTTTTCAAATTATTATATACGTATATGTAAATGTGTTTGTTGAGTTAATTCTTTCATCTTTGTTTGTCAAAACTCGTTTACATCTTCATAAATTAGTAATATTAGAAAGATTTTAAAATATAAAAATAAAAATATTGTCTTATTAATTTATAATAAATATACAATATTTTTTTCAAATTATTATATACGTATATGTAAATATGTTTGTTGAGTTAATTCTTTCATCTTTGTTTGTCAAAACTCGTTTGCATCTTTAGAGAATGAACGTGATAAATTGTTTAAATTAATTTATGCGGATAATTAATTCGCGTTAATTAAATAAATATATATATTTTTTTTTTATAAAAATCATGTTAAATAGCTTAAAATATTATTTTCGCGGTACTTAATGAAGAAGTACATATCAAATAAAATTCACTTTGGTCCCTCTCATTAGAGTGATAATATGTATATCTGTGAGTCGCCCAATTTAATGCATGGTTACATAATAGCTGGCGCTCGATTCGGATTTGTTTGTCTAAAGAATAGTACTGATTAGATGAAATTTAATTAATTGATAATTAATATATATATATATATATATATATATATATATATATATATATATGTTTGTACGAAACTATATATTGTTGCATAACTATATATATTGTTGCTTATATCTTTATATTGCATATATAAACAAATTACTTACAACAAGCAGCCGAGTTGCACTTTTTAGACGGGATCCAAAGATATGGGGCCCGAATATCAAATATTACTGTAAATTCTTGCGGCGGAGTTCCAATAGTAATAATGCCACTGTAATATATGCTTAAAAAATTGTACAAATGTAATGAAGGACGATGATCATTTAACGAACGAACTTCTCGCAAGTTAGTGCCAACTTTTTTCAAAGATTGTAGAATGGAATTCCTCTTGTTGTGTAATAAAATCCTTGAAATAACATAAAAAGCATTCTGTGATGTATATGTGTATATATTTAAAATTGTATATGTATAAAACATATATGTATAAAACAAATATTTGATATGACTGGCAGATATTTCCAGAATAAACATAAACTACGCAAGGCTACACAAATTTGAACATCTCAGAAATTAACTATATATTACATATTTACAATATAAGTATACGTTATGCATTTAAATATAAATATATTAAAAACGTTTATTAACTCGATAATTTTTCTAAATTATATACGATTTTCACATTGCATATGCATATATGTATCTTTAAAGTAATATTTAACTTGTCTTTTAAATAATCTTTTAATTAATCATTATACCTTAACGAATATTGATTTTTAGTTAATGAAAATTTTGCATATAATTTTACACAAAGAAATAATATAAAAACAAGTAACTGTATCACTTATTAAAAATGAGATATAGAAAAATATAAAGCAACTCATTATACCTATAGTTGATTTCCTATAGTTGATTACTAACGCGTGAAAAAATAGTTTACAATTAAACGTTTTGATGACCCCAATCGCGATATTATATTTATGTTATGGTCGTCATTTAAATGTAGATAAAAACAAATGGACAAAAGTGAACGTTACGAAAGAACAAAGAATCACTTTTTCAAAAATATTCTTTTTTTATCTACTCTTTGACTAATAAATCAAAATACACATTTTGACCAAAATTGATTTTTATATGGAAGCATTAATTACATTTGCACAAGTTATACGATTAATCTAAGAAATCGGATGCTAATACGAGAAAAAAAATCGATTCTATAATCTCGATATTTATCATGCCAATATATAATACAATAAAATATATACCTGTGTAATTGTGCGTCGATCATCATAAAGAGCACCGTTACTACCATAAAAAGGCGAAACATATTTCCGATTTTATTTATTACCGAAGTTTCGATTCAAAAATTTGAACGACGAGTTTCTTTCGATACTTTATGACCGGGTACACAGAAAAATAAAGTGTTGTCCCTCACTAATATTCCTCTTACACTGTCGATATTCGATATTCGATAGCGTTATATATATATATATATGATCGCTCGTGCCTCTATGTTAAATGCTTGAATAGACAGAGAACGCGCAAAACATTCGAAAAACTCTGATAGAGATTTTCATAAATTTAAATATTTTTTCGATAAATTTAAATATTTACATAATTATTATTTAATTTAAATATTTTCATGATTAATAAAAAGCAATTTTTTTGAAAGAGAGAGAATATATTGTTTATATTGATTAGATAGATAATCATGCATCATTAACTTTACAATAGATAATTTGTAAAAAGTAGTATTTAATTCATCAACACTTTTTTGATCCAATTCTGTGCGAATAAATTATATAATTAGAAATCACTTTATTTGATAAAATCTTGAGGTTTTTAAGAAGAAAAGGAAATATACATAATCTTGAAATATATATTTGAATATCCATTAATTTCATAACTTTTGCTATGAATAACTGGTTAGTTTAAAGATAATATTAATATGGATATTTTAGCTCAAGGTAATCTACAAAACTTACAAATCTATACTATATAGAGTTTTCTTTCATCATATAATATGTAAATTTGAAGAAAATACAATAACACGAAATTTTGTCTGTAAATGTGCAAACGAAAATCTATAGATTAAGCCTCTTATGAAAAAAATTTTGCAAAGTTTCAAATTTGTTGTGCATAAAGCAATCTCCTCAAGTTTTTTTTATATCTTTTTTTCTCTTTGTGCAAACAAAAACTCAATATTTTTGTTAATTATTTGTTAAACAATTCATCGAAGCCTTTCATTATGCTAATTATTTACGTCTATAATTCAATTGTTTTATTGCATTTTATTATAATCCAAATTATATTTCATTGTCAAGTGGAATGATAAAGTAACACGGATGAAATATATTTAATTCTAAATATCATTAAATTAATAATTATTGTATCTGTAAAGTTCGCAAGGAAACGATTATTTATTATTTTAGATTCTTACCACTTTGATTCTTGATTAAATTGTATACATCGCAAAATATGCATTTTAAGCATTAAATTGTCTAATTAAATGTATTATGAAAAATATTTTATGACATATTAATGTTAATATATCTATTAAACGTTAATATATCTATAAGGTATTCATGTATAAAAATATATATTTTATTTTGTTATTATATAATTTTAAATATTTAAAATTAAAATCTGGAATGTTTTATACATATGTTATATTATACAATAATTTAGAATGTGAATCATTACGAAATGAAAAAAAAACAAGCAATATATCCATTTTGAAATTAATATAAATATGACAAATAATTTGTATATATTACTTATTGCATATGTGTGTATGTATTCTATACGTTGCCTAATACTTTTTGGGACTTCTTTATTTTCTCTTGTATATCTTTCGTAATTTGCTCATGGTCGTTGTTTCCTCTCGTGGCATTCACTCATTCACGAAAACACAATTTAATTATAATTAATTAAATAAGTAGAACACTTTGACGAGACTCTCGATCGAAGTAATCATACAAAATACGCACTTTGTTATATCATAAGAGAGCAACATAACTTTACATAAGATTAAAATCATTCGCTACTTGTTACAACAATGCGTATTATTATTACTAATATACGTATATAGTATACGCTATATAAAATTCGAATATGATCAAAAGATTAAAGTAATGAATGAATTTATGATATAGCAATCGTTTAATTAATAATTAATTTATGTATACATTTTAGAAAATATACATTTTAGAAAAACTTAAAATATTGTATGTTTGACTCTAAGTATTGTTAAATAAAGTAATAATATAATGATAATAAATGCTCTTTTATAAAGATTTACTGTCGCAGTACAATTTCATATCATTCAAAAATTAATTAATTAATAATTAATAATCATAGTTAATCATGCTTAGATATTAGTTGTGATCGCGTTTAGTAAAAAAATCTAACAATTGTATGAAATGTTTGGCATTATTTCATTGCTCGAGTATTGCCGTGCAAATGATAACAAGGTTGCCCTACATAAACAACAATGCTTTCTTCCCTTAAGAAAATCTAAAACTGTTTCAATATACTTCAATATACTGTTTCAATATTATTTTTTTAAGAGCTCTAGCACTTGTTTATACTGTTAATGCTATGTTATTAAAAATTATTTGCCTAAATATTTTACGTACTATAACGTACATGTACATAAAATATTAAATTATAATAAAAATATTTTAAGTTATAAATAAACTATAGACTCTTAAAAATATTATGTCGATATTTGAAAGTCTTAAAAGTGTATTTATTACCTCTTTTTTTCGCAATGATGATTGATTATCTCTATGTCTACTTTGCAAATAGCTATCATCGTGAAGATCGCGTATATAGCCTGACAATTCAACAATGGTAAAAAAATTAAATACATTTGTTTATAATGAACTTCTTTTTTGCTAGACGAAGATTCTTCTCTTTTGAGGTATATTAAAGATTCCCTTTATAACTAAGATTTCCTTTATAATTAAACTTTACAAAACATATAACTATTAATATTTATAATATTTAATATTTAGAAATAAACTAGAATATTTTGTTTTTGTTACTATACTTTATTTTTAATGATGGTTGTGGTAAAACCATATAATAATAGCGATGGCGATCAATTTGACAAATTTATTATTTAAAGAATATTTGTCATTATATTGCAATATAGTGGTGGGGAGGTGGCGGGAATGGTGGTGGTGAATGATGTGTGATTAATATGTATAATAATAAGTAATAATAATACATATTAATAATAGAGAGAAACTACAAAATTTAACGATATTAAAAATATAAAAATAATAATACAAAAATAAAAATATATACAAAATGTCAAAATTAAAAGACGAAAATTTCAAATAATAAAAATTTTTTATTATTTTTTTATTATTTGAGGGGGGAGTGATCCATAATTTATATATTATTATATAACGAAATTCAAAATACAGAGCAATTCTACTTTGTGACATATATTTATGCATACTTTGATATATATTTTATTTAGTTATATAATATATAATACATAGTTTATTACACACACATTTTAAAATATGTATTATGATAACATTTATTTATTTATTTATATTTAACTATCAAAAAGCTGAAAAAAATTATTTTGAGAATACTATCTCATCATAATAAAAAACATAGCTAAATTCATTGATATTTCATCTAGATAAATTCCTAAGAAAATAAGGATATTTTATAAATATTATTGCATGTTATTTAGTTATGGATTTATCGTTAAATCGATAAGCAAATAAGTTACAAAACATGAATCATGATAAAAAATTCATTTGTATTTAACTACTAAACTTTTATGGGTGCAAAATTTGTGATAATTTCGATAGAAATTATTTTAGTAACTGTGATATGAACTTCTATATTCAAAGTGGATAAAAAAATTCAAGTTATCGTAATTCGAAAAGTATTATGACTTGAAAATATTAAACAGGTATTCTAGAATAAGACCAGTAAGATACTTGCATAGGTTCCGCATTACATCTCTCCATTATAAAACAAGATTAAAATAAAATATTTGTCTTACAGAATTTTGTCTCTCGTTCTTTTGGCACTTTGGAATCCTTCCTAAGATAGATCGAACCTAACGAAAAAGTCCGCAAATCTAGTTATAATCTGAACAGCACAATAAAATAAATGAAATAAAATTAAATATGGATATAGTACTTTCCACTATTGAACCTCTAAGAATAAAAATGAAAAACGAAGACCATATTAAAATAATATAAAAATTGTGCAATTGTGATATAAACTTGTTGAATAAGTACGTTTATTCGTGTTTTGGATCGAATGAGAGTGTATGAGTGCGTGCGGTACGAATGAGTGAGAGAGAGAATCGGAATAAGAGAACAAAGGATAAAATTCTTATTACATATGTAAGACTATAATCTAAGAAGTAAAATTAGGAAATAAAGTCCATATTAAAATAATATAAAAATTATTTTAGCAACTCTGATACGAACTTTTATATTCAAAGTGAATAAAAAAAATTCAAATAGATAAAAGCAAATTAAATATAGATATAGCACTTTCACTTTTGAACCTATAAAGATTAAAATTGAAATACAAAATTTACATTAAAATAATTATCGAAATCATCGATTATTTTTCTTATACCAGCAAAAACTTGATAATTAAATACAAATAAACTTTTTTTTATTGTGATATATATTTTGTGATTTATTCATTTTATACTTTCCAATTTCTAGGCCTATAATCAAATGGATATTCTTATATTATAATGCTTTAAAATGTTCTTCTTTTTCAAGAAAAAATTTGTGTAATAAATAAATATAATAATGGTAAATAATAACGCATTAGACCATTAGACCAATATTTTTCATTTCAGTGCATAGGTTCTCAAAATAATTTCAGCGCCTTTTGGCTCTCTTAAAACATGTATCTTTAAATGTTATCATATTAAAGATATAAGTAAATAACTTATAAATAAGACAATAGGAATATTGTTTAAATCGTCTTATGTCTTATTCTATATATTTGATTTACACAATTGAATGAATTGCTATTGAATATTTCTTATTATAAATTAAAATAATTTTTTCATATTTTTTCTTAATCAATTTTAATTTTAATTTTCATGCTTTTTTAACAGATTTAATTTTTAATTTTTTAAAAGATGACATTTTTTAATATATAGCAATATTTTTTTAACATAAATTTATCTCAAATTAAATAAAAAAAAATAAACGAAGAAGTAGATTTTTACTTACAATATCTGATCAGGTATGTTATATTTAGTTTAGTTTAAAATCACATTACTTAATGTTATGCATTTTCTATTTCACTATATTATTGACATTTTAACATGGATTATGATATATTCTTCTGCAACTTTCAATGATTTCTTTTTACACTTGCAATGGTTCTTCCTTGATATCACTTTCTACTTATTTATTTTTTTTTATCATCCATTCACAATCTAATTTTATATTCTCTTGGATATTTTTAATTTTCCTCGTATGTTTTTAAGAAAACTTTGCAATGGGTGATAATTTTCAACCTCGCATAATATTTCGTTTAAGATCCACTAGTACGATAATAATACATTATAATCTGAAATTATAATTTTATACTTTTGATAATCTAACATTGATAATTATTTTTTACTGAAGAGGATCCAGTTGAGGATTAAAACGTTTAAAAATTTGAATTATTTTTTTTATTAAAAACTTCTCGAATTATGTTATTTTTTCTAATTTTAGGAACTTTCAAGATTTCTACTATATTCATAAAATAAATATATGCATATATTAGGACTTACAGCTGAATAGAGATATGTCATGTCATATGAATAGAGATGATACATACCTTATCATAGGAATAGATATTTGCCGTTATTTTATCTTGAGTTGTTACGAGTCACGAAGTCAAATGTGACCCGCGATACTCCTCGACATTCAGAAGAAGCGCTCAACTTATATATACTTAAAGAAGAGAGGAATGTGTGACTTTGACCGATACACGTATCCCCTTTTTTTGCTCCTTTTTTTGGCTGCTTTCTCATCAGCTCTCGACAACTTGTCTTGTTGTTTGGTCAAATCTTGCGTCACTGTTATATCTTTCTTTTTTAATAATGCAATTAATAAAACATTTATTTAATTTTAATATTTTAAATTCTTACATCTTGTTATCCTTGTTTTAATATCTCATAATTTTCGTAATCTTTTCTGATTCTTTCTATATTTCTGATCTTTTCTATATTTTTAAAGTTAAATATTAAAAAATTAATCGCGCGGATTACGACATGGAATTTAAATATTTTTTCAAATGAAATGCACAATGAAAATAAATAATCGAATGAAAAAATAATATATCAAAAAAGATTACGAAAATTATGAAATATTAAAATAGGAATAAGAGGATATATTAAGAAAAATTAAAATTTAAATAAAAGTCTTATATTAATTGCATTACAAAAAAAAATATAATAGTGAAATAAGCTGAGCAAGCAAAAAGAAAAATTAAAAGAGCGGAGGGGATACGAGCTTCGATCAGAGTCATTCCTCTCTCTTTTTAATTAAATATTATATAAAGTGATTCAAAATAAACTGATATTTTTTAAATATCATATTCTTGAATAATGTGTAGTATAGTAGAATAGTAGTGTGGTGCATTAGTGTGATGTAATGTACTATTTGATATGCGTATCAAAAGATTAGTGTAAACTAAGCCCCTATTATATAACTTCCCTCAAAACCCTACCAAAAGTTGAAAATTTAACTTCAAAATGTACTTATGTCTTTTAAATATAATAACTATATTTTTAGATTTGAACTTATTATCATATTGTTATTTTCCTTTAATATTAATTCACATTTGCAATATGTAACTGTATACTTTTTCTTAAAAATAATCTGTTTTCTTTGCATCAATTAATTTATCTCATTTTTCTATGCATAAAAGTATTACGATAAGATTATCGAAAGCTAAATATTTTACGAGATATTTTGTGTCAAAATATATCAAATTAAAATTTATTATCTCATAAATTGTCCAATTTCTAGTTATCTTACGCTTATGACTTTTTATGTAGAAATTTAATATGAATCTATTATGAATTTATTTACATAAAATAATTAAAATAGTTACATTTAAAGAAACTAAGTTATCCTCCAAATCTGCGAAATATGTTAATTAGGAAAATATTATTTGATCAATTTTTTATGTTCTTCTTAAAACTACTGCAACTTTTTTCTGATATATTTTTTTTTAAATCTAAAACAAAAAAATTTAGAAAATAATTAATTGGAACAAATAATAAAATGGGGCACTGTGTATATGTATATACATTCATAGATATAAATATATACATATATATTTAGTCCTTGTATATGGACATATATATATATATATATATATATATATATATATATATATATATATAAATATATCAAGATTGAAAATTTATTTTCTAGCATTAGTAATTAAATCAGAATTTCGTATCGTCGTATTATTATATATTTATTACAATTATATTAATATATATTTTTTAAATGTTTTATTAATTGTTCACGTGTGATGCTTTTTTATTTTAATATCTATTTATCTATAGATAGTGATATAATTATTGAAATATTTTTATATACATGTGTGTGTATGCTCAGGTGTGCAATAAAATAAATTTTCTTAATGTGATTGTTAATTCACAAAAAAGATCTGTAATTATTTTCCTTTTTTTATTATTGTTGTTACAAGAATATTAAATGTATCAAACAATAATAAACTATGCTTTTAATTTATAGTAAATTGACGGATGCAATTGATAAGTTAAAATATTTTTAATTCGATTTGTACGTGAACAAATTCTTAGCAATTATTTTTCTTAAGATTGTTTATTCTTTAATCTTTGACATCTTAATTTGCTTTCTGTTATTTCATTATTAATACAAGCATTATTCTGCAAATATATATAATAATACAATATCCAGCAATAAGTTATGCCAATTGTACAATATATGGAAGTAAATGCTAATGGTAAGAATGGTAATCTGTCACCTAATAATAATTTATGCAATATCATTTCATAAAATGTAATTAATGGCAGTGATATTATGTATAACCATTCATATAATTGTAATAAAGATCTAACATGTTGATTAGTTAAAACTAAAATCGATGAAAGCATATATGTTAATAATAGTAGTAATTTTAATGAAAATAAGTTATCGGGATATAGTAATGGCAAAAGAGCAGTATGTCCAGTACTGTTTAGAATTATGAATATCCGTGCATCTTCTTTGTTTGTTGCTGCGAGAACACTAAAAATTCATTATTAAATTGCATTAGTGTAAGCTTTAATATAAACAAAAATATCTTCTAAAATAATTAAATATTTTATATTATGGATTCAGTACTTACCACAAAGGTATGATTGCGGTTAATATGGCTTTTTCGTGCACATGCCAACCAAACATGAATGAGCTTAAAGCACATAATACAATACATCTGACAAAATATTTTGAATTCATGTAGGATTCTTTACAAAGCAAACACCATAATGCAGGCTGTAATAATATGATATCAATTATTTAATCTTTTATATTTTTAGAGTAGTATATATGAAAAATAAAAAATGTTTAATATATATATTAGAATAGAAATTGTGCAGAATTTAAATTCTCTATAAAATATTTATTATCAGAAATTATATATATATTAATATACATATATAATTGTATTTATATTTAAATATATACATGTGTATGTGTGTGAAAACTTACAAGTATTGCCAAAAAAGTCAAAAGAAATGTAACAATAGGAATTGGAGTAGGTAATATAAAGAAATTCTGCTCTTGCACTAGACCACCTGTCATTACTGCAGCTTTAACATCTTTTAGCCATCCCAAATGTTTCCATATAACAGACAGTATTTTTTCTGCACCAATATATAAAGCCCAACAATTTGCGGCCCAATATGAATGTACCAAACCCCTTTTAAATGGAAATAAACGGGAAATTACCTAAAAAAATGAAAAATACATTAAATTCTAAAGAAATTAAATAAAAAAAACACAGAGAGATAGACTATAGAATAATTGTTACCTGTGATAATTGAGTTATAAATGGACCAAAAGATGCTGTTAAAACAGCCAGAATAATAAACCCAAGTGTAAATAATCGTTTAAAAAATTTGCCACTATTCAGACAATAAGATTTTAATAACCAAACAATGTATGCTGGTGCTATGAACACATATAAATGTTTTAAATTGAGTAAAATAGCAAACCATATGGCACCTTGCAACACTGACATCTAGAAACAAACTGCTTTTTACCGTAAGTAAATTCCAAAATATATATATTGTAGAATTTACCTCTTTTCCAATCTGTGAAACTTTTGATATTGATATCAACAAAATTCCAAGTAAAAAACCATTGTATTGAAAATGTATATGGTCGACTATCAGTAACCCTATGTTACACAATGATAGAAGTACGAAAACGGCATGGCTATTCGAAGACTTACAAAATGTCCTACTCATTCTGCAAGAAAATGTTTAAATTTAAATTAAATAAATTTTATATTGTACAAAATTTTTAAAAATTGGATCTTCAAAAAAGCAATATCTCTACCAGTTGTTCAGAAAACATATCTTTGTGCTAATAAACTTTGCTAAAAACATATATTTATTTTTTCAATTTTTATTTTAAAAAGCTATTTTTAAATAACTTATTTTTTGTGTCATGGAAATATGTTCTCTTTTAGAAAATGTTCTTTTATCTAATTTATTACGAATTTTTATTGACAAATGTACTTACTCTCTCACTCCATATGCAAATATCAGATCAGTAAATATAACAGTCGCTCTTTGGAAATACACAGTAGCTGATGATGCATAATTTAAATTCTCCACCTTGACCATCTCTGGATCGAAAAATACAGCTATTTGGCTAAGGCAATACTCAAACCATGCAAACAAGGGTGGATAATCAAGAGTCCACGGAGATTGCGTATTTGTGTACCATTCTTTAACAGGTAAACTGTATGTGATAGCTAGCCAGTTGCGATGTACTTCAAAATCAGTGGAATGACTGCAAGTTTAGAAAAGAATTGTAAACAAATTTATATTAATGTAAGAACAAATAATTTCAATAGTATAAAACAGCATAAATGAATTGAAAAAGAGTAATATAAAACTAAAAGATTACTCACTAAGTAGGAATCAAGAGGATCTTGATGCAAGTAACTAGAAGAAAGATTTTCAAAATCACACCATCTCTCGAAGCAACGGAAGAAATTTCTTCATCCCGGCTTATCTGCGTTTCCTTCAAAGTTTTTTTGCTCCCGGTAAACATATTGTTCAAGCAAACTTGCAATTTATTGCTGTCATCAACTCATTACAAATCTCGATATATTTCGCGACAGTACAATATTCCTGTCAGATAATACTTTAATAAATAAACATTTGACGACGAAATTATTTTCAAAACGATAAATATAAAGACTGGCATAAATACGTATAAATACGCATAAGCGAGGTTAGACAGATGATAAACAGTCGTAGGTTATGTTCTGGCCATCGCATATAAAATTCCATGAGAAAAAAAAGAAATCGACCAATCACGGTCGACTATTGGTCCTTAGGGGCCAATAGTCGACCGTGATTGGTCGATTTCTTTACGTTTACGTCTTACGTGTTTATGGAATTTTATGTGCGAGGGTTATTTGCCACCTGGACGGAACCTAACCTAACCTGAAGTTAGGTTAGATATGGCTGCTCCGAGATTGTTGACGGCTCTACGAAGAGCTATATATCGCGTTCAAGATTTTAATAAATGTTGTCTGATAGGTGACGTACGGGCATTTAATAAGAAATCCATCCTCGAGGAGAACGACGATGTCGCATCTGCCAAGCAGCAAAGGCCGAAGACGGTGCCGGTCCCGAAGATCACGCTGGTGTCACTGGACAACTCGATGACCGTGACCGTGCTAGAGGATGCTCAACGTCTGGCGAAACGCCGTAAGCTCAACCTCATCAAGGTCAACGACTTCGATAGCAAGACGCAGCGACCGGTCTACAAGCTGATGAGCAGCTCTGTCTTCATCGAGGAAATCGGGGAGAAAGTCGAGGAAGATCACGGAGACAAGCAGAAATCCAAGGGTGCTAAACTGCACTACATATCTGCGAAAATTGCTGAGCATGACCTGTTGACGAAGACCAGAAATGTGGTGAAATTATTAAATAAAGGGCACAAGATTAAGATTGTCATCACCCTGGACAGTAGTAGTGAGGTGAGTTTTTTGGTTTTTCTGTTGTTTCCTATTTGGTTATTCACTTCTCTCTGTGATAGAGGAATTGATGTACATAATTGATATACATAACTTAAATAAATTGGTAAAAGTCACACTAAGATATTTAAACCAGAATATATTCTTTTCTTCTGATTCTGTTCCATTATAAATTCTTAATTACACATGTACAATAAAAGATAATAAGATGCTAAAAGATGATTATTTATCTTCCAGAGAGAACTGAAAATAACTATTTTAGACTTTTTACTTTTCTATGGTTCATTATAAAATTCAAGACAGAATTCTATCTATAATTTGATGTGCTAAATATATACATATATGTGTATTATTTTTATATGTGTATGGATTATTTCTTCAAATAAAATTGTAAATAAAATAAAATTCTGTCATGAATTATATATCGCTCAAAATAAACTTAAAAAAATTATTTTATGTGTAGAATAACATACGAACACGAAGTGTTATAGAAGATGCCCTGAAGAATTATGGCAGCATTCAACAAATGCCATCAAAGAAAAATGTTCTCCTACTTATAATAAATCCCATATTAAATAAGAACAAAGACAATTCTGTAGTTAATAAAGAAGGAACTGATACAACTTAACTTAAGTAATAATATGTGAAATTGTTTGGTGAGTTAGATAATAATTTACCATAATTTACCATAATTATGAGCGAGAAAAGAATAAATTCTATGTATATATAAAGACTAAAATAATTATACAGTACTTTATACAGCATATACTTGTATTAAATATATTGTATAGAGCTATTAACTTTATTAATGAATATATTATAATAGCTTTACAAAAGGAATAACATTTAAATAGGTTTTTTTCTATACCTATAGGTTTTTCCCCTATATCATATTTACGATTATTGTCAATGAAGAGAATTTTATGTTAAGAAAACTTTCCATTATATATACACTAAACGAACGGCTTACTATCTATTGATATGTCTACGGCGCATTTTATTTTATATTGTATTTTAGGATATGGGGAGGCTTCTCGATTATTTTAACTGAAACAATTACAAAGTTTGGTCTTATATTGAGATCTGCAATGCATGATAAATGCCACGAATATGATATACGTACGTACAAATAAATATTATTGTTACAATTGGTCTTTTTCATGTGCTAACATATTTTACTATCGGTGCTAATAAGGGATAATTCTTCTTACTTAATGTAATGTTACTACACTGTATATTATATTATAGCTTTGATTTTTTTGCTGCAGTTAAGTAGATAGCAAATGATATAATGATTTTTTCATTTGTCATGAAAAGCTATATGAATATTCGACATGAGTATTACTTTTATTACTTTACGAGAATATAATAATTGCAAAAATTCTAATATTTTCTCTTTTCTAAGCACAATTGACACAACTGGAATGCAAATCCAATTTGTCTTAACTTAATACCATCGGAAAATAACATCACCTGTTAAGTAAAGTTGTATTAAATATAATAATATCGAATAATTCAGCATCGACACGATGGATCGCAAAATGATACGCAAATGGCACTATTTTTCTGTGCGTAGTAAATTACACTGGAGGACAGAGAACGGATATAATTATGCTATGTAGAAGCAAATCTATGAACCTGTTTTCTTACAAAAGCATTACAGGTAAATTTCTATTTTCTATATAAAATAAGTGATGCTTTTCTTCTTAAGTACTATAATTAAGTATTCAAATTATGTATATATCAACTATGCACGCTTAAGTCAAATATATTTCATAATATAATTTATATATTTCATAATATAATTTATATATTTCATAATATAATTAATTATGTTTGACGCAATTACATTGAAATCATTTTTTGTTTTTTTTTTGCGTATAATAAATATTTAGTTTGTTTTTCTTTCGAAAATAAAAAAAAATCTTCTGTCATTAATTTGTCATGCGTGGAATGATACATAATACATAAATCATAAATGCAAAACTGAGAATTATAGATTTTAAGATAAAATATTATTCTTCCAAAATCTAAAATATCCACAATTTTAATATCAAATACGATTTTGTCGTTTTTTATCGTTTCTTTGCTTTTATTATTAACTCTATTATTTGTTCGTTATCAAAACAGCAAAAATATGCGAACTTTTATAGGATAAAATTGCTGTCGTCCAGTGTTAGCCCTATATCCCGATAATATTTTCTACAGATACATGCTTCTATCCCTCCTGCACACTTTGGAGATTTCACTTACATTATAATATTTAAGAAGGAGTGTCACACGAGTAATCAATCTAACGACAAAGTCACATGAATTTCAATATTCGACACAGACGCACCGTGCAAATAGTAATATGCCTATCGATAGAATAATAAGATAGAATGCAAACACTCTCGGACTACTGCGGACAATCTATTCTGCGACACTTTTTGAATTCCGTCAAAACTGGACAGAGTTTGGCCCAGGATCCACGTGGTTTCACCGTCACACTTCTGACCCTGGTTCGCAACGATTCGCCACAGGTCGCACTGCATTCCGACCACGTTGACCACGATGTCATTTCGCAATTCACTGAAACTGTATACAGAGTGAGCGATATTGAATATTATGAATAAACAAAATTGACACGATTATTTTCTTAGTTCATTATCTTATCAAATCAAATCGCCAATAGTGCCTTAATTACTTGATCAGTTGTTGTATTCATTTAATGTCGATTCTACTCTGTATACTCTGAATAGATACTGAATATGTAGCAAATAATTTATTCTTTTGAATCTAAGCTATGAAACTTTAATGTAAGGCAAATTACGAATTCATAAATTCTAAGGTTTGAAATGATATTTTACTTTAAAGCAATATGAAACTTACTCTCATGCTCTATTTCAGTATTTTTGTTTCGATGAAATCGGCGACCTTTTTCATCTTGTAGAACTAAAAAATAATAAAATTTATTTAAAAATTTTTTTAAATTAATTAATTTAAATTAATTTATTTAAAATTATAAAATAAGTTATTAAAATTTACCTCTATATTTAATAATGATATTGTCTAAGAAAAGAGCTGAAAATATAGATTTAAAAAATCTGTTTGCATGCTTTAAAATACGTAATTTTCAAAAAATAATTTCGTGAATAATTTATTATGTGTATTTATGATAAATTATATCATAGTAAAGGAGAATTTGGCTGCGTTCCGTTTCACGCATATGCGCGCATTATTTATAGTATGCGTAATGTATACTATAGATAAATACGCGCATATGCGTGAAACGGAACGCAGCCTTTATAAAAGTATACCAATACTCACAGCATGGCAGAATTTTATTGCACTTCTTTCTTCGGATAAGTTTTTTTGGACATTTCTTACCCCCACCTTTGGGTGGAATCTGTAAAATAACCATATTTTTACATGATAAGATGCATGAGATATATTATATCCTTTTGCTTTATACATATTATAATTTAAAATAAATCGAGAAAATTAATTTTATTAATTGTTAATATTAATTAAATAATTGTTAATATTTATTATTCATTGAAATGTCATTATTTTTATATCGATATTATTTTATATAAGTATCTATAAATGCGATAAATATATATGTGAATAAAAACTCATAACAATACCGTCTCCCTAGTGCTCGTGGCAAATCCACGACAGCTTTCACAGCGCGACCATTTACTCCATTCAGATATCTGGCAATCCACTTTACTATTCTCACTCGATTCCATTATCTGACTAACCGCTTCAATGCCTTTAAAATCCTCTGCGAAAAAAAGAACAATGCAAAATGACCTTTAACGAGGCAGAAATATTCGTGCATTACATTTATTTTTAAATTCTCTTAAAACCATTTTCCATAAGAGCTTATAATACAAAACTATATAATAGAGTTCACTTTGTAAATGTTCGATATTCAGTGGAATCTCAAGTAACTTTTGCTTAAAACAAATTATCACCATGTTGCGCTCTCTTCGCCTTTGCGTTACGTTGCTCCTGCGCAGGAATATGATAGCTGAGGACGCTGCTAAGGGACACCTTAAGATTTTTCATGATTGCTGATAGATTCGCCTTCAATTCTCCTGAATTGGTTAGTAAGCGTGTGCAGAGCATGACAAATGATTATTTGTGAGGAAATTAGGATTGCATAAAATTCAAGACGAGATAATTATATTGTTAAAAATATTATATCAGTATTGAAAATTTATGAAAACTTAAATTTTATCTTAGTCCTGAGTAAATCTTTTGTAGTAAGAGTAAGTTCTGTATTGCTTTGTCTTGATTTTATTAATAATTTATATCTAATACTGAACGGTGATTTAAAATAATATATATTTAACATAATTTTTATAATATAATTTAAAATAAAAAAAATTATCAAAATTCGAGATTAAATCAAGACACGACTCTTAATTAGTCTAACAAAATTAAAAGACTTATCTTGATATTTCGCGCAGAAAAAATTATGTTCTATCATAATTGTAATAATATTAAGATTACATAATATAAAAGTCATCTATAGTTTGTTATATACACTTAGAAATCTGATTGTGAAAATTGCTTTTGCAGATAGGAATTTAATAGAAACAGTGGATATGTGTGGAGTTCCACAATTAATAATATTATTATGGATGCGCTATTAATGTGATGAATTCACGGCATGCACGGTATCGAATAATCGAGTTAACTTACTTTGGAAATTGCCGCAAACATTATTGCAATCTTGCACGGTTGGGAAATTATTTCGATTACCGTCGCAGCCAGAATAACTAAAGACACGACAAGTGCTGTTTTGTTTGTCAAAATAAGCTCTTAATATGTTCAAATTACATCGTCCCTTCACCTTGGGTTCGCTGCAGATCTCTACAAATCAATGATGATTTTTTTTCACGTTGTAAAAATTTCACCGAAAGATATATTTTCATATAGGGGGAGGCCATATTTAAAAAAAATACTGTAATTAACATTTAATATTAAATGTCATAAAATTTCTTAATTGAATTGAAAAGGTCCATTTCAACTTTTTGGGCTATTATATAATCTTTTTACTACTGAGGGAAAAATTATCTTAAAATAAAAAAATTTTAGTTAACTCAAGAAAGCTATTTATTCGGTGGGTACTAATCATGTATTTACTTGTATTTAAAACATTTATTTGCTTAAGTTAAGTATTTATTTACATATGTTTAAAAAAATATATATGCTTAAAAAATATAATTTTTAATTAAATATTTTTAATTTTAAAATATTTATTAAAATGCATTTTTTATTCCCAAAAATTTTAAATTTTTTAATTTAAAAAAATAATATATTTAATTTAATAAATTATAGTATATATTTTATGAAAATAGTATTTAAATATAAAAAATATATAAATGAAAATAATGTACTTAATATAACATGCATATTTAATTAAAATTAAATGCTTTTGCTTAAATGAAATAAACAATTCCTTCTATTTAAAGTAAAAGTTTCAAGAAAACAAATTTATTTGATTTAAAAAAATTTTTCCCTCAGTGTATATTATTAAATAATTTCCTAAAAAAGTTAGGAGAATAAATGTTTTTTTACTTATTTTTTCTTCTCTCGACAAATCGCAGCTCGGAATTTCGGCTTTGCATGATGCCTGTTGCACTTTGCATTCCTCGTGGCTGTCACTATTATCCTTATTAGAGTCCCTATACAGCCTAGATCGCAATTTGACACCATCTCCGCAGCTAGAACTGCACGGCGTCCATAAGGACCATTGTGTATAATGGTCCATAGGACATCTCTGCGGTTAATATAAATTAAAATTTAATCAATCAACATGAAAAAACAGCTGTTAATCAAAAGAGTTGTAGAAGCAAAATTCTTTCTTTCTCTCTCATTAGTTTTCTTTTTTTGTCAAGAAAATTTCTTTGTGTATGAGGTTGAAAAATCTGTTACACGCGCAGATTTTTGTGAATTGTAGAATCCAATTTTATTTCAAAAATTACTTAGCTATTGTTTAAAAGTATGATGTACATTAAGAGAATATAATGAGATTGCAGTCTTAAACAAATTTGCGGATATGAATTTTGCTTCTTCATCCTTGCGTATCTTCAGTCTTTACATCGATTGTTGAAATTTGTTTTTTTATTTATTTATCAGATGTATGTTATATTCGCAATTCTATAAATTTTAGCACGTGAATGTAAGATTGATTTTTATGATAATACATATATGATATAGCATAAATGTGCAACTGATAGTTAACGATTGTTATTAAATTACAATATATTATATTGATTCGTTAGAATATCAGCATATATTTCATGAGAAAATAAATAAAGATGATTGATAAACACTTTTTATATAGTACTTATATCTTCAATTTTAATAGCACAAATGAACTATTTGAAAACGAGAACGAATAGCTGTAAAGATGTCATGTTATATGCAAAGCAAATCGAATCTTTGACATTAAATTCAAAGTTTATGTATATAATTTGTCACTCACATAATATTTTTGTATTTTTCAATGCAATGTTCAAAGCGCTTCATGCACACTATGTTATTACTTGCATAGTTTAATGGTGTTCTATGAAAAATATGATTAAATTTTTCGTACACTGAAATGCAAGTTTTTAATATTAATCTTCTAATTAATTTTCTTTTTTTACGATATCGTGTGACTTACATGAGGATGCCAGTGCCGTGGATCTACGAGAAATGGTGCAGGTATCGATTACTCGTGAGAAGCGCTATTGTTGCTGGTTGTGTTTCTGATGATTTAATATTTAGCAAAGCTGATAAATTCGTTTTAATACATATCGAGCGAATCATTTATCTCTTCTGTATTTCGTAGAGTCGTAGAGAAACGATGTTCACTCGATATCTATTAGATAGAATACGTGAATGTAGTTAGTCGTAATACGAGCAAACTTTTAGACGAACCTGATTCAAATTGGCGGAACGTATTTTACATTCGAATGAAACAGGAAATGAATATCAATTAAATGCAATTTGGAAATTCAACTTTATCAACGGAATAAACCTGGGGATTTACATATAAACTCAATGATGATTATTCTAATGAGTCGATAGAGTATGAAATTATTTGACAATTAAAGAATTTTCGCGTACTAATCCTCTCGATGTAAGTAAATTGTCTCAATTAGAGAAAGAAAATCTTTAATTATTTTTTTCTTTAATTAACAAATATAAAATTAAATCTTAGTATGCTTTGGAATAATAAGCTTTATATTATTATATTTAATATTAAGATTAAAAAAATTAATATTAAATACAGAAATTTTTATTATAAAATGATAAAATGATAAAAATTTGTTATTATTTGAAATTATTTAAGAATTGAAAAATTTTAATGTATAAATTCTCGAAGATGTGTAAATAAATTTTCAATTCGAGAGAAAAAATTTTTTTCAATTATATTTTTTTCGCAAATTAATAAATATTTTTTTCTTAAAATAATAAATATATATAATTTTAGGTTAAATCTTAATAAATAAAAAATTATAAAATAACTTAATGTCGCTAGTCAAATAATCAAAGTATCATTGAAAAAAAAGTGTAGTCGACCAAACTAGCCAGAAAATTTGTTTATTAATACGACATTTCGACCATATGGTTGTGATCCTTATTAAGTATATAGTGGAAAAGATTTATAAATAAAAGCTGGAAAGATTTATAAAATCAAGCTAGTATATAACACCTTAATCAATAATTGTTTTCCAGAACATATCATACATAGACATATTCAAAAAAGAATTAATTTTTTAAATAATCGTGACCACAATGATACTGTTGACGTGAATCCTACTCGTTTAGACTCATTTTAATACAATACCATACGTAGAGAATACGAGTCATGATCTGTACCGTCTTTTGCGAAATAGTAGTTTTAACGTCGTCTACAAAATAACAAAAAAAAAACTAAATAATTTAATTAGACGCGGTAAAGATAGCTTACATAATAATGACAAGACAAGTGTTGTATACAAATTAAATTGTAAGGATTGTAATTTATCATACATTGGGCAAACAAAAAGACATTTACGTACGCGAGTGAAAGAACATTGTAATGATATAAAGTTACATGAAACTAATCACTCGGTCATTAACAAACATAGATTGGAATCCGAACATGATTTTGGTCGAAACCCAATATTTTGCATAATGAAAAGTATGTTCGAAAGAGAGAGATTGCCGAGATGTTCTTTATCAAGAGATTTAATAATCTAATCAACCTACAGAAAGACACGGATAGTTTAAACAACATTTACGACAAAATAATAAAGGTCACGTAGTTTCGTTTTTCCTTTCGAAGTCTCACACGGACGCATCAGTTTCTCTCAAATTCGAATCTAGTTAAATAATGTTTTTTGTTAATGTGACTTGTGCAGTTTTACAAGATTATCGTCTATGCCTGTCTCCTGATTATTATTACATTGGTAAAAAATTGTTCACATTTTAATTCGTTGTGCGTATTATGTATTCAAACCGTTAATTAATTTTATAAATCTTTTCCAGTATATATTTGATAAGGACCACAACCATATGGTTGAAACGTCGTATTAATAAACAAATTTTCTGGCTAGTTTGGTCGACTACACTTTTTTCCAATGATCCCTTAATAAATAATTTTAATATTTTGAAATAAGCATTAATAATAAGCGTTATTATTAAGTTTAATATATTGAGATTAGAAAAATTTTCCATAAACGATATAAAGTTCTTGTTAAATAAAAATTAATATCATAAAATGATAAAAATCTCTGATTTTAATATAGTATATACATAATTTAATGTTCTAAAATCACATATCATATTTTATTTTTATTTAGCAATTGTCATAATAGCGAATTAATTTGCTATTAAATAAATAAATGCGATTTAATTCGCATATTCGAGAGTTGCGAAATCAATATTTCAATCAGTTTCGTCAAAGAAATCCATTCCTATCAGTCCTGATATTTTTGAATCTTTTCATACCTGCAACCATTCCTCGATTATCTCTCCGCTCGTTTCTGCTCTCTCACCGGCATGGTCTTCATTCTCATCATCGTTGTTCAACCGTCTCAATCGATGCCTTACCTCCTCCGTGTCTTCGCCTTCGCAAGGCTCGTTCTCGCAATCGAATGTCTCCTGTAATTGCGGTCCGTCCGGCACAGCCTTGCATTGTTTTCGAAATTTCTTCTGCCGGAAGTTCCTGTTTCGTGTTTTGCTGCCCTCGCCGCAGGTAGACGAGCACGAACTCCAAGAACTCCAAGGCGTTAATTCACACATTTCGCTGTTCAATAGACCGTTGTAACGCGCATTACTGGGGCTGGCGAATTAAAACATTTTGCGATATAAAATACAAGTCATTATTAGCCATGTAGTGTAAACAGATTCTCTCTATTATATACTTAGAGATAGTTTAAAATTTTTTCTGTCAGCAATACGAGACAAATAAGTAAAAGTGTAGACATATAATAAACATTTTAATTGATGGGAAAATATAAAATTTCTCTTATCATACAAAAATATAACACAGAAAGGTTACTTCTGTTAAGATCTTTTTGAAAAGAATATGAAAAAAATAAAATATATGCAACCTATTATAAAAATATTATATTATATCATAAAAAAGAAGATTCAGAAAGTTGATAGATTAATTCTTAATTGCGATGTAAAGATTACACTATCGCGCTCATTACCAGTATGGCCTTTGTTCATTATAACAGAATCTTCGATCTGTTAAAGTTGTGGTACATGGTTTATTCGCATTTGCAGCAGCTTCATCGCGAAAGCGACGTTGTCTTAGTTGAGTGCCTAAGCCGCAATTGACTGAGCACGTGCTCCATTCAGCCCAAAATGTCACTTTACAACGCTCTACATGAAATGATTGATTAACTTTTTCAGAAATTTTGTATAAATCACGTACATTTAAATGTCATAGCAAAACAGTTGAAGAATTATGTTATTGCTAATTAATAACATATTTTACAAATAAATAAAAATTCACATAATATAAATATCTTATATATAAAATAAATTTATAATATAATTTACTGCCAAATAACATATTATAAAATCAAAAAATATACATAAATGAAAATGTAGATAAACAAAAATATAAATAAACTAAAATGTAAACGAATTCTGTAGAAACATTTCTTGCACATACAAATATTTATAGAAATTATTATTCTGCTTAAAAGCTTTTGCAAATAATCTAGGAAATAAGCAAATAAATCACTTAACGTAGAGAGTTATGATAAGCTTTACTTTTATACTTTTATTGTTTAATTGTGCGGAATCTCATTCACGAATTTTAGCATGACATTTTAAAAGTATGTTTAAAATTTTATATTTAAAAAAATTATTTTTATATAGCTGAAAAAATTATAGACGTTAATGCTTTATAAAATTTTCGGTAATAATTAATCTTTATCATAAATTCTCCAACGTTTAAGCATGTTTGAGAAATAAAAATAATTTTTAAACAAAGCGATACTTGCTAGGCGTTTTATTTAAATTTCCACCTCCGTCAGCCAATGTATGTAGAAACTTAGAATCGCAGGTTTTCTCGTACAATCTCTGTCTGTTCAAGTAGAGCTTCGCAAGGGGTTTCATATCCAGACCAGATGAGTCATAAAAAGGTGATCTCGAATCATTTGGATACGTCGACGTGATACGTCGAATTGGTTCCTGTGGCTCCGTAGGCGAATCCGGTGACTAATAAATGATAGAAAATAATAAAAAACGGATACGTGTGTGTCTAACAAAATAATTATAATTATTTATCGTAAAGTGAAGGTACAATATTCTATAAATACATTTTCCATTTCTAATCGAATTCGCTATTATTATTCCTCGTATCTATTTATATTTTGTAAGACATTACGAATGAAATGCGGCAATAACGATTAAATATCATTATAAAAAATTTTTCACAAATAAGACAAAATTTTTCAAAAGAGCAAATAAAAGAGGTAATAGAAAGGTTTACATAAAACGGAAGTAAATTCTCGCTCGTTGAAAGAGTGCGGAGAAAGCATAAAATTCAACGGCGTCAGCAATTCCAGTTTGCGATCGAGATAGCTATTGTGAACTGATGGAATCAGATACTCTCCCGCATGTCCAAAGATTATGAGATTATTATATGATTCTTTATTCTTCATTATTGATGGGTGACAAAATTTTTTTTTGTTTTGAATATGTGCAATCTGCACTAATTTGGTAATATTTCATTATACGAACATTGTGATGCAGAGATAGAATCAAAAATTTATTACTATGTGAAAATCGTGCGAGCGTAAGTGGACATGAAATTTTTATCGGTCACCTCATCGAATCACCCATGCGAAATTTACGTAACACGAAAAATGTTGCAGTGAAAAACAAAATAAATCAAAATCTGATACGCAAATTTTTTATATTATAGGGTATATTTCAAGACAAAAAAACGGCCTAGAAAAAAACAATCGTAATGTTATAATTAATTAAATCGTTTTGAATAGATGCATAGGAGGATAGTTCTCGGATCAACCATTTTCTCTGATTTACCAATTGTTTAAATCAATTTTTTCTTTATAAAAATAACAAAATAAAAAATATTAATCTTATATTATAAATGATTAAAACTAAAATATATATATTTGCTTACCACGTATGTGATACCATCATCAGTACCTGCATCGTAGGGATACAAATTTAGTTCTTTATGGATTATCCAAGAACAATTAGATAGACATAGTTCAAGACCAGAAACGCCGACGATCCAATCTGGCGAAGGATCTACGATAAAAAAATCATTTATCAATAAAAAATAAGGAATTATTTTCTAATTTAAGTCTTAACTTCTAAAAAAAGAACAATAAAACAACATTTTATCTCAAGATTTAATAAATCTATGATTAATAATTCTTTAAATAATAAAAAAATCTTATTACCGATCTTTGAAACCAGAGACATTAGATGATGTTTTCGATCCACACGAAAAACAGCGAAAGTTCGACCCGTCACGTTTGGAAAAGCGATGCCTCTTGCTTTTATTATCGTTCTAATATGGTCACTTTGATTTTTTAATTCTGATTCTAATTTTCGTGTCGTACCAGCTTCTGCCACTTGACGTAGCCCGATACTAGCCATATCTGTATGCCCGTTTGATATACCATTGTTACTATATCGCCAAAAGCTGTAATTATCAGTGTGAGATGCACCGATTACGTCCGAAAAACGAATTAGCCACTCTTTACTTGGAAAATCCTAAAAAGAAAAAAATAAATAAAACGATGGATGAACGTCATAAATCTCAAGAATACGTCAATTGCTGGAAAGATCTTCAATCACAAACGATTGATCGATGTTTGCGATTTCAGATATATAGAATATTCCAGAAAAGCAAAGTTCATCTTTCATTCGAGTTTGAAAAATTATTTATACTTATATGTATGTAATTATCCAAGCTTTAAATATCCATTCGTTCTTAATTACTTTCAGTTTTAATTACTTTGGGATGCGTGTTACGCGACCATAATCCTTCAAATGTGACTTCATATTTTGCCTCCTCGCAGGCGCAACATTCTGCTAAAACCGGACCCTGATCGTCAGCTTCCGCTTTTGAGTCTTGACACATGTTGAGGACTAAATTTGAATCATCCATGTACCATGTATCTGGCGTTTCAAGCACCGTCGCTCTGCAATAAAGAGAAAAAGAAAATAAAACAGAGAATAAAAATAATCTGCACGCATATTATCGTTGAATGTATAATTTACGAAAAATTAAATTGTTAAATAATAAAATATAAAACAAGAGAAAACATACAAATAATCCTTTAGAGAGAGTTTAAACTATTAAAATTATGCGAAAAATCACATATAATAAATATAACATATATAAATATATTAATAGTACGATGTTGCACAATACATATTTCATAATATGCATGCATTTATAGATGTATTTTTAAGAAAGATGTATTTATAAGAAAAATTCTCTTTTTACTAATATTATAAAATAAACGCCTTTTTATTCTTTTTCTGCAAATTTGTATTCAATTCATGTTAATAAAAGCATATATATTGTGATTTTAATAAATATTAATTTAATAACATTATATATGTATATATTTAAGTTTAAATTTATGTACTTATAACAAGTCTTAATATTATCTTTAATTAATGTTAATCACAAAATAGATAGTATTTATTTATTTTGCACATTGTGTTAATAAAAGTATTGCTTCACCTGATAAGTATGCAACCGCTACCTTCAGTAGGACTGGTCCAACCGACAGATATCTCTTCTTTTGAAACTTTTGATGTTTCCATGACGGCATTCGCGCAATTATCGGCAAATTTGGTCATTACATCATCCTGGAGATCGAATATACCGACATCGGCCGTCTCATTTGCATTTTCGGCCTCGGCGGATATGAGAAATCTCGTAAACTTCCGGTGAATCTGATCGGGATTGTCGGCCTGTAGGACCACTGAAATAATCAACATATCTTTAATCAATGGTAATTTATCAACATTGTTTATAAATAATAAATATTGATTTATATTCCGTAATAATTATATATAGAAAAAATAAAATTTGGACATAATGGAATTTAATAAAATGTTTTTGTATGTAATGCTTTTGCATGAAATTCGATAAAATAATAATTTAATAAAACTCGAGATATGTAATACACATTTTCTATCGCAGCTCGATATTAATTTGTATTGATAAAATATGTTTTAATATATGCAATCAAAATATATTTTAAAAATTTCGCAAGTTGGTCTTTGATAAAAAAATTAATAATATAATACTTTTCAGTTTTCAAAATTTTTTATTTGTAATTAATTACAATCCAAAAGTAATTTTGACTTTAAGAAATATTTATTTATTAATATTACTTAATATATATTATTTAATTATATATTGTATATTCCTTATTTATTGAAATATATATTACTTATAAATATATATTATATTATTTTGAAAATTAATATGTAATTTATGTATATATATATATATATATATATATATATATATATATATATATATATCGAAAACATTTCATCGATATCCTTTGATTGTTAAGTCTATAAGATTTGTCATGATTAGATGGCTATAATTAAGCGAGCTACTGCTGTAAATTACTTTCATCATAATTTTTGCGCAATCAAGTGCACCTATCAAAATGTTCATAACGTATAGTTCAACTAAAAAAAAAGATATGAGAAACTTTCGTTTTGTTCACGCAGAGTTTATAATTGATTACGGGTGAGAAACTCAATATTTTTACCTCTAGGAAAATTTTAACGATCGAGGTAAAACTTTTGGAAGCACAAAAACAAATTCGATGGAGGAAGCGCCATACTTTTCCTTGATGCATTAAAATATTGATTTAATTTTCGAAAATAAAATAATACACTTTATGAGAAAAATTAATATATATTCGCTTCCTTCCAAAATTATCGCATTGTATTTATGAATTCTTCCTTCGGAATTTTCTTTTTCTTATCAAAAATAAACAATAAGATAATCAATAATACTTCTTACTGTGAATATCAAAGATGTACATGCATGAATATCGACTTATAGATTTTCTATGTATAGCAGAAATATTCGTGTGCTCGCAATATAAATATATATCAACTCGGCTACCGACTTGCTATTTATAGCATGGATTAAACACGACACATTGTGAATTCGCTGCTGTGTTCAAGGGAATTCGTATATTTCTTTCTCTATTACGAAATTTTCTTCAACATATGTAAGTGTGCTACATTTCACGTGACCCGGTTTAAACGATATATATAATTTAGATTTTACCAAATTATCGTATCAATAGGTTTATTTCAGTTTTCAGTAAATATATATATATATATTATTTATGTCATAAAAAATTAGTTTTATATTATTAAATTATTATTTTAGTATATATTATTTAATATTAAATTATCTTGAGATATTAGATATGTATCTAATATAATCATGATCTAATATAACAGTAATTACAATTACATGATTGTTGATTATAGTCAATATTTGGAATATAAAAATTGGATTAAATTATTTCTTTAAATAAAAAACAATTTGTAAAAATCGAATTACATTATTTTTTTTAAATAAAGAGATATTGAATGGTAAAAAATGCTACGAGTATTATATAAATAATTAAATAAAACATTTGGAAAAATTGCGAAATAACCTAATCGCAAGATTGTGCATTTGCGGTCATTCTCTATGTTATAATATGTAATACTCAGCTATTTGAAGCCATATGGCTTCTGGTGTTACAAGTCTTCTTGAACTATGTATCTTTGCATATAGAGACTTACATGTTGTGTAAATTTTAAAAAACTTTTTAAGACAATTTAAAGATTAACAATAGAAAAATTAATAATAAATTATACACGCACATATAACTTTTATTAATCATGATAAAATCAAGAAGAACATAATAAAGTAGATCCAAGAAGATTAAATAATTCGTCCAATCAAAACAGAAAAACTCGTATCATTAGAAAAACGCAATCTCTCTCTCTCTCTCTCCTCCCCCCCTCTCTCTCTTTTTCGCTCTCTCTGATTAAGATGAAAATTATAAAATAAAAACTCTGAACTTTGATTTGAAAGGGGAAAAAAGACAGAATATTAGTTTGAGTTTGGTATAAAATGCTAAAATATGAAGATTTTCTCAGTTTTTTAAATGGAAGAGTTCTACTTTTTTTTATATATCGATTTATTATATTTTTTTATAATCGACTCCCTGCAGTGTAAAAAGTTATAGGAAGGCCAAAAATTAAATATATAGTTTATAAGATATTTTTCTTTCTTCTTCTTTTCTCTCTCTCTCTCTCTCCTCTCTCTCTCTCTCTCTCTCTCTCTCTCTCTCTCCCTCTCTCTTATAATTTATATACAATTTTGTCAAATTAAAATATCTTCTAAACTATATATTCAATTTTTGGTTTTTCTATCCGCGTAACTTATTATGTTAAATATTACAAGGAATTGATTTGTATAAAAAAATTAAGTTTGGTTCCACTGAAAAAACCTAGATAGACTTTCACATGATAATCTTATTAATAATTTACATTATACATATTTTCACCTTATAATTTACAAGGCAATATTCCTATATTCCTATAACCAATATTCCTATTTTTTTCTCCAACTAAACAACTTTTGTACTAACTAAACAACTTGTTTAAAAAGTTTGTTTAAAAAGTTTCCATCTAACACTTACAAATTTTAAGATATTTGAGTGAATAAATTAAAATATCCTATGCAATTAACTCTCAAATATATATGTATATATGAAAGTTAATTATAGTTACAATATTCGTAATGAAATTGAAAAAAATAATAATTATTAATAATTCCAGCGTGCTATGTGGAATAAAATTATAGCATTATTTGCAATTTCTTTAACCAATCTGAAAGAGCTGATTTTATTTTAATAGATACATATTCTCAAGCACATAAAAACTTTTAATTAAAAATAAAAGATATGATTTGCATACAGCTATACTACAAATTTTAATATAATATGTTCACTATTATATATATTTTACATGAATATTTACGATATGTGATTTTGTTAACAAACGAGCAATTTAACATATTCTTTACAGTCAATATCATGCATTATGTCAATTGAATTAAAGTGATTAATTGAATTAAAAACCAAATCAAATATCCCGCATTTCCTGATATTTATCGAAGTTTAAATTTATTACATCAGCGACGATGATGAGTCATGACGCTTATGTTTACCTCTCGCAGAATTATTCCCATAACCTTGAATTAGAAGAATTAATGGCAAAAACGCAGTTAACTGAGACCTTCGTCGGAGTATCGTGTTTCTAACATACGAGACACATACATAACGAGACTGTTCGGCGTTCGAGAGTGTTGGAGAAGTATTTTCGATATTTTACATTGGAAATATAAATCAAAGTTTTTCGAAGAGTTACAGCAATTTTTTCTATTATTTATTTTTTAACTAATTATATCTAAAAAGAATTCTGGTTAAATTTACTCTTTTGTAAAACATAAACTGACATTTTTTTATATATTACAACGATGATTAAATCATTTAAATCTAATCTGATAATTCGAGACTTTATTTCACATCTGCTTTCTTCGAAACTAAAATTATCAATATCAATTCGCCAGTTCTACAATTACTTGATTTTATCGGATATGTGATCAAATTCTCTCTTCTTTTCTTTCGATTTGAAATCGACAAAATCGAACTTGATTTGCGTTTTGTATCTGCGCATTCGTAACAATACATGATTCGATTCATCGTGAGATTTGTGTTTTCGTTTACTAAAAATTCGTTTACTAAAAGCTCAACTTTTCATTTGCAGCAAAACGGATTGCATGTAAAGTCGGACAATAGGGTTTGTTGATGCGCGCGTAACGCTATCTTACGATAATACAACGGGGTGAATTATTAATCAATCTCTTAAATAATATATAATGAACGAGCGCTTTACAATTATCACATGCGTAAAACCGTCGCCATCTATCCGGCTGCGTGGTTGAAATTCCTCGGATAATCGCGAGGCAAGACGACGACCAATTTCCGGCGTTAGCTTCCGGCGATGATAAATATAAAGTAAATAAATACATAATAAAGTAAGATAAAATGGATTTGATAGGTGACAGCAGCAGAGATATTATTATCAGTCATATTATTATCGATCGTATAATTAAACATTCTTAATTGACTAATCATTGTTATTTTCCTAAAAGACGCTGCTTCGGGTTTAATATAAAAAAAAATAAAAAGTTAGTAATAAAAGTTTAGCTGTTTGACAGGATGAACAGCTGATGGACCGCGATATACCCTGAGATAACAGTGTAAAAATCGCGTTATGATCAAATTTAAAGTTGCATAATTCGTGGATTCGCTACATTTATTTTTGGGCTCATTCATTCAGGTAAAGTAGTAAAAAGAGTCCAGTGGAGTGCGGTCGTACGCGGAAATGTGTCTGACCACACACTGCGTTATCTACTTATGTACTTTATGGATCGTCGGTTTCCTTCAGGAAGAAAAATTCTCAAGCGTTTTCTGGATAATGAGGCCTTGTTATATGCATTGTTATGGATAATAATAAACGTGACTTAAGATTTAGTTTCATATATTAAGTAAATAGATACATAATAAAATAAGATAAAATGGATTTGATAAGTAAGAGCAGTAGAGATATTATTATCAGTCATATTATTATCGATCGTATAATTAAATTCTCTTAATTGACTAGTCATTGTTATTTTCCTAAATAGCACTGTTTCAGGTTTAGTATAAAAAGAATGAAAATTTAGCTGTTTAAATTTAATTAATGCTGCAGGAAATTTTCAGCGTCAGTTGCACCGACAGCTTCCATTTACTCTTGCGTTTAGTGATTCATTGACCTTTCCTAAATTACAACCTACTACATAAAATATAGACCATGGAAAAATATATTATGAAAATTACAATTAGAGAGCGTTAATTGATATTGCAACGGCAACAATTTTTCATTACAAAGTCATAAGAATCCTCCGTCGTCAAAAGACAATTACTCAACAATCAGTGTGTCTTAGTATCTTCGTTAAGGAAAAATTTAAAACTGAATAATATGACCTATAATATAATGCAAAAGGACTAGTTTCTAGTTAGTATAGCCAAAGAAGGAAAAGACTTATAATTAAAGTTAATGTATACGTTGATTATACCGGCCTTTACTACTCTCTCACCACATTGTTTCGCGACACCCTCCGTTACGGTAACGACGCAATAATTTTCCCAGCCGGCCTCTTCTTCGGGATTTAACCCCTGGGGCAAGCGCGGTCGACTGGCGTCTCCAGGCGATTTAATAGAATTTTATCGGACCGGCCATTGAGTCCGCGTTAAATCTGCAGCACGATGCGTCTCACACCTGGCATCTCGCCAGCGTTACGTAACGCATTAATTCACCGGGCCCACGAGATTTGCATGCGTTAGTGGAGCCGCGCGAGGAGTTAAGTTTCGCGAAAAGATCGAAAAAGAGAGAGAAAAGGAGAGAGTAAGTGAGAAGCTTCATTGTGCTCAGGTCGTCGACCAGATAAATAGAGACGTTTTTGCAAGAGATACTGAAACTTATATCGATGCACAAAGTTGTTTTAATTCTAATATGTTTCGTGACAAACAAAAGTATTTTTACAATAAGAAAATCTTCATAAAAAAAATAATTGTGAAAAATAAAGATAGTCTTATTTTAGTAAATATTATTTTGTAAATATATAAGAAAAAGAGAAAAAGCGAGAGGAATTAATATAAATAAAATAATGTTTAATAAATTTCATAAACTACTAATTAATGAAAGAGGGATTATATTAGAATAATATCTGTGTAAATAATAGAGAGAGTTTATAGAGAGAGTTTATATTAGAATAATATCTGTGTAAATAATAAAAACAGAGAGAAAACGATGTAATCAAGTAATTAAATCAGTCTTTATACATTGATATACTCTATCGGAAAGTTCTGATTAGACGGTTTTATTCGGAAAAATTTCTCGTTAAAGTACGAGAGGATCATATCAAGGGTATCTACTTCGACCTATCAAGACAGGAGAGACCTGGAACTACGGTCATCGATCCAGCTAACGATATCATGTCGCACGAGTTAATGATACTCGATATAAAAGACACGAAAAAGCTGTAAGGATAGCTTTGCAGTCGAGCTTGAAAAATGTCGGTACCTCGAAGCAACGTAACTAAATAAAACGATAGTTTTATGTGAAGATAAATTTATACTTTAAGTGATGATATACGAGTATAGAATGTCTTCGTTTATATATCTGTATTTGCTTTTAGACACATATATGTGAATACTATCATAATTAATAATGATTGTAATGTTAATATATGAATAGTCAATGCAATTATAGTGAAACATTTAGTTTAACATTAAAGTTTAACAAACTTGAAAGATTGAAGTAAATTTAATTCATGTAGAATGTGATTTATAAAATGGAATGTGAAAAAATCATCAATTATAAAGAAATCATAGAAATTTACCACAAGATTTATTTGCTATAACATTCAATTTCCTAAAATATTAATCTAATATTTTCAGTACAGGAAAAAGAAATTCATCACTAGAATTCCATGATGACAGATCGGCTTGCGTAACCTGTGCAACTCCTGAAGGCGACGAAGAACAATTATCAAGCCGCAGCCACATAACTGTCACAAAGCTAATCGGTCAAAGTTCACCGCTGCTTGGTCGGGTCGTGCACGTGGCATTTATCTCGATTTTCGAGGCGAAAATGGCCTTTTCAATCTTTCAGCGTCGTTTCCTAAATCTCCGCCCGGTCTTTCAATCCGTAACGCGGCTTTGCTGGCCGAAAGCGCGTCGTTCCGACTCTCAGAAACCCTAATATGTCTGTCTACAACATTTAAGGATCTACGATCTTCTTTGGTAATTGCCGTAATTACTGTTAAAGGCGTAGAGCCGCGCGAGGAAATCAGCGTGCTCGTGCATCGAATTTCAGAACTGCGCGATCATCAAAATGCTAGTAATTGATACGCTGATCACCTCTTCAATTGCTTGATGTCAATGTGAATGTCTGATCGTCCATTTTATATCCTTCAACTTGGAGAGAATTTAAGTTATTAAAAGAATCTTTAAATTTTTTATATTAATTTTCCTTCTAGTTAGGACTGTAACAACACTTTCCGAATTTTGAATAAATCTTTTGTATTAAAATCTTTCATCTAGAATAAAACGATAAAATATGTAGGAAAAATATTCATTGTTCAGATATATAGTGTCTCAAAAATATGATTGGCATGATGGTTACATAAACAAGATCGAAAAATCTGGAAGAAGGCGATATGGGATTCTTTCTATGACTAGAAAGAGAAAGTGTCAATTATTGCCATATTTTTAGAGAGAAACGCGACATATTTCATCATAAGTGCGCAAAATGTTTCGAAGTATTTCTTTGTATACATTCGAAAGGCCACCAAAAATATCACAAATAACTATTGCTATAAAAAAGTCAAAAGCATTCGTAAATAAATGAGTGCAAAGTAATAAATAAGTGAGTGGTATGAAAAGACAAAAATGGTTGATGATTTATCGGAACGTGGCGCGGCCCGAAGAGCAACAAACAAAAACTTATGATTAATAGATGTGGAAATATTTTCAAACAATTTTCGACTAATATAGCGTTAAGAACAAGCAAAATTTAAAAGAAAAGTTTAGATTAGTTTAGTTTATTTTGTATGAAATCATTCGAACTGTGCTCATAATTGGAAATAGCGGAGCAAAGTGGAGAAACTTTCATTATTTGAAAAACACGTGAAAAAAAGATTTTCTTGGGTTCAAATTTTTAATTGGATTGATTGTCATTATTAAATTGATGTCGCTCGATGTCAATTTGATGATATTTGAACATTTATGAAACACGAACTTCGTGGCAAAAGCGCGAAGCAATTAATTAGATATATTCATTTGATGTGGAGATCTTTACCTCAAGAATACGTTGTCAAGTGAAAAGTATATTTCCAAAATGTCAGGTAATTATTGAAGATGACTAGAATGTATTTTTATGAAAGTGACATAGTTCTAATCTATTAAAAAAAAAAAAAAATATATATATATATATATATATATATATGTTTTCATTTTTAAAATTATGCTGGTCATATTCTTTTTTGACAGACTAATAATAAATGTTATTGAAACGGAAGTTGATAAATGCCAGTACACAATCAATTGGAAATCGCAACTCCTTTGAATATAATTTTATATTTTATATATATTATATTAATAATTAATATTTATATTAATATATTTTATATTAATAAAGGAAAATATGAAATCTCAATAATTTTTAGGAAAAATAGTTATAAAATTTGTTGGTAAAAATTATTTTTGATTATAGTTATCTAAGGTATTTTTGTCGAAATCAAGCAAAAACAATATTTCTAATATTTAAAAAAAATTGACTTCATAATTATAATATTTAATAAAAAATTGCAAAATGCAATTATTAATTAGTATAATATTAATAAATCTTTATATAAATTTCAACTATCAATAAAATCTGTACATCTGTATATAAATATATTTAATATTGATTTAAGTAAATGTGGAACGTACGCCATATTAAAATTACTCTATATTTATATAGATATATTATATCGATTATCACACATAATAAAATTATTCTATATTGATTATAACATAATTCTTAAAAAATATATATAAATATATATATATATATATATATATATATATATATATATATCATCCAGTAAGTAATCCATATTTCATCATTTTTCTCATGTTGCAGAACTTATTCAAAGTTCAGAAACATTTAAAAGTCATATAGCGAAAGACATTTGCAGAATTAAATATAATTAAAGTGTTGTTTGATTTCGATAAACCTTCTCAATATTTCCTCAATTCATATATTCAAATGGGGGCACAATATAATAAGTAAATATATAATTTACCAATAATTTGCCAATTGCAATTTTCTCTCTATGTACAATAATAAAATCGTGATTGACGTCATATAAAAGTTATTTTTATTTTTTAAATAAAAACATTATATCGAGATTTCAATATTCGTTCGCGACGCTATTCACGATTGTATACGACGATGTGTACTTACCACTATACCGCGTATTAGGCATATAGGCGTATACAATCTCGGTCCTATTGAAGAGCGTCATGAAAAAGTGATATTTGCCTTCGGCATTGGAGCGCGACATAGTGGTATCCTCTATGATTCGAGAGCATTTTGTCGAATTCGTGCTTGTTACTGCAACGAGCAGCAACAAAGCGGCGTAGTACGCGATCCCAATATAATGCATCTTCTGTAAATGAAGAAAATAGCAATATGTAATTATAACGAATCAATAGTTTTTAATAATGTAGACAGTATAATAGCAATGTAAGCCGTAAAATCAAACATCATTTCCATTTTAAATCACGTCAATGCTTGCGAACCAATAAATATAATTGGAGGATGTTTTTACTTTATTTCGAGTTTTTTATTCTATGTAATTTGTTGTAGCTTCGAAATATTGTTTCGCATTTTCATTCACTAGCAAATAGACAAACGAGAATATTGATGAAGTATTATCGTTTCTCCTTTTATGTCCATTATAATTATCGGCTGGATAATTATTATAGATCATTAAACGCACAAATAATATTAAATTACAATTTATATTAAAATTTGAAAAAATGTAAAATAATTAAGAATATTAAAAATTAAAATGCAAATTAATTTCGGGTAGAATAACCGACAATTCCTGATCTCTCTCACGTTTGAAAGTCTATTGCACATCCTCACGTTCTTCGTTTATTTCCCTATTATGCATTTTAATTAAAATTTAAGCAAAGGGAAAAATATCCTATCATCATACAACGTCAACGAATTTAACTATTTTTCTTATTTTTCAAAATGATTGAGAATGTGCGACGGATAATTATTTTTTAACGAAGAATCGTTGTATAATTATATGATTATTTGAAAAATTCGATAATCTAAAATATCGAAATAGAGACGATAGATGATGCATGCAAAAATATATCGATTTTTTATTTTATATCTGACAAAAATAAATTTTTTTAATTTAACATATCTCAAAAGGATCCCAAAAGGATCTCAAAAGTCATCCGAAAGGAGTTAATTAGAAATTCGTCAAAGTCACACACATCGCGATGAAGGACGAAGAAGTATGGGATCGGAAACCGATCCTCCTAATTCTGGTTCCGTTTTGCCCAAAGTAATTTAATCTTCAAATTAATCATATAAAAAACAATTTTTCCATTTTGCATTCGATAAAACAAAAAAATTCTTTAATTTTTTACATTTTATTTCTAGAAAGACATTGTTAAAAAAGATTAATAAATTGAGAAATTTTGACGAAAAGTATTCTTGAAGAAAAATAATTATTCCAAATCCGAATCTTATATCGAAATATCGTTTCATTTTGATACAACAGCGAGATCGCGACCATAAAAATGCGCATGAGAATGTCACATCAAAGTACTATGAGTTAGAATAATGTCAACATGTGAAACAATTATCGCCCTGGTAATCACGTGCTTGATACAACAAAGCATCGTTGAAAATGCATCGAGTCATTCACTGCTCGTAAAATAGGTTCGTGCCAAAACGAATGCGTAAAATTATTCACGATTTTCTCGGTTCATTGAACGACTGAGCATCCGAAGTATTCGACATGATGGTAGAGATAAAACAAGAAATGCCTCTAAAGTAAATTATAATTTAAAAAACTATATTTTTTAATAATTTAATATCGATTTTTATAATAATTTAAAATCAACATTATCTTTAATTAAAATAAAATATTTATGATATTAAAAAATTGAAAAATCGAGCAATATTATATTAAAAAATAATATATTACATTAAACAAAATAATAATTAAATCAAATCTTATAATGTTACATTTAATAATGTTACATGATGTTATAAAATTGTTTTAAAAATCAGAATTTATTAATATTATTAGAAAATCATAATTAATTATAAAAACATAGAATATTAAAAATATATAGTCTTTTTTCTAATATCATAAAATAAAATATTAGAAATATTTGTATCCTTTATCAAAACTATTGTCAAATAAATACGCATGTATACTTATTAATGGTAAAAATACTAATAAATATATTTTGTTCGAAATTGACGAAGATAAGTATCAATGAAATAGCTAATTAGGCATTACGTTACATCCAGAATAACTTGAAAGAAAATGATGATTCAAATTCCATAAAGTCTTGCATTTGATTTAATAAAAAAAAATTATTTATTCTTGCTAAATTTTTATTTCACATCTTTTTGTACATTTTTTTATGCAAATAATCGATATAGAGTTACGATCGTAACGATGCGCGAGACGAGAAACACGATGCTTGTATACCATGTGATACATCGATCCGTGAGCATTACTGGCCTCTAATAAGCTGGTTAACCATAAATCCCAAGTGCCTAAATATATTGCACCAAGCCGGTATATATAGGACATGGCATTTCACTCTGCTTGGCGTTTTGCCCTGTTCGTTACTGTGCACCAACAAGTATCTTCGCTTACTGTGCACCAATAAGAACTCAAACAATATCTATCAAAAGAGAATTGACTTTCTCTGCGATTACGGATTTCTTGAGAATGATTTATATTATTGAAATTTTATTATATATATGCAAGGTTGGGTAAGTTTATATTTTTTTTAAACTAAATTAAGTTAAAGTTAATGGGTTAAAAAATTAATTTAGTTATGTTAAAAGTTATACAAATAAAAAATTAACTCAATAAAAGTTACGTTAAGATTAAATTAACGTTAGTTAAGATAAAAGTTAAAATTTTGAAAAGCATTATTTCACTTTATATTAAATTAGATTGTAATTTTAAAATTAGATTACTCTAAATAATAATAATATGAATCATCAAATAAATTTGGGGAGAAAGTTAATACGTTTAAGTTTATGTGTTTTAAAAATAATTAGTTAAAGTTAAAAAGTTAACTCTTTTTAACTTTAACTAATTATTTTTAAAACACATAATTTTAAAATAACTAAGTTGAGTTAAAAATTATTAACTTTTTAACTTTTTTTTAACTTTTAACTAATCAACTAGTTATTACCCACCTCTGTATATATGTTTCCAATTTATTCGCAAGAAATTTCCAAATTGTAACACGCACACAAGGATAAAACAATTATTGAAAATATAAAATAATCTTTTTATATCTTAATTATATCTAATTATCATGTTATTGTGTTATATTATCTATTTCTTTCTTTCCCTCTTAAATGTTTTAAAAGCATAAATGCGTTGATAGATAGTAAATAGATGAATTTATTACATTTATATAATTTCATAAATTTATTAACATACACAGTGTATATAAACACTAACACTTGTAAGTTTAATTTATATATAAAATGCCTATTCTGTTTATGCATCGAGGAATTTATGTCAATCATTGAAAAGTAATCAAATGGAATAATAAATCTATTTATTAAAATTTGTATTTATTCACCATATTAATATGAACGATCGTTAATTGGATTCTTACAAAATCCGGACTGTGCAATTCAGCAAAAAAATTTATTATTTACAATTAAAAAAACCATCATATTGTTCTACCGTTTATTTAACGCCGATTATAATCATCTCGTTCACATTAATTTCGCAGAAATATATTATTAAGTTCTTTATCTTTTTATAAGTAATGTGTATATATATGTTTATTAAAACTTTGCAAAAGCAAAAAATTTTAAATACATATTAAATTAATATTTATCAATGATAATTTAATATTTATTAATCTATATGTTATTATTTTATACAGATTTATATACGATATATACGATTATTTTATACCGATTTATAGAAATCAAGAATCAGTTTAGGCAGTGTAATTATATAATATAAATATATAGTGCATTTTTAACTTGTTTTTCGATCGAAAGTATGTTTAATTTATTTTTCAATGAATGTTTATACTGTAATTAAAAAATAATTTTTGATTTTACAAATCTATTTTTTATATTTTTCGGATATTTACTTTCTATTTAAATTAATGTGTGCACAAACAGAAAGAGAGAGAGAGAGAGAGAAAGAGAGAGAGACTATTCAAATTTTACATAGTACACTTGTATTAGGCTTTCTATCGGGATCAAAGCTGATCGTTATCGAGTTAAATGAGGTTGCCGGATGAATAAACGGCGGATCGTAAGAGGGATGACGGAACGAAGAGTGATGGAAGTAAGGGTGGGATTTACATCGAGGAAAGCGCAACTCGAACGACGGATTGCCAGGGAGCGACGTCAATATGTCGGTTTGGAACTTTGGAAGAAAAACGACGAACCCGATGAATGGCAAAGACCGTCTTGGCGATATTACGAGGATCGACATCGCGAGATGAAGCGCTTACGGAAGGAAGAGACGTATTCATGCTTTCTCGTCAAATAGACGATTTAATCTTTAACGGGGCATAGATACTGTAATCCTTAGTAATTTACGCGAAAGATATATCTTTATATTATACCTTCCTCTCTAAATTTCTTAAAATAATTTTCCTTTTTTTTTTCTTTTTCTTATTTTCTATAAATGTATCTTTTCATGAACAATCGCGATCAAGAAATTTTATATTGTTCTGGAACACATTTTATTCTACAGAATGCTTTCTGAAAGAAATTGCGTTCTGGTCATGTTACGTTGGTGTATGTCGAGTTAACAAAATACTCTTTTTTACAATATGTGTCTGTTAAACGTCACGGTAAACTGAACGCGAATTAATTTTTTCTGAAGCGCAAGTCTTTTCTCAGTTCTTTTCAAAAAATTAATAAATAATTATATAAGTTATTTGTAACTAATTCTATGAATATTTTTTATAGAAATGTGAAAGTCGCAACATGTATTTAGAATTATATAAAATTGCAATATAAAGATATTTTTAAATTCCTTATCGATTGTTTCATTTTTCATATAAAATATATGTAACTTAGTCTTATAATATATAATTAAAAGCAAATAATCAAGCAACATCTAACTTAACAAAATGATATATTTCAGAGAGTTAATATAATACAAATATACATACATATATATCAAACTCTTTTATTCTCATCTTCATCTCTTTTATTAATACTCAGGTAATGAATTTTTTGTTCGTATTTTTTCATGCAAAAAAATATAAAAGTCACTCTTTCCAGCGATATAGATATAAAAGCTGATTTTTTTGTCAATCTACATCACACCGGTATTGTCGTGTATAGTATTCTATAAAAATTTTAAAATATCTAGCTTTTCGATGAAACATTGATATGTTTCACTTGAAATAATAGTCGCGCCGAATAAATGCCGTCATTGGCATTATTTCGGCGCATTAAAATGTTCGTCGATGCATCAATGATTCATCAATTCAACACGCGAAGTTTTTCGTTAAACAAATATAATTCAAAAGTATATAGAGAACGCATATATATCGCGTTCTCCTTGTTGTAATTATGAATAATTATGAATAATTATTGTGAATAGTTATTAGAGTTAAATGATTGAATAATTAAATCATGTCGTATCGAATCAAATTGTTAGTCCATGTTGTATCCATTAATATTCATTAAATAATTACATTATCTTTGGACATTAAAATAATTGATTATTTCATGACTATATTATGATTATTTCAAGTATTTTGATTAATTATATCTTTAAATTAAAATTAGAAAAATGTTTATATATATAAAATGTGTGTGTATGTACATATGTAATGCCTGTCATTAACATTTATAAAAAATATTATAAAATATTTATAAGAATTATTTTTATGCATTTTGATCTCTTTGAATATAATTTCGAATTAAGCTTTTGCGACCAACGCTCTACCCTAAATTTAATAATTTTATGTTAAAAGCCATCATTTTGGTCGTTAAAAACGACCAAAACATGAACGTTAATTCCGCAATTTGGTAGAATAGCAGATTTTCGGCTCGCCGATTCACAAAAAAGACCCAACGCGACACGTATTCGGTAGCACTGACATAAGAAGCGAAAATGCACTTCTGCAGCCGCTTGCTGGCACAGAATCATCGCTGTTCGATCGTTTTTCATCCAACCTATCCATGTTGCATTGCGGACTGCCGTCTTTCTTTGCTTTCTGCTATCCTTATCTGCCCGTACGAACGATTTGACAATACGTTCGAATAAGGTGCCTAGTCGTGCATGAGAGAAGTATTCAGCACGCTCGACTAGTCGATAAGCCGATCGAGCAGAAGCGCCAACAAATATTTCAATCAGAATCGCGCAATTATATTTTTTACTATCATCCTTTATTAAATTAAATTGTCAAAATAATTTCAATAAAAATAATATATTTGCGCACACGATACATTATACGCATAATGTATTTTATCATTCACTGAGACTTTTTCAAATTTCTTTTATTTATTATTTTTTAAAACATTTATTTTATATCCTAATATTGATTTTATCCCTGTTTAAATATCTGTATCTGTAGATATGTGTATCATTATTTCTTCTCATTTTTTATTTTTTACCACTATTTTTGTTATAAATTATTATTTTTAAAATTCATTCAAAACCGATATAAATTAATACAGATAACTGTATCAGTGCTGACATATATCATCATTGTCAAAGGATAAAAGGTTCTTCTCGCACAAAGGAGATACAAGCAATAACTTTAGAAAATACACAAAGAATAGTTTCAAGATTCATTTAACATCAAAATATGTTATTCATTAAGAGACGAAAAAATCCGTGTATCTTTTCTTACAAAAATAATATTTTGGGAAATACAGTATAAATTTTTTTTAAACAAAAGTATTGTATTAGCCTAATTTTGCGCTATACTAATTTTTATAGCAAATAGCGGTTATTCGATAACTAAACATATTTATTTTAAATGTAAAATAAATATTATACACACAGTACATGATCACTAGCGGCTGTCAACTTTATAATCATATACCAAGAATATATATTACAAAATTGAAAATATAAATAAATCTACTCACGGCAATGTTGTTTACACCATTCAGCATGCGCGCCATTTTTTTTCTTCCGATCTCTATGAGTCACGTGCGACAGAGAAAAAACACACACTCGTACATATAAAAAACATCCGTCACCACCGCCGACCTTCGGCCAACTGACAACTCTGACTCTCGCAATGGGAGTTAATATCAACGCTGTTCGCTATTAGGCATGCGCGTACTCCAAAGAAGTTTCCCCCGCGATAATTGTACGCGTGTGTCGCGATTGCAAATATTTCAAGAATATTCAAGTGTCAAAGTTTGACCAATTTATGCAATTTACTCAAATGAGATTCACATTAAAAGAAAATATTTTGCTGATGTAGTTTTTCAGGTGTAACTTTCAAAAAATTTATCGCGCTACTTTTTGTGCCTGCTCGAATATTGTTTGTAACATATGGAATCTATAATAATAGAGCAAATTTAGATTCTATCCAAATATTAATCATTGCGATATTTGAATAAATATGAGTTTAAGATTTCCTTTATAAATTTCACTAATTAACACTTCAGATATAAATTCTATTTCTGTCATTTAAATTGATTAAATACAAACTCACACGGTATCATAGTATTTGCTAATCATTTATCAATTGCGTTAATTTTTTCCATCTAGAAAATATTACTACAATGAGAAATCTTTTTTCAAGTGCAAGTTTCTGGAAAATTGTGTAAAGTTATTTAAAACTATTAGAAAGATATATTTTGGGATGTTATATTTTTATAGTTCTCTCTCTCTCTCTCTCTCTCTTTCTCTGATAACAATTTATAAAAATTTAAACCTGCAAATGTGGAGCATAGGTACATAATATATAAAAAATATCTGTCACGCGGCTTCATTTATAGTAATATATAGCATTATTTATAGAAATAAAATTGTACAATATTCAATAGATAAAATACCTCGCAATATAGATTTATTCGCATATTGTGCGGTTCATATTGTGCGATCCATAAAAAAGCGAATTAAACTGACTAATTAACACGACGAAATTCTTCACGTGGTTTTTGACAATTAGTGCGCGACGCTTGTCCATCATGTGTCAATTGTCAATTCAACCAGTTTTATGAGTATTCCAGGAAGTTCTAATGAATGCTTAATGAAAGCGCACGTGCGTCAATGAAAAAGTACGTTTCCTTCGTCGGAAGCGTTCTTTATATGATTGCTTTTTTTTGCAACGTTGAAAATATTAATCTATCTTTCGCAATTCGCGATCTTTAATAACCGCTATTTACAATCACTTTTCATTTGAATATTTTGACATACCTAAAAAGTTAAAGCAGAAAGCTATAACTTATTTCGAGTATAAAAACTACTTTTTAAAATCTTTATCTAGAGGAACTCGATTTCTTTTCAATATATTTGATAGCAGAATGTTATTACTATGCTTAGAATATATAAAATTGCTGATTGCATCACATTACGAAACGAATCATAAACTCATGATATTTCTAGAAAATACATCAACAGCTGGTTCATATTGTGCGATCCATAAAAAAGCGAATTAAACTGACTAATTGACTTGACCTTGTTTACTCTTGAATTGCTTTATTTGTTCGAACACGACGAAACTCTTCGCGTGGTTTTTGGCAATTAGTGTGCGATGCTTGTCCATCATAATTCAACCAGTTTTACGAGTATGCGTCTAGAAAGTTCTAACGAATGCTTAATGAAAGCGCACGTGCGTTATGAAAAAGCACGTTTCCTTCGTCGGAAGTGTTCTTTATATGATTGCATTTTTTTGCAACGCTGAAAATATTAACCTATCTTTCTGCAAAAGATTATATGATGTTTGCCCCAAACAAAGACAAAAAAAAATGCTGCTTTTCCACTTGCTGAGATTTTAAATTGCTTCATGAAAAGAAGTAAGTTTCCTTCCACGAATGTTTTATCGGAACGGTTTTTTATAATTCTATATTTCGTGTAAAAAAAATTCGTGTAAATTTATTTTCTTAGATTAAAAATTATTTATTAACAATTACTTTTTTATGAAAAAATTCTTATGACACCTTTTGGGACACAATCGAGTATAATATTCTACGTATCAAATTCTGTAATAATTTAAGAATTAATCCTAAAATATTGCAAGTTTTTGCAAACGTTACTTTTGAAATTGACACACGTGTATTAAAGAACTTTCAATCAATTTTATTACACAGCGATGTATTTTAATTTTGAAAATTTCATTGTACAAACATTCAACATAAAATTGATCTCAATTTCAAAACAGCTTAAAATCGTCGACTGTCTCGAATCAACGCCAGCGCTCGTTCGTCTCGCCCTAATCAACAAAACTACGAAATTGAAACTCTCCTTGCCCTCTCGAAAGTCTCGTAGATCTATTCGTAAATCCAGCTGTCAGCGATCGTGCCATTATCGTGAAAAAGAGTCGGAAAATGCTGAACGAAGCGGTCACGATAAATCCTTCAGGTTATATATTGCATCTAGAATAATAATATAGAAATTCGAAAATTGATTTTCTTTATATTTTTACTATTGCATATTTCCAATAACAATATAAGATGGAAATGTCATATTATTATTCAACCCTAGACCATAAGAAGAAATGCTGATGCAGAATTTAAATTTATTTTTTTTGTTTGTACATATATTAACGTGCTCTTTATAACTATATATTATAAAGAAAGTTTAAAAAAAATTTCAATACATTTGATGTTATGTTATTTTTACATTTTTGTTCTTATTATATTTTATGGAAAATTATTTTGAGCAATCTACTAAAAAATAAATATTATTATAAGGTGAAAATAATATCATTTTATAATGTTTTAAAGTTTATAAATAATTAGATTATTGTATATGAAGGTTAGATTATAGAAGTAATGCTGTCATAGAATGATTCAGAGTGCATTCTTCATATTGCACTTATATTGCAGATATATTATCTTTTTAAATAATTCTTTATATATATATATATATATATATATATATATATTTTATTTATTTATTTATTTATTTTACTGTTTATGTTTAAAAGAAAGAGATGACACTTTTACAATTTGATAAAAAGGAGAAAAAGAGCAAAAACATAGAATGCTAAGAAAAATTTTACATCTCAATACTAATTAGTAAATTATGTAATCTATTATGTAATTATATAATTATACTTTTAGAAAAGAAAAACATATTTATTTATATATTCATATTATTATTTTATAGAAAAAGTGGAAGATCGTCCATCATCTAATAGTTCAAGAAAATCTGCAGCATTTAATACTGGAAATAAAACCCACAAGAGTAAAATTCCAACAACCCTGGTTGGGCGAAATGCTATGCAAGTACGTTATTACAATACCTTATCAAATAGTTGCTAAATAGTTTTGTACTTAATAAAGGAAAACTATATACTTTCAGCACTCCATTTGATGGAAACATATTGTAGTCATTAATATTAATTCATTATTAACATTCAATAATAACAAATTAATTTATATTCTTTTCATAATAATTTAATATTTATTAAGTATTCATAATAATAATGTTTTTTAATATTTATTTTTCTTTATTTTACATTATCCATCAAACTAATTATCTTTTTTGCAGGGCGATTCCCTAATGTGTGAAGAGTCTTCTAGTGGTATTAGCTCCAATAATATCTCCGCTCGTCGACCAAGCATGACTTTGAATATGTTGTCTAATAGGAAACCAACGACTGCAATTTCCGCGGAAAAACGACACTTGGAGATCCAATATAGCGCAAAAAAAATGCGATACACTAATTTAAAAAAAACGCTCGCCGAAAAGCAGGTAGAACAAATTTTTATATATTGAGCGAGAAAATCTTTTCGTTCACTTCATATTATTCCAGATTCTTCAATTATTATGAATTCTTGGATAATTTTTTTAATATATCAGATTTTAAGCTTTGATAAAAATCAATATTGTAATAAAGAAGAACAAAATTAAATTTTTTCTTATTCCATTTCCAGAAAATCACGCAGGATTTGTACGATGAGATATCGAATCTACGGGAAAAGATAATCACGGCCGGCGGCAAGGATCCTGGCAAGATCGAAGAGCCAAAGTCATTTCAAGTGGAATGTCTTAAGCAAAGTCCGTCAATCGAGACAAACTTGCATGATTACGGACAATGGGAGCAGATCTGTATGGATGAGTCGACGGTGATGGGAGTGTCGTTGTTGCAAAATCAGCTGGAGGATCTCTGCGACCGCTCTCAAGAGCTTTGTCAACGTGCCCTGGACAGAAGCTCGTCGTTTGTCTCCCTCGTTAAGTCCTGGCTAACAGAATCACGTAAACAGGACGAGATGGGTAAAGTGTCGATTTTAGTGGATTATTCAGAAGCAGAAATGCAGCAGACGAACCTCGTACAGAGCAACGAAGAGCTAAAGACGCAACTGGATGAACTGAAAGCGGCCCAGAAGGACTTTATCACTGAATTTGCAACGAGATCTTCGAACTTGCGCATTGAATATGACAATTATCTCAGTCGCATGAAGAAGGAGCAACAAAATGTCGAGCGCAAGGATTTGCAAGAGCAGCTGAACATCGCTTTGCAGGAACTCAAGGCGGAACGTGACAAGGCGAGTCAAGGCAAAGAAAGGATGCGAATGATAGACTTGCAGATGCAAAAAGCAAAAACGAGAATTCGTGACCTGGAGGTACATGTGACTAACGAGGAGCTAAAGTCGCAGCAATTGCAGAACGGCATGAAGACCTTGGAGGCTCAATTAAAGCAGAAGGATCAGTCAATGGAATTAAGGATGAAGGATATGAACAAGGCAATGAAAAGCAGCGAGGATCTTATAGCGAAGATGGAGAAGCAACGCGACAATTTCGAATCACGGTTATCATCTTAATCAGCCCAAATATTGAGATTCTTCTTAATTCTCGTTATCTTTAAAAAATTTAAAAGTCAACAAATTTAAATAAATAAATAGTTATATATGTAAGGAGAAAATTTTAATAAAAATTTATAATTTCATATAAATATAAATGATGATAAAGATATATATATATATATATATATATATATATATATATATATTTATTATCATTTATATTTATATAGATAGGTAATATAAAATTACTTTATATGTAATAAGAGCACTAAGGGGGAATTCTTTTTCTGATCTATATTTTACCTATTTTTACCTATTTTAGAATGTTAGAACTCAAACAAAGGATGGTTCGCAAGGAAGCTGAAGCAAATGGTACTATTAAGGAATTATCAGAAAAGTTCGAAGCGATCAATGAGGAAATCAATGAAGAAAGAGAAAAGAGGTGAGTAATTAAAGTTCCGCCTTTACCATTAGTTATTAATTTTGTTATATTAATATTATTAAAGAAATATAATAATTATATAATTAATATTACTTTAATGGAATAAAATAATTATATATAATTTACAATTCACATATATATGATTTTATATATAAAATTTTCTTTTTTTCTCTCTTTTTCTCTTGAATAAATTTTTTTATTTACAGTTATATTATAAAAGAAAATTATTAAAAGGAAGAGATTAAAATTTCAATTAAATTCATTATAGACAGCAAGCCGAGAATGCTCTAACAGAAATCGAAGAACGTTGCAAACATCTCGAAGAGAAGAGTCAGTTGCTCTGCGACCTCGCGAGTGAAAAAAGCAATAATTTAGTTGTGACAGGTAAATAAGTTTAGATTTACTTCAATATCGCTTTGCTAGTTTTATATTGACCCATTCAAATGATATAAATGTGGATATAATATTTATTTGTCCTTATGATTATATTTTAGATAACAATCACACGGAGAACGAAATTTGTCTGTACAATGATTTGACAGCTGCCCGAGCCCAGTTGGAACAGCAAAGGGAAAAGATCGAGCAACTAGAGAGGGAAAAGCAAGAGATTGTCACCGTGATGTATCAGGCAGCCGTTAGTTTGCACTACTTTCGAGACTTCTACTCATATAAGAGCTAAAAACCGTTCGATTGCTTTCGATTGCTCGTTAGACTGTCTTTATTTTCATCTCTGCTAAATCTCAATCCTCGAAATTAATTCCAATTATTTGTTCTTTTTATTCGTCCACAGAGTGATAACGAAGACGAGACGAAAGATAAACTAGCTGCCGAACTCATAGCCAAGACCAATGATCTCCAGAATCTGATGTTAGAACATGCTCAGCTGCAAAATATCGCCAGATTCACGTAAGCTTTAGCTATTAAAACATTATTCCGTTAATTTATAACAGATATATATATATATATATATATATATATATATATATATAATTGCAAAGTAATTAATTTTTTTCATCTTATATGATACAGAAATTAGCTTGTTCTTATGATATGTGACAATCTTTTATATTTGTAGATTTTATTTACTTATATAACTATAATGTTTGTTGAGTTTGTCAGGTCAGATTCTCAATCTCGGTTATGAATGTGCAGGCAAGAAAGAAATGAAATGCTAGAGAATCAATTAGCCGAAGTTCAGCGTCATCTTTACGCAAAGTCGAAGGAGGGTGGCAAAACGGGATTCGACACGATCGAGCTTCAGCAGCAGATCAGCGATTTGCGAAATAGTTTAGCCGAGGCTATGCAACAGAATCAAGAACTGGAAACCACTCTGACTCAGAAACAGCTGGAGCTGGAACAACGCGATCGGGTGATGCGGGAGCAAAGCAAATTCCTCAAAGCCAGGGATGAGTTGTTGAGTCTTCTTAAGGGAAAGCAAACGAACGCGAATAATCTTGTCAACGAAAATTATGAAGATATTGATGAAGTAATATCACATGGGCATATCTATAATTTTATCATTTTTTTTTCAAATACTTTAAGAAAAATTCTTTTAAGCCATATTTAGAGATTATAAAAGTTTTAAATATATTAATATTAATATTTCTTAATTTATATTTTATAGGTCTCTCTGATCACGTTTTCTGATTTGGCGCATTGATCACATTTTTCGGAACTTAATTACATCGACAACTTTTTTTCTAGATCAATAAACAGATTGCTGCGAAGACTGAAGCAATTCAAGAACTATATACCACGTTGGAAAGTAAGCAGATGCAAGTGATGCGACTGGAGAAGTTGGTCAAGCTATTGGAGGATCAGCAGGATCGAGCGCAGGCACAACGCACGCGGTTGGAGCATCGCATCGCTCAACTAGAAGTGAGCTTACGAGAGAAGAATAATAACAATCGGTATGTCATAAGAAAATACTCGGATGCTAAATCTCGGCCAAACTCCATCGACAATAAACTGCCACGCACTTTTTCTTGCGAGTCGAAGCGAACATTACTGAAAGCATCTCTACCAATGTTTCATCTTATCGATTCATGTTCATGCAAAAGATCAAAACCATATTATCCGTATCATACTTCATCTATAAAAAATCCGTTTCCTTCGCCGAAAGAATTTTATCTTGATAATTGGTGCCATGTTTCTTCCGATAAGGAAGAGACTTTCGTTTGTGAGCAATGTCAACGCAATGAAATTAATGAGAAATATAAACGTGATGTTATAATCCATCCTGTCAAAGATCATCAAGTTCCCATTCAGAAATCCCTCTATGGTTGGCTGATGGATTCCTCGGCTCTAGAAGCCTTTGGCGAACCTACGATTGGCTTAAATAGGTTTCATAATAGGCGTAACTCATTCGAAAAAGACACAAATTGCCTTTTCAAGATTATTGATCCTCTTATAAATCGCAATAGTGAAAAGAGCCGTAACAGAAGGTCATGTCATCATCGTGAACAATATTGTCGTCGATATAGTCGTTTCCCAAAACAATTTCTTCATACATCTTGTTAAGATTGTAATCGAATTATTTGCATGACATAGTGTTATAATTTATCATAATTCGTGCAATATAAATTTTTGATGGATATCTATATTGATCAAATAATTATTTAAACAGTCTATGTCTGCAACAATTGCATTGTATGTGAGTGTGATTTGAATTGAATGTTTCTCAGATATTACATATAATTATAATGACTGAAATGATAATGATATGCATTAGTAACTTTTACTTTTAGAATTTTGAAAATTTTATTATTATTTGCATTTTAACAATTAATTCTTATATTTATTAATCTAATAAATTATATTAATATCAAACTTGCAAATTACCATTGTTTCTAATAAATTAATCGTTATTATAGAAGAAAAATAAATTTTAGACATCTTAACTTTTAGACATATTAATGCACTCAAGATAGATATTTTTTTATGTGAATTCATTACACATATCATGCACATACATACGCACGCACACAAAGACTTTATTCATTATAATAAAATTTGTAAAATTCTTGGAATTTTTTGTCATCTTGAGTGTGTTAATATGGTCTGTTTTAGTAGGCTAGGTACTCTTTACATTGTACGTTTATATAACTTGATAACAGAGTTTCTTATAGAGTGCCTAGCCTTGTAATAGACTGAAACAGTCAATGCTTTCATATATTTCTGATAATCTAATCTTTTATGTTTTAGGACTAAAACCTTTGGCATCCTATAAGAAACTCTGTAATCGTCGACAAATTCTATAAGTATCAATCTACAAGTCATATTAGATTTAACAAATTATTTACATTAGACATGCTTACATGTCTAATGGATATACAATGAGGTACTTAAAATTATATATGAATTTAAAATTTTATATAATTACATACATTTTGTTGTAATTATTATATTTTTGAACATATTTATAAATATTCTGTTTGTAAATTTCGTTTATTTTATATAATAATATTTATTTTGTTGAATAAAAATATATACATGAGAAAAATATATATTGCTCTCTATATTCTTTTTAGTCACTATCGCTACTATCTGAATATGCACCTAATAATGATAAACTATTACTTACAGTAGTCGATTTAGAGGCTATATTTGTTGTATCTGAGGTATTCATCATGTTAGGGATTTCATCCAATTGTGAATCAGTAAGAACAATGTTTTCAGATGCTTTTTTATTGTGTGTTGCCTTTGCATTTACCTTTATATTAATATTTTTCTTGACTAAATTCTTCTTGTTAGATGAGAATCCTGTATTTTCTGACCACAATGATACTTTTGTTGATTTCGAGAAATGTTCAGAATCTTCCTACAAATAACAAATAATTATAATCATCAATTTTAATATACATTTTATTCATCAGTTCTTTTTGGAAATGAAAAAAAAATTTATTAGATTGTAAGATTAACTTACTTTTTCTTTATCACTTGTTTCTTCTGTTTTAAACATTTTTCTAACAGGTTCATCTTTTTCTTCTTCTTCCTTTACTTCTTCAACTTTCTCTTCCACAACAGTCCCAGTTAATTGTCTTTTACCAAATATAGATTTAATATATTGCTCATCTAATTCTTCTTGTTCTTTTTCTGTTCTCTGTCTAGCAGTATCTGTATCGTATTGTTGTAACATTTGATCATAATCTATAGTCTGTTGTCTACGATTTAAATCTTTCAACTCTTCCAAAGATTCTAACAGTTCTAATTCCTGTTTAGACTGGAGCGTTCTCTTTTCCAAAAGCTTCATTGGATTAGTTGCCTCCTCCTCTTTCTCCTCATCCTCCTCTCTTTGCGCTTGCTCCTCAGCCAGTTTCAATGCCATGAAGTTTCTCGTGGCACCTGCCTCGATCTCATAATCTGTGTTCTTAGGATCTGTTTTGAAGGATATCTCTTGCAGACAGCGAGTACACTTAATATAGAACCTGTAGATGCGTATGCCCAGATAATCGTCCCCTTCGACGTCCTCTTTACGCGCATTAAATTTCTTGCCCTTATAGATATATTCGCCGCATGTTTTGCATCGCATATTAAACGGAGCCATTAAACGCACAGTGTATTGACGATTTCTCGCCAATTTCATGCGCGGAATCTTCGACGGATCAAAATCTGGTGGGTAGTATTTCTAAAAATATAAAAAATATGAAAAGATAAATTAACTGAAACACACAATAATTATTCGTTTTAAATTTCGTACTTACATTTAAAACTTTGCGCTCCGACATTTTGCGGCTTTAAATCGTAAATTATATATACACGATTAAATTTTAAACCTATACAGTCTCTTAAATTAATTTGTACAACGAAAGTCACAAATTCGAAAACTTAGGTTATATTAGCGCCGTTAAGGTTATGAGTTCATTCGAAAGTCCCACCGGTGGATTAAAATAGCGTTTAATGGACAGACTGGGAGCAAAAATTTCTTTGTTGTGATTGGTCAATTAAATGGCCCATTAAAGGGTCTGTTCGATGTAGCTCACTGCAACAGTGCAGCTACAACGAACAGACTCAAAGTCGTAATCACACTACGTTGCGAATGAAATTGACCAATCAGAATAAAGCAATTTACCGGCCGACTACTTTGATTGGCCAATTCCGAAACGGGTTTTTTCTCGCGCACGTGCATTGTATGTAATCTTGAAATACCAAATTCGTAAAGGTGCAATTTCATTGACGCTAGAAACCAGCGGCAAATTAAAATCACTAGACTTTCTCTAGATATGGCGTCAATAAAATAAAGTTCAAACAGTTTCAACTTTTTCAGTGTGTAAGGCCTTTTCATTGACGCTACTTTTTAGCGTCAATGAAATTGCACCTTAACAGTTGGCAGCCCTACGAGATAGGCTGTGCAGCACTGCGCGTATATAAAATAAATTTGAAATCGCTCCTAACCATCTTCACGCGATCGACTTTATTTGAATTGCACGGCATCGCATCGAATTATGATGCGGCGCCGATTTGTTCGAACGTAATTCGGGACATCGCGATGCTGTATAAGCGTCGAATGAGCACGAATTGTCACGCAAATATGATAAATCACATCTACTCACCGTTCACCGGCTGTTCCACAGGCCGCTCCACTCGCTCGCCTCGGGACGTCCCATTCCGATCTTGATGCACACGATATCATCAACGCGAACGCGCGACACTTTATTCGGCACTCCCGATATTCGCTCGCATCCGATAATCATCATCAAGGGCGCAAATAACGCGACGCGACTTCGTTCCATCTTCGCGATCGCGTTATCACTGAACTGTGAAAAATAGCTGTCGCGCACTTTCACCGACATATTATGAAAGTCGCGCGATCATCCTTGGACACTTTCGACGCTCTTTCACTCGCGATATTCGTTTAAAAACGGTTAAAAGACACGAAAAATGCGGACGTACGACGATCCGTGTAACTGCGTATGACTCCGATTCACCTATGACGCGTATGACGTAGCAGTGACGCGTATGACGTAGCGACACGCGCTAACATGGCGGCCGAACCAGTGCGCAGAAACGAATGCGCACTGGTTCGGCCGCCATGTTAGCGCGTGTCGCTACGTCATACGCGTCACTGCTACGTCATACGCGTCATAGGTGAATCGGAGTCATACGCAGTTACACGGATCGTCGTACGTCCGCATTTTTTGTGTCTTTTAACCGTTTTTAAACGAATATCGCGAGTGAAAGAGCGTCGAAAGTGTCCAAGGATGATCGCGCGACTTTCATAATATGTCGGTGAAAGTGCGCGACAGCTATTTTTCACAGTTCAGTGATAACGCGATCGCGAAGATGGAACGAAGTCGCGTCGCGTTATTTGCGCCCTTGATGATGATTATCGGATGCGAGCGAATATCGGGAGTGCCGAATAAAGTGTCGCGCGTTCGCGTTGATGATATCGTGTGCATCAAGATCGGAATGGGACGTCCCGAGGCGAGCGGCCTGTGGAACAGCCGGTGAACGGTGAGCAGATGTGATTTATCATATTTGCGTGACAATTCATGCTCATTCGACGCTTATACAGCATCGCGATGTCCCGAATTACGTTCGAACAAATCGGCGCCGCATCATAATTCGATGCGATGCCGTGCAATTCAAATAAAGTCGATCGCGTGAAGATGGTTAGGCTAGAAGCGATTTCAAATTTATTTTATATACGCGCAGTGCTGCACAGCCTATCTCGTAGGGCTGCCAACTGTTAAGGTGCAATTTCATTGACGCTAAAAAGTAGCGTCAATGAAAAGGCCGCTTAAAGATGCGGCCTCATTGACGCTAAAAAGTAGCGTCAACCATTGGTTGAACAATGAAGCAACTATACTTACCTCTTTGTTCAACTAATGGTTGACGCTACTTTTTAGCGTCAATGAGGCCGCACCTTAAGAGAAAAGTTCAATTTTTAAGACAAGTATTGTCTGATTTTTCTTGATAGTCAAATATTAAAAGAAATATAAAAAAAAGAATACATTTTCTATCTGTCCTCAAAAATACTCTATAATTTGCTGTTGATTTTCCTCTTTTAGATCTGCGTTTGATTTATGCCTTAATTTAAAAAAATTTCTGGCGAAACCGGAAATCATGTGTATAATGTCGAGCCGCTAAGTTTCCGGTTCGTATACGTTCTTCTCTCCTCTCTTCGCACGTTTCGCTCGAACGATTCGCGTTAGCTGATAAGGATTTGGTGTATTGATACACGGTAAAAGATTTATAGCATTTATATACAGAAATAATGGCTGGGACAATAAGGAGTCTTACGAGAATCAACGCAAAGGTTGCCAGCAATATCGTTCTGAGACAAGGCTTCCTAAATTGTACGTAACTTCAGCTTAACCTCGCGTTGCATTATCCTTTTGATTTATTTTTATCATCGATTTATAAAGCATTCTATGCGACATTAATATTTGAATATTACTTATATTATACTTTAGAAAACATACTTCAAAATATCTCCAATATTAACTTTTAATTAATATTCCATTATTTGTATTACATCATATTATACTTACAATAATTGATAAAGGAGATTAAATAAATTATACATATTTTAAAAATGTATTATTATTATTATAATATTAAATGTGTTATATATATATATATATATATATATATATATATGAAAAGAAAATTAAAAAAAAATTTTTAATATTTTTTATAGATATTTCTATTTTAAATGCATGCTTCATACAAGATATTGAAATGTATATTGGACAAAATTTACAAAATAATCAAAGTTTAGAACAAAATGAACAAATTTTAAAAATTTCTTTTAATTCGTTTTCATATTCATTAATTATGATTTTTGTATATTTTGTATCAATATTTTATATAATATTTCTTTTGAAGAAAGATTATATAAAATATCTTTTTTATTTTGCAGCTTGTAGATTCATATATTCTGAAAAAAGTTTAGGTCTACATGGTTATGAAAATGCACGATTAAACTTTCGCAATCAGTTTTTAAATGTCGAGAATGCATTCCGTACTAAAATACAGGAGATCTGTAACACAGAAGGTCAGATTTTCACAGAAGACCTGAAGTCTATGTTGCATTTAGTACAGAAAACACCTGAAGATATTGAATTGCTTGTCAAGATGATAACAAAGTTTAACAGTCAAAATAAAGAACTGAGATTTGGTACTTTCATCTTTGGTCCTGTAGTAATGCGGACCTTTTATTATCTTGATGAACCAGATCTTGCACTTACTGCTTTCAAAGATCCTAAGTTTGAGAATTTCTTTGATCAGCTGATTAGCTACCAGATTCTCTTATCTCTGCTATATAAGCATGAGAAATATTTAGAAATGAGAGATGTGTATGATATAATTAAAACTAAAAACCTAGATTCTGGTGGATATCCAAGGAATTCTTTGATATTAGTTATGGCTGCTTGTTATAAAGAGGTAACATTTCTTGTAAAAGCAATTAAATTTCATTACAGTCTATTTTACATTATCATATTTAATACTTTCAGAATACACCAGAATCATTGGAATATTCTCTAAAGGTCTGGAGAGAAATAAATGATAAAGGATTTACATTTATGCGTAGAGCCAGTACATTTTTAACAGCTTTAGCCATTAACCAAAATTCATCGCACATAGCTGTAGAAATTTTAACTACGATAAAAGAATCTCGATATATTGATGTAAGATGCTTAAAAGTTTTGGCATATGCAGACTTGAAGAGATTCACTGAAATAGTGCCTCTCTTTAGAAAATCGCTAGAAGTTGATAGGCCAAATATTCAGAAAGAAAGTTACTTCACAGATGTGGTATGTATCTACTTAAATATAACTTATTTAAGCAATAACAAATGTGTACTATTTTTATGTATATTTTAAGATCGAAAAATTGGAGAAGGCTATGGCAAAGGAGAATATTCCTGAAGATTTTGAGCTTTATAAGTTGATTGGACTGTTGAAGAGCAACAATCATATCTTGCTTGATGTAAGTTTTACTAAGATAATAACTTTGATAGATAATTATTATTAATTTATTGCATGTAATTCTTTATAATTTTATAAGGTGAATTTTTTTATATATTATAAAGGATTTGTTACATATACATGTTTAAATCTAGTAGAGTTAAACATAGTTCAATATTGTGAGATTGTGATGAAAGGGGTTAAAAAAATGTAAGAGGGTAAATGTAACTATATTATTTTATAGATATTTCTATTTTAAATGCGTTTCATACAAGATATTGAAATGTATATTGGAACAAAATTTAAAACAAAATGAACAAATTTTTAAAATTTCTTTTAATTCGCTTTCATACTCATTAATTATGATTTTTGTATGTTTTATATCAATATTTTATATAACATTTCTTTTGAAGAAAGATTATATATTAGATTCTATATTTTTTTTTACAGTCGACCTTGGAAGAACATATCATTTCTGAAATAATTAATCGATATTTTATAAAGTGGATTTTTTTACATATTATAAAGGATTTGTCACATACATGTTTAATCAAGCTGATAGATATTAAATATTGTTCAGTACGGAATGTGAAATGTTTTTTGTTTTTTTTTTATTGTGGTATTTAACGTGCTCAACCGATCTAGTCTTCAACGGGTTTTTGACATCTGTTCATAAAACCAGTATTTCTTCATCATTTTTGTCATCTACTAAATCTTTTCTTTTGAATAATTTTACCTATTTCTTTGAGGAAGGTCCACATATCTCTTAAGGGTTTCAAATTAATTTCCTTAAGTCATTTATCTCTATTATAATGGAACTACTGTTTTTTTCTAACTCCTAATAAAACTTATTTCTAAATTCATCATACTTAACACAAATAAAAGCAATATGATGAATATCCATTATATCTCTGCTTCACAATTTGGATACGCATCTTGGACTATATATTCTTTCCTTGCTAATGACTCATTTAAATTATAGTGATTAGCTCTTAGTCTATTAATCATTGTGATCAATCTTCTTGAACCAGGCTTTACAACTATCCTTATTGTAAAAAATGTTAAAATATTTTAAGCTCTTGTAAGTACTCTCCCTTTCTAGTTTCTCTCTAGTTTTATTATACATTTGCTTTTTAAAAATAACTTTCCAGTCGTTCATCGGAATCTTAATTCTATCGTCAGTGTCTTCATCTGTCGCTTCTTTAGCTAGCATATCCACAAGTTCATTTTCTTGAATTCCTGAGTGACTTGGTATCCACTCTATAATAATCTTATTTTCAAACTATTAGTCTCATTTTTTCCTTTGATAAATTAAAAACTCTCTTATTCTAGTAGTATATTTACATTGATATACATTCATTGGAATTATTCATTAGCACTTTACAAGAACTTAATGAATCTGTAAGCATCACAACATTAGGCTTAAATTATTATTCTAAATAAATCCTAGATCCTTTTCAATAGTGATTATCTCTGCACTAAATATGAAACATTTATTATTTATACTTAACTTATACGCTACATCACTATCTTCTATTGCTATTCTTATGCTTACGCTTCTTTTGTCATTCTGTTTTGATCCATCTGTATAAATAACTTTGTAGTCTTCTCTAAGATTACATTTATTTTTATAATTTAGAAGTAGCTCATAATTGCTGTTCAAGTTTTCTTCTCTTTCCTATATCTAAGTCTCTATTTTTTTATTGGCCAATAATTTTACTTCATTTCTGAATTTTTTTACATCTCTCCAAGTTTTCATGAAAATACTTAATCCATCTCCGGGATTATTCAGTCTGTCTATACTTTCCATACTTTCTAATCTATTCATCATTCCTATCATATCTTTAGTATATGTAAAATATTTTTAGCCAATAATTCTGCCATATCCTCTAATCTCATTAGTTTAGATTCTGCAATAGTCACATTTGTCGGAGTGCTATTTCTATATCCTACTGCAATTCGTACTTCTTTATGCTACAATTTTTCGATTTTATTTCTTTCTCTAAGAAAGATTCTCGGAAAGAATACAAACAAACTATAATCTATTTTGAATTTGATAAAACTTTTATAGATTATAATTGCCATATTTACTTCTAAGAATTTCTGCTTAAAAATTTAAGTATATTAATTGCCTTAACTTTGTCTTTTACTTAATAATAACTATTTTGTGATGAAAGGGATTAAATATAACTATATTCTCTTTTTACAGTTGACTTTGGAAGAGCATCTCGTTTCTGAAATAACTGTCGATCCATTAAAGCGTGTTCAACGACGATTCAACAAAAATCAATTTCAATCTAATCCTCCGCGATCATTTTCACAAAATAGATCAGTAATGCGAGATCTTTTGTAAATCCAAAGTTGTAGAATGTATTTCATAACCCAATAATTATTAGTTTGGGTAAATTTAAGATTATAATAATTATGAATAAATAAATGATCTATATCGATTGATGATCTAAATCGCAATTGTTCTTAGTAAATACAATTTATTTAATAAAAACAATTTGATCATACATACAATCATCGATCATATATAGATTAAAATAGAAATCAAACTTAATCATTGATATACCCCCTTCACCTATATAAGATTTGATCAATTTTTAAAAATATTCATAAGACTTTAAGTTATGTATACAAACAATTCATTACATAACTTATTTATTATACACAATAATGCTTACAAAATATATTTTTACAATGAATCAAAAAAAGAATGCACACCTAAGTTTTAGCTTAAGAAATAAGTTTTTGTATATTATGAAGCCATTGTGACATATAGTCAGAAGTTTGGAATTGTGATTTTATCACAGATATTAATGACGATATCCATTGATTATTATTCTTGGAATCCTTGTCTGTACATCTATAAACAAAAAAATAATTCATATAAATTATATTCATATAAATATAGTCTAGTAAGACAAAGAAAACATCAGTTTTCATAACACTGACCTAGGTAGAAGAGTAGCAATAAAATTAGCCCAGCTCTCAACGTTGGCCGGATATGTAAATATATTTTTCTGAGCCTGTCTAAGACCCTTTGTCGTACCGAAATGACTATATGCGGAGGCACAAGCAACATATACAATATCAGTCATGGATGTATTTCTGCTTAAAACCAATGCTGTCTGAGCACATTTACGAAAGATGTCCAAATCTGTATTCAACAATGAGACTCTAACGAGACGAATCCAATACCTAATGTCATCTATAAATAGAAATTTGTTTTAAAAGATAAGCTTAAATATTTGATAAATAATATCACACACTTACTAGGATGTCTGAAGATAGCTTTAGAGAAAATTCGGATAGCTTCCGTGAGATTTCCTTGAATAATTTGATAATATGCGAACAATGTGACAACATGATGACCATACTCGTGGTCATCTATGTATGGTTTCAATTCCTCTAACACTAAAGAGGTCATATTGGAATCATCATGTAAAATTCCTAAAGCAACGATAGCTAAGAAACCAGCTATGATGGGCGGTTTTATATCTATGCATTGGAACAATAGAGTCTTGACAGCGTCCGCTCCTTGAAAAATATAAGCAATCGCGGCCATCGCGCATAAAATATTCGCTTTGTGCGTTTCGGTGTCTGCTAGCCAATGTAGAGCTGCTTCATACGTATTGTACGATTCTTCATATTGCTTGGCTTTAAATAACGATAATGCCAAATGGCATTGAGAATTGAAACTTCCACATTTCACTTGTCTACATAACTCGATCGCTTCCTCGTGTTTTCCGATTTGAATCAAAACACGTGCCAAATTTATGGATATCATGTCTCTTTTTTCATCCTGACTCAGTTTTAAAGCTTTGACAAATTGCTTAACCGCCGTATTATACAATCTCAGTCGTTCCAACAACAGACCGTGAGTATTTAGAGCATAAACGTCGTTCGGTACATATTCTGAAAATTATAAAATTTATTTCGAAATATAAAAAGATCACGTCGAGCTGACTTAGTTATCTCTAACGCCCACCTGTATACCAAGTGAGAACATCGGCTGCTGCAGGTATCGCGTGCATGTTTTCGATAACGTAAACAAATAATGGATCTCTCTTCATTATAGGATCTAAAAGAGTAGTAAGTACCCAGTGAGCATAGCCTAAAGCCGCTTCGTTGTGATAACCCAATTGTGTTGAATGTCGGAAAAGATCCATCCTTTCCTGCGGATCGACTTTCTCCGAGTTTTCCGCGATTATTCCTTGGCCTATCCAACTATTCATATAACCGGGATCCGCACGTTGCGCTCGAGAGTATGCTTTATTCGCTCTATGAGTCTCTCCTTTATATCAACAAATAATATATTAAGTAATTGATATAAAATACATATTAATAACATAATAAAATGATAATTGATAGAATAAAATGATAGAGAAAAGTGATAATTATGTTTCTAAGCGTACCTAGATGTAGGTACAATGTGGCCAGATTGCTCCAAGCTATTGCATTGTTTGATTCTTGATCAATCGCCATAACGAAGCAATGCTGGGCCAGAGCATAATTCTTTATATATGGTGACATGCAAATAACACCCAAAATGTTCCAGTGTAACCACGACTGTGGACAGAGTCTGATGGCATGTTTTGCAGCAGCAAGACATTTGGCTGCTGTATCGTCTTTATTGACTGTATAATCGCGGTCCAATTGCATCAAGTAACAGCATGCTAAATCGTGCCATAACAATGAAGAATTTTCCGCGGTCGACAACGCTCGACAAAAGCATCTGATAAAATAGCATGTCGATAAAACGAATTAATTTTTGAAGCTAGATTAGTATCGTTTTAAAAATGAAATATATGAAAAATATTTTTAAAAAAATATCTTAATAATTTCTTTTTCTCACCTTATTGATAACGTGAGTATTTCATTTCCTCTAATTTTCATATACTCCTCGGCACTATCGAATTTCATTAAAATAGATTTGATTCTTAAATAGCAATACTTTTCTGGCAAACCGGCTGTTCTAAAACAGACATCGCCAAGCAATTTCCAATTGCAGGACAGATCACTACGTATCATAATAGCTTCTGTCAAATTATCTACCGCTTGTTGTAGATTTTCTCTTGCACGACATAGAAAATGTTTTGCGATATTTTCTTTTGCTAGACCTAAACATGCTTGAGCTAAACCTTTTAAAGCAAGAATATATTTTTTATCGTTTTCTAATATATTCTCAAAATCCTCTTTAGCTTCTTTATGCTGACCAATGAGCTGAAAAAATAAGTTTTATATCAATATATATAATATATAATAATAATAATAATAATAATAATAATAATAATAATAATAATAATAATATATATATATATATATATATATATGTGTGTGTGTGTGTGTGTTTGTGTGTGCATATATATGTGTAATTCTCATAGATTTTATACCAGTTTGATGTTAGCGAGTTGTATCATAGGATACAAGGCTCCTGGACTCAGCTGTAACGCACGTTGATACGATTTCAATGCCGATGTGTGAGCACCGCGCACTAAATAAGCATCCGCCAGAGATTCCCAGCTATGACTATAAAGTGTAAATTTGTGATAAAAATATCAGAGCACTCTGTAATAGGATGAAATGATAAGATATGATTGTTATACTTGTCGTTAGGATCAGCTCTGATTACATGCTGTAATGCCTTGATAGCTTCAGTTGCATCGCCTTGATCTAAATGTTGTAGACCCAATTGGAGCCAGGCCCATTTCGCTCCTGTACCTTGTTGCATAGTTACTCTTTGCAATAGATGTATATTGGCATCCTAAGTATCATATATGAGACTATCAGTTAAAATGATCAAAATTTTCAGGAGATTATATTATTGTTATAATATATAAAATTTGCACTTGAAAGAATTTTTAGATAATGCTTATTACAGTGTTTTTCAGAAGTCGATAAGCTGTACTCAGTCCAATGCCAGCTTCCTCAGAATTCGGATTGATTTGTAATGCAGTGTGGTAACATCTTCTCGAACGTTCGACATCATTGCCATGTTCGCGATAATAATGTCCCAAATAAACCATGCATTCCCAATTATTACGATCTGCTTGGACACCATTTAAGAAAGCCATCAGACTATGATTATAATCTCCCATATCCCAGTATATTTTACCAAATGTCAACCAAGCTTCAGAATTATTTAAAGCTATCTCAAGAATATTAATAGCTTCTTCATATTGCTTGTGTTTCTTTAGGTATAGTGCTTTTAGTATAAGAACTTGAATTTTAACTTCATCTTGAGACTCTAAGTTGCTTAATACAGCAATAGCATCAGGTTTATCCAATGAAGCATTTGTCCGTGCATATATCAATTGCAATTGTACAGAAGATTCGGTTTTTAACAGCTAAAAATATATTTAAAGAAATATTAAGGAAGATTTGCATAAATTTTATATAATATTTTTCATATATGTCAGTATAATAAGTATCAAAAAATACCTCTTCGCACATCTGTTGTGTTTGTATCAACTTTTGTTTGTTGTTACTTCTACTCATTGCTTCAAGTAATCTCAATTTAACTTTATGGTACAATTTGTCTTTCAAGTGAGGTTTCATTAATTGTAATGCTTGTTTGGAAGCATTCTCAGTTTGTTCCCAGCAATAAAGTTTATAATATATTTGGCTTAATACTAACCATGCATAGAATAATTGTGAATTTAATGAAATTATTTGATTTAAACACTCGCGAGAATTGATTAGCTTATCCATGCTCTTCAAATATATTGCCTTTGCAATTAATGCAGCCTCAGAATTTGCATTCAATTTTAAAAGAGACTCATAAATCTGAGTTATATTAATGTTGAGGTCTTTTTCATTTAATATAGCCTCTTGATAATAGATACAACAAATCCATTCTGTTAAATAAAAGTATACTAATTATATTATTAAAAAAAAATAATAAACACTTTAAAAATATCGATAAGAATTGATTGAAATTGATTTACCTAGAGGACAAGTATCCTGTGGGAACTGAGCATGCATATCCTGAGCTGCCGTTAATAAGAGAGCAAATTTATTGGAGTCATATAACATCTTTAAATATTTTCTATAATATTCTTGTCTATTCAATAGATCTGTATCTTTTACTACAGATGCTAGTATATCTTCATAAAACTCCTGATACTTGGTTATACTACTATTAGGATATTCTGTTAAAACCCATGCTAGAGTCTTATCAATCAGACTTGTCTTCTCTTTGTTAGAAATTTTTCGTAACACACTCAATGTATCTAATACTTCGAATAATATTTCATCATCTTTGATTCTCAGGACAATTTCTGAGACTTTATTGATAAAATATGTAAATTTAGAAGAGTCACTAAACAGAAATATAGAAACTTGTATTTTTTTTTATTGCTTTCTATATAATTTAGTCTTTTGAAAATTGTATCAAAATATTTCGTACCTATCCAATTGTAAAAGTTTGCAATAAGCTGAAGCCAGCTTTTTCCAGTTGTCATTATCTTGAGGCACTTTTTCATAATATGCTACTAGACCTTGCCAAGCTAATGGATTATTTGGTTGTACCTCCACAGCTTTTTGAAGAACTAAGACTACCTGCGCTTTGAATTCTTCTATTTCCTGCATAGCACGAGCTAACAAAATTAATGCCACATAATTGTTTTTATCTTTCTTTAAAATCTTTTTGCATTTCTTCATAGTCTCCAGATATTCATTCTGTTTGAAAGATTCACGAGCGTCCTTCAGCAAGACCTTTATATCGTCTGACATTATTTTCCCTAAAGAAACGCAAAATAGAGATTTATAAATTTGCATAATGCAAATATAAATTTAAGCATGTAACAATCTCTTATTTTTCGTATCTTGCAATTTAGATAATGTATTAGAAATAAATATATCAATAGTATACATAGGGATTGGTTATAATAGTGAAAATTTTATTTATATGAGAAGAAATATTATGAAAAATGTTTTAAAAAATTGTAATAATATAGTACCCTATTTTTTTTTCAATTAAATTGTGTAAGATTTTATACAAATAATCATAAACACTATAATGTAAACAAAATAATCACAAGGTAAGTCAAGCTTATGTTATGCTCGAAATCGGGCCAAAATCTCGGTTTCTGGCAGAGAAAAATTTGAGAGCGGCCATCCCGCTTCAGCAGACGCATGTCCTGATGCGCCCCCTGAGAAAGTGGACATAAACTACAATACTAGTTACGCTCGATAACAAACGTAGTAAATGGCCGCATTCAGCGGACTCAACCGCTAAGTAGCAATCGAATATGATTGGTTTCTACTTTCAGGTCCGACCAATCAGCGTCGAGTTACATCGAAAAATCTAGTAATGTTGCCCAACTGTTGAGTCCACTGAATGCGGCCAATGGTTCATGTCCGTTATATGGACGCTGATTGGTCGGATCTGAAAGTAGAAACCAATCATCGATTGCTACCTAGCAATGAAGTCCGCTGAATGCGGCCAATCTTATTCGAGACTTGTAAAACGCGCCAATCAGACAGACTTACATGTAAACGCGCCTTGAGAGATACGTGCTGATATCCGGCCACGGTGCGCCTGAATGGAAGTGTGCTAACGGCGCCTTCCTTGAGTCGATCTCGCCATTTTCCTAGTTGTGTAAACTTGCTCTCACGTCGTTCGCCCGTCGCCGATTGTTGGGCGTCAACCGCAAATTGCCACCCGCATCGACGAGAACGCATACGAGGTAACGCGAGTAATACCGCCGGCACAGTGTCATTGCCAGCAGTATGAACCAACCGAGGAATTTTACGTCGCTGCTGAATCCGAGTTATCTGCAGAACGCCCAGCAGCAGCAGCAAAGCCCCGCGAGTACGAATCCGGCGGCGGTCGCGGCCGCGGCCGCGGCAGCTGCCGCCGCCGTTTCCGCCGCGATAGCGAACGGCACGCAAATGAACGCCAATTCGCCCAGCATTACGAGCCGCAAGCGAGAGGCAGAAGGTGAGTCCTGCGCTCCTTTCTTTCTCTCTCCCTCTCTCTCTCTATCTCTATCTCTCTCTCTCTCCGTCTTTCTCTTTCCCGCTGTCTTTCACAAGTAACATTTCGTCGTCTGTTGTGCAAGCGATCTTAATTCTAAGACTATTTGAATATATCTATTACATTAATATTATTGTACATATTTTATATTATTTTATATGTTACTTTGTTATTTTTTTATTAATGCAAAATATTCTGATAGAAGAAGAAAGATATTAATTTTATTCAAGTTCTTTCGCAAAAAATACTCCTGTTTTTTAATCTTGTGTAATCTTTCTATATTCCTGGTATAATTTTCATTTCTTATATATTTTTCTATATTAAATATATATATATATATATATATATATATATATATATGCATGTGTATAAATAATATATGTAAGAAAATATATATATGTAAAAAAAAATATATATATATAATATATGAGAATATTTATATAGTCTAATAATAAAATTTTTTTAGGAGATAGTAAACAGGAAAAAGAAACAAAAGAGGGAGAACGTAAGAAGAGGAAAAAGACTAGATGGAGTGGTAGCGAACATGACAAAACATTTATACCAGGGATGCCTACAGTACTACCGACAAATCTGACTCCTGAACAGGAGAAAGCTTATCTCTGTAAGTTTCTATCTCTCAATTGTTATTCATGACTTATTTCCTTTAATACACTAGTATATATAGCTAGGGAATCATTTCAAATATTTTGCTTCTGTACATAAGTTTTTGAAGCCTAATTTATAGAGTATAGATGGCTATGAATGATGTGTAAGTATGATGTATATATATTGATAAAAATTCAAAATTCTCAGAGGTAAGCATCAGGAACTTTAGAACCATCTTGAATCAAATTTGGCAAGAGGGATTGCCAATTTTGCTGAATAATTATTATCCAATTGCTAAATTTATACTTCTAATGCCATAAAATTCTATGAAACTATATATATTTAAGCATTATTTATATTATTGAAATATATATAATAATATAACAAATACTATTGAAATATATATAATAATATAACAAATACTTGAAGTTGTATATCTTATAGAATATTTCTTTTCTTCAATATACAAATTTTGTAATCAATGTCATAAAATATTATAAGGATTTCAACTTTGAAAAAAGTGATTAGGATGCAATTTAAATTTATATGCAATATTATTACTTTTCTGAAACATGCTTATTTTATAGAATGTATATGGTTATAGCAAATTGGCAATATCTAACTGTTGGGGTTTCCGCCCCCTCTAACCCGTTGGTTTACAGTTCAGCTGCAGATTGAGGAAATCAGCAGGAAATTACGCACCGGAGATCTTGGAATTCCACTTAATCCCGAGGAAAGGTTTGAAAGAAACTCTTACATACCAAAAATGAACGTTACATATCTACAATACCTATCTACTGACCATACAGCAGTTCAGTAATACAGGAGCCTTAAAGATATCTCTATGGCTCAGGTTCAATTAGTGTGGGAATACCGATGTCATATCTGAAAATATTGGGCTTGATTAGAGCCCCCACGCAACATAGAAGATAAATTTTGATCGTATTGGTTTGCCCTAATCAATCTTTTCTTATAACTCATTTTTTTATTAAACACTGCTACAACAATGTAAAATTTTATATTCTTAAGTTATTTATATTCTTAAGTTAGTTTATTAGACTTCAAATGTAATATATATAAAAGATAATTGGCTATCAATATGTATAATATGTATAATAAATTAGTTAGGAAATCAATCATGGATCTGTAGCAGTGTTTAAAAAGAACAGTGAGCATTCTAGTTCATATATTTCTTAAATAGATACATTTTTGCACACATATATAGAGAATAACTCTCAGGTGACCTATTGCACTCTATTTCTATTTACTTACTAGCAAAAATTCTGCATCTTCAGCGCTTTAATATTTTATCATTCAATGTTTCATTATAAATTTATAATCTCATACATAGGTCCCCTTTGAGTAAAATTCTGTTCCTCCATTCAGGCTGCCGTGATTTGCACGGCGCATATTTCTGAAACATTATTACAATAATCTTAGTGCCAATAGGAAGATTATTAATCAATAAATATCAATTATTGTTGCTAATCTTAATGAGCACAGATTTCAGGAAAATATCGGTTTATTGAAATTCTCATTTGTACCTTAATGCTGTAACAAAGAATTTAACGTTACTTTCAGGTACAGCTCTTAAATAATAAATGCATATACTCTTTTTCTAATAAATTAATTTATTCCAATAGGTTTAACTTTACCAATTTTAGCTGGAACCATTATTTTTATGTCACATTGTGTTTTTTAATAATACATAATAAGATATATCAATCACATTATAACTAATCTAAAAGATTATTTCTTAAGAATCAGCAGGATCTGTCTTAGCAGCTGACATCATACCAATATCTGCCGTGCACAAACGCGCAGTCTTCCAGTGTGGTTACCTACTATAGAATATTAAATATATATAGCTATGCTATATTTGACAATAATAATTTTTTCTATTTTTTATTTCGATATCTTGGCACTGTTGCGAAATTCTAATTTAATTCTAAATTCATACATAATATGATTACATAAGCAAACTGATACAATCATGCAATGAATTATAGGACATATCCAATAGGACATATCCAATAGGACATATCTAATTATATTTTAGTATTAGGATCTTTTGATTATATACTATATTATTATTGATAAAATTATTAAACCTTACTCTTGATAAACTCATTTATAATTCTTAATATTAAACAAAGCTGTCAATATTCTTTTTAATAGATAAAGAGATAAATATAATAGAATAAATAGAATAAATTTTATAATTTATTGAGATAAGTTCTTTATGACATATTTCTAAAGAAAATAAATTAGATCACCAAAATAAAAAGATTACATAACAGTTACTTATTCATCAAAGTTTTACTGTTCTATTTGCATAATTTTCTGTTCTAAAAAAAATCAGCGGTTTTTTCCCCACTTATATTCATACGGTCATAGTAGGCTCAGGTTGCTTGTATGCTAGTATTTTCTTGATAAAAATTTATATCTTGATATGGTATTATTCTTTTTATTTTTCAGATCTCCATCTCCAGAGCCTATTTACAGTAGTGATGGTAAACGGTTAAACACGAGAGAATATCGTACAAGACGTAAATTGGAAGAAGAACGTCATAATTTGATTCAGAAGATCCTCAAAATCAATCCAGAATTTAAACCACCACCAGATTATAAGTGAGTCTCTTATAGATTTTGTATAATATACTTAATATACATTTATATTTTAATAAGATCATATTTTATAAGATCATTATATTTATTTAGATTAAATTATTTATCTATATATTTCTCAATATTTATATCTATTTTTCTTTCCCAGGCCACCAATAATACGAGTTCATGATAAAGTAATGATTCCTCAGGAAGAGCATCCTGATATAAATTTTGTTGGCTTACTTATTGGACCACGCGGAAATACGCTAAAATGTAAATAAATTGTATTTTATAAAAAATTATACTGATTTATGTAACATATATAATTATAAGTTTTAATCTTCGTTTTTATAAAAATCTTATAGCCATGGAAAAAGAAACAGGTGCAAAAATCATAATTCGTGGAAAAGGATCTGTGAAGGAAGGAAAGGTTGGCAGGAAAGATGGGCAACCTTTACCAGGCGAGGATGAACCTTTGCATGCATATATTACTGCAAATAATTTAGATGCTGTGAAAAAGGCTGTGGAAAGAGTATGTTTTTTCCTCATTTACTTATAACATTGTTTTTTTTCTATCGTATTTGAAAACTATAAATCTAAAACAAAATTAGAGCATCAAATATTGAATATAGTCTTTATTTATATTATTAAATATTGAAATAGTAATTGAAGTATATAATGCATTGAGAGTTAAGTATATACATTAAATAGATTTATGTTGTCAGATACATGAAATTATTCGGCAAGGTGTCGAAGTACCAGAAGGTCAAAATGACTTAAGACGTAATCAATTACGCGAATTGGCTTTACTGAACGGAACTTTACGAGAAAATGATGGACCGCGTTGTACCAATTGTGGAGCTTCGGATCATAAATCTTGGCTGGTTTGTAATATTTTATATATGTTGAAAAGTTTTCATATATTTTGGAATTAATATATAATTTTTGATGAAAATTTTTAGTGCCCAGACAAGCCAAATGTAACGAACAATATAGTATGTTCGAGTTGCGGTGGTGCGGGACATATTGCTCGAGATTGTAGATCGAAGAGACCTGGTCAAGGGGGTCCAGCTGCTGCTGGAATGGGAGGAATGACCCAGGCTGGTGATAAAGCCAAGATAGATGAGGAGTACATGTCGTTAATGGCAGAATTAGGAGAAGGCCCACCACCGGACAGATCAAAGACAGGTCAAGCCAGACAGAATCCTAATCCCAATTATCCCGGACTTTTTGACAGGTACGACGTATTTCTTCTTTCCCTTTTTTTCTTAGTTTTTTTGAAACTAACAACAGACAATATAAAAAGATCGAATATAATAATCGAGAATATAATATAATAATCATACATTTTTTTTCCAGACAACAACCACCTCGTGCACTAATGGCTGCTCCGGCACATCCACCACCGCAGATGATGCAGGGCGGTCCGATGATGCCGCCACCAGGCATGGCGCCACCGCCCCCATGGAGTCAAGGTGGCGAAGGAATGAATAATATGAACATGCAATGGCAGCCACCAGTAAGCATGCCACCGCCACCAGGTGTGATGCAACCACCACCGCCGCCTCCTGGCTCTACCACACAGCCCAACATTCCGCCGTTAATGCCATGGATGGCTGGCAACAATCAGCCACCGCCGCCGGGTCAGATGCCACCTACACAGATTCCGCCACCTGGTATGGGTATACCACCGTGGCAACAGGGTCAACAGGGACCGATGCGACCGCCACCGCCAGGCACGGCGCCTCCTCCGGGATTTCCTGGCGGTTGGCAGCCGCAACAGATGGGAGGCTGGCCGCCAGCCGCTCCAGTTCCACCTCCACCTCAACAACAGACACCGGCACCACCTGGAATTGACTTGAACACGTTGCCGACATTGCTGGCACAGCCACCACCGCCACCTCCGCCCACTAGTTAGTCCTAATCACATAATGAGTGAATGACTTCCGATTCTGTACATTAGAGAAGTAATATCTAAATCGCGATTGATGGATAAAAGTTCAAGAAAAGGAGTCTGAAAAAGATATTGTACCCAAATACAGTATCGTAAAAGACGATAAGAATAAAACAAGAAACTCTAGAAATAAACAACAGAACTTCTGCAACTTTGATTTGAATTATTAGTTTTGAAATTTTTCTTTCAAGTGTTTTGATACGAGGATGTCAAATTCCTGACGTATAATCATTAAGAAAGAAAGAGAGAGTTCTGTGAATTATGTACTTCGGGAAAAGTGAATAGATATATCAGAGAAAATCGAAGATGTAAATCATATGCGCCAATGAAACACTTAGTTTTAACTAGGTACCAATTTTAACTTGCTGCATGTAAGGAACTCTGTTCATTATGAAATAACGCACGCGGATTTTCTCATATGAGCACAAGTGTAGCCGATTCTACATTTTTTTTACTTTATTCCATTTCCGAATATCGCTTCCAAAATCGAATCTATCAATGTTGAAGAATTGTAACATAATTTAAAAAAAAATTTGTTTATATATTTTATTTATATATAAGTAACATATATAAATACATAGCACGCGCGTAAAAATTATATATATAAAATTATTTATATGAAATTCATAATTCTTAGCGTGAATGGATATTTAATGATATTTTTTTTCAATAATAATGATAATATTGTAGAAACAAGCTTAGGTTAACATTTTCATATTTCAAAATGTGGCAATTTATTTGCAAATGGACAAAAATTTTTGATTTTTTGAACCTTTGTGCATAACAATTTTTATTTTGATTACTTTAATCAATTTATAATAATTCATGCGAAAAATAAACCGAATCAGTCACATGCTAAATAAATGGGCGGTATAGGACAACGTTGAGACACTGGCGACTTTAGATTTTTAGTCCACTCGTGTATCACCATCCAAATTATTGCTTCCGTAGCAATGTATAGCGTAATCTTTGATCGTAAATGTCATTTGAATTATACATATATATATATATATATATATATACATATATCTATTAAACCAGTCACAGATTATGTTATTATCAAGAAACGAAGGAATTTTTTCCTCACTGCTAAAAATAATTATTTCAATTGAAACGAAAATTATTGCATCAATTTGTAATTTTCCGCGGAATTTTTTTTATAGATAAATAGACAAAGAAATTTTTCCCATTATCATGACAGATGGCATCAAAACGCCATTTCAAGCGTAACTTCTTATATGTTCGTGCTTTAAAACAAAAACATCAAATAAAATCACTAATAGTGTGCACTGGTGTACATTAAAACTATAAAACCGTCGTATACAAATTTACAATAGCATAATTAAAACAATAAGATAATTAATTCTTAGTTATTATAACTAATTCTATTTAATAGTTATAATTAATTTTATTAAAACAATTTATACTTAATTATTATTATATTCTTATTTGTATTAAACAATATAATAATTCTTAGTATTAATTATCTTATTATTTTAATTACTTATTATTGTAAATTTTTTGTACAGCCTCAGCCCTTAAATGAATCAGTGCACACTAATGTATTCAATCAGATTTACTATAAGTTTCAAATTGCATTATATATGTGCTAAGATTAGTATTACATATTATGTTAAATATATAATTAATTCAATTATAGAAAAATATGCTAGGTTACTTGGTATGTATTCTTATTATCTAATAAATATGTATGAAACATGAAATATATATATTTATATATATATATATATATATATATATATATATATATATATAAAATGTATTGTGTGGGAAATTATCTTTCGTTTCTTATATTTTTGCAATTATGTTCACATTATATCAAGTTTTAATTTTTATTAAAAATTTACAAGAGAGCTATTGTCAGATGACTGCAATCTCTTAATTTTTTGTTTTTGAAAATTTCAGGTATTTCTCTGTAAATAGGGATGTTATTCCATTCAACAAGAATATTCATAATATTAGACATTATATTACATTATTATATCTACAAGTTATATTGTATTAATACAGCATAAATATATATTTTACAGATGTCTAGTGATCTTTGATAGTCTTCTTCTGATCTGGATATGTTTCAAAATACCATTTCTCGTATTCGTTCTTCATCTGTTCACGACGTGCAAAATATTTTGGATATCTAGCTTTCTCTAGAGGATGCCAATAATCCAACACACAGTCTGGAGTTTCGCCTTTTCGGCCATACGCTCCTCCTGAGGCTGAATTGGGATACGTCATTGGATGGTAATGTTGATTAGAGAAGAGTTCTTTTTCTCCTTCTTGTAACAAATATGTTGCGTAACGCATATCTTTTATATCTTTGTTTTTATCAAAACGTTCTCTCATTAATATAGCCTGGATCCTAGAAGTAAAAGAATAAAGTATAATTCACATGTATAGAGAATATAATTGCAAAATAATTATATTATTGATTATTATAAAGCAATTCAAATTAAAATAGTAATATAATAGTAATAGCTGAATAAAATTATATTAATGTTTTATTTTTTTATTGAATAGTTTATAAACTATAATTATCTACAGATAAATTGTGTTTTAATTACATTTTGTTTGCATTATGTCATTACTGTTTCTTCCTTAAGAATCTGAATTTGTTATTTTATGCATACAATAAAGTATAGAATTATACATATATGTATACACATACGACATGTGTAACTATCAGCTGATGTATACATACCTGTAATTTTCTATTTTATGATTCCAATCTCTTATGCAACGAATCGCACGTTTGTACAAGCTACATACTTTTTGTGAATGTGACACGAGCTCCGAGGGAAGATGTGCCATATTTTTATTTGAAGAGCTCGCACAATTCTCTCTTTTAAAACACTTTCTTGAAATATATATATGAGATTACATGAACAAAGCATAAACAAGTCCGAAACAAGTAGATCTATCTAATATTTATCAACGGACAACCGAAGCAACTGACATCTTGTGAAAATCAATAGAATTAGCATGATAACCAATCAATTTATCATATCGTTTTGTCCGAAATATGCTAAATTCCTCTAGGGAATTTTGCTACTGAATATTCTGACAACGAATCTAATAATTTAGCGATTTTGATTGGTCATAACATCACGCATTATTTTTCAACATTGCGTAATATTATACGCAAAATAGCTATAATAAATCAAATATTTATTTAATATATAATATTTATTTATTAAGTAATTTATTTTTATATTAATCCTTTTATTTAATATTTTAATTTTTATATTAATATTTATATTCATATTTACTTATTAAGTAATTTATTTTATCATATAATATTTATTTATTAAGTAATAGAAGTATTCGCGCTTGCTTTTACATAACAGAGAGGAAGAGAGAGAAAAGGAAAAACAAGTTGCGGACGAACGCGCGTTTTTCGCGAGTAGAACTAGAGACTTCCGGCGCGGGAAGAGCGACGGAAATGGACGGAAGTGCGACGGAAACGAGCGAACTCGCGTCGCCCCGGCGACATTGGACGACGGCGTTCGTCAACGAATATTGACAGGTGGATCTTTCTGTCACCGAGCGATTTTCGCTGATTTGCGAGGTATGTACACATGCTACTCGCGACCGCTTCGGCCGACAAATTTCACTGATCTGATCCATATCGAGCGACGTTACGTCCAATATGCTCGTTACATGCCATAATGACGCACGCACAATCGTACGCAACGCGATAAAGCCGACAAATCTTCGCCGGCGGATTATATCGCTCCGTTGTGTCGGACTTTAGTCGCGCCGGAGCGGGAATATGAAAGTGAAATTGAACGATACGCGACTGATACGTCAGGCGAATTATATAGTGAAACCGAATTATTTTTTTTCTTTCGCAGATTGACCCGGCCAAGCTCAGGATTCGCGCGAAGAGATGCCGCCGACGATGCCGCCCGACTCCCATCAAATTTCGCTGAAGATCATAGAAGCCATCAAGCAACATCCGGTGCTGTATTGTACAGAAGTGAAGGGCTTGTCGATTAAATTACAAGAGTTTAAGCAGAAAGTTTGGAAGCGCATCTCGGACGAGCTCGGACTAGATCGTACGATTTTATTTTCTTTCATGAATTGCACCATTGCGTTTATGTTATTGAGCTTAGATTATTAACGTTATTTGTTTGTTACAGCAATGTGGGTGAGATTGAAATGGAAAAATCTTAGGGACACCTATTGCCGTATCTTGAAATATAAGAATAAAACAGAAGAGGGTGTTAGAAGGAAAAAATGGATTTTTGAAGATCATTTGAGCTTTTTAAAATTCCCGTAAGTTTTTTTTTTTATAGAAGCAAAATATGATTAAGTTACATTTCCTTAATCGAGGATATTTTGATAGATACGAAGCAGATTATCAACCGCAATGTGTAGAACTGACTAAGGAATATATACAAGATATAAACTCAGGTGAAATTAGTTCTGAAGGTTTGCTGGAGCAATTGGAAGATCGAAATGACGAAGACTATAGCGAATACTTGGAGGTTATAGACGATACAGCAGCTGACCCAGTTGTGGTGGAACCTGAAGTAATAGAAACATTGGACAACAATGATGTGCAATTGGATACACAGAATATAGAAGTCGAACACGACATGACACAGCAAGACATTGATAGTTGTGTCCAACAGATACAGTCAAAGTATCGAAAGATACGTCCAAAACGAATGAAGGTCGATTATCCTCCATCAACTTCAGAAGCATCTAACTCTTATAATGTAATAAAGACCTCTTCCTTTAAAACTAATAATGGAAGTACAGTTGATACTGGTACAGTGTTTAGCCCTCTTTTCATAACCACTCCATTAACACCAAGTACACTTACCTCGCCTACAAAAAAATCGTGCAGTGCAAAGGATAATGATCCCAATTTCGAACAAGTTTACTTGGCTCCTGAGAGTAAGAGTAGTATAGAGCTATTTTTTGATAGCATGGCACAGACAGTAAAAAAGTTGCCACCAAAGGCGCAGGCAGATATCAAGATGAACATATGTAAGATTGTCACAGAAACAGAAATACAATATTCTGGCCAGAGCAAGCCACAAAGTACACAACAATTTGTAGCACCACCTGGTATGATACCTAAGTTGGTGTTGATTCCTTGTAACATGATAGATAATCAAAATGTTAAAGAGTAATTCATTTTTGTCAATTGCAATGTAAGTAATGTTAATAGATTTGATGCAATGACTGTTTTAAGATTATTTTAACTTTATTATAATGACAAAGATTATTCTCTACTTTTGTATAAATAAATTTAAACAAATATACTCAATGTAATAATAATAATTATCATTCAAATTGATTATTTCAACAAAAATTTTTTATTTCTTCATGTAAAGTTTAAGAATTGTTATATGAAAAAGCAAATAATATTATTCTCTAAAAATTTAATTTACATTAAAGAAAATGGTTTTTCTTACATGTAAGAGATATATTTATAATAAAATATTTATATTTTACATCAATTATAGATAAGTGTGTTATTTTTATAAAGAAATTTGTTATTGTATTTTGTAGAGAAAAATATTATTTTATTTTATTTACTAAAAAGATTATACATATATATTTCTTTTATTTTTTACTGTAGAGAAGAATTTATCAGATGAAATTTGCGATAAAATCTCAGAGTAAATATTGCTATCTGGAAAGATAATAATTGCAGTTGTGATTGTAATATAATATATGTATCATTAATAGCCAAGATTATCAATATATTTTTATATTCTGTTTTACAGATTAAGAAACTATATTAATGATAAAGAAAACTTTTATGAAAGATATATGTATCATTAAATATTATCAATATATTTTTATTGATAATATATATTCTGTTTTAGATTAAGAAACTATATATATTAGATAATGATGAAGAAAACTTATAAAAGATTTTATACATGTTTTGAACTTCAAAAATTACAAATGGAACACGTTAATAATAAGAGTGAAGAAGTAAAAAAAACTATTATCAAAATTGATCGTTCTATCTCGTCTCTTTTATGCGACTTTATATTTTCGATTTATATTATTTTTTATGAATGTTACTTTTTATTTTTCTAACAAAAGAAAAAAAAAGAACTTGTTAGTAAATCAGCTGTGTCTCATTATATTATTCTATATGTATCGATGTATTGATATATGCAGAGTTGATTTTTATAGCGCGGTAATTATCTTGCCAGATATAGTAATTTGATTTCATAAATACAGATAACTGATAAACGGTACAGATAACTGATAATGGTAATAAATAAATGTTTTTTTCTTTTGTTTTTTACTGTTATTATCATTCGGTATCACTGATAACCATGTTTCTTGAAATAAGAAAAGGTTAAGAAACGTTTGTTTATTCTCTGGTAACAGAGTTAGGAGTTGCAGACTTATCAACAAAAATGTTGCGACATTTGACATGCGGAAAAAGACATATCGATCTTTCGAAGCAATACTCGGCAATTCAATTCATAAATTCTAGAAAAAAGGTGCGGTATGTATATATATATTAGTTAAAGGTTAGCTAACTAAGACTTGCTAACTAAGATGATATTGATTTTATATGATAAAATGATTGAATTGAATGTATTAATTAATTTTCAGTTCTCCATTGAAATTATTTTTTTTTGAAGCGAATGTGTATGAATGTAATAATTGTTATTGTAATAATAATTGTAATTCTATAATACTTCATGAATCTCTTTTATTGTTATCATTACATTTACATAATACATTTTATTTTCTTTATTTTAAATATTTTACATAATTTTCTTTATTACTCATATATTTCTCTGTGTTGTATTTGCTTTTTGTATTTATATATAAAATGGAATATGTAGCTTTAAAAAAAAGAGAATTCTTTGAGATAAAAGTGAAAAACACTAATCTAAAACATACAGTATAAAATATAATAGAGACTCTTATCTTTTGCTATATGGTTTATTGTGCATAATTAATATTTGTTGTATAAAATTTATAGAGTTCGAAGATCAACGATGATGATCAAGATAGGAAAAAATATAGAGAATTTGTGGATACCACTAAAGGAGAAAGAGCATGGAAGAAGATGCGACAAGATTGGAACAGCTTAAAAAAATGTCTGTCATTTGACGGAAAATCTTCAAATTTTGAAGCTCTTTTCGAGAGAGCTGAAGTAATTCCTAATCATTGCGATGTACTCATTATTGGTGGCGGTGCAATAGGCAGTGCGATAGCATATTGGTTAAAACAGACTATGCATAAAGAAGAATTTCATGTTGTTGTAGTTGAAAAAGATCTCACAGTAATTATAAATATTAATTCATATGAATTTTTTAATCTTATCTCTGATATAGTATTTCTTTATTTCTTTTTTGATCAATAATAATTGAGAGTTTACATCTAATATATTGTAATTATATATATATATATTTTTTTATATTTTTCAGTATGCCAAAGCTTCTACAACTCTTTCAGTTGGTGGCTTGCGTCAACAATTTTCTCTTGAAGAAAATATTCAAATGTCTCTGTATGGTGCAGAATTCCTGCGAAATATTAATGAACATTTGGGTATTCCTGGGGAGCCACCTATTGACTTGAATTTCCACCCCTATGGTTACTTAGTTTTGGCCACCGAAGCGGGTGGTGAAACTTTAACAGAAAACTCTAAACTGCAGAATTCTTTAGGAGCAAAAAATGCAGTTCTTACTGCAGAAAAGTTGCAGCACATGTTTCCTTGGTTAAACACTGACGGGATTGCGGCAGGTTGTCTTGGACTGGAAAAAGAAGGATGGTTCGATCCATGGTCCCTCTTATGTGCTTTGAAAAAGAAGGCTAAACATTTAGGTACTCAATATGTTAATGCCGAAGTTAAGGCTTTTCAATATAATACGGTTCCAGGAGCTTTTGATACAAATATGAATCCTGTCCAACGATTAAATACTGTAGTTGTAAGTCCATGTTTATATATTTATAATAATCCTTATAAATATTAATAAAATATATCTTTATATATTTTATAATATATAATTTGATATATGTTTATAATATATAATATATAATTTTATATGTTTTTATAATTGAATTCAAATAGAGCACTCAATTTCGTGCATGTCTATCTATAAATTCTTATATAACTTATCAATTGTGAATCTAACATAATTTTTTAAATAGATAATATGTTTTTTTGTATTAGGTAAAAACGAATGATGGTGATATTAGACAAATACAATTTTGTAAGGCTATAATAGCTGCAGGCGCATTTAGTGGCGATGTAGCTGAAATGGCTGATATTGGAATAGGTGAAGAATTATTATCTGTACCTTTACCAGTGGTACCTAGGTAATTTTATTAATGATACATAAGTAATTCAAGTTTTTTCTTTTTGATATTATCTGTTATAATTAAAGATATAATTTTTTTTACAGAAAAAGATATGTATATTGTTTTCATTGCCCAGATGGACCTGGTTTAAACACACCTCTAACAATTGATCCTAGTGGTGCATATTTCAGGTATGAATCTATATACTGTATATTCTTGAGTTGTAATGTGTACTTTTGCATCAGAAGCAAAACAAAAATTCTTAATAAATAAATAAAATTATTAAATTTATGAAAAGAGTAACATTTTATAAATACATTTTAAATGATTTGTAGGAGAGATGGTCTCGGAGGCAATTATATTAGCGGAAAATCACCAGAATTGGACGAAGAGCCATCAATAGATAACTTAGATGTCGATCATGATTTCTTTGACAATAAAATATGGCCTATACTCGCTCACAGAGTACCATCATTTGAAAATTTAAAGGTATTTCTCATAAATATATAATAAAATAAACATACCTGTAAAGGAAACATAAAAACGCGCTGATAAAGTTAATGAATTATATATATTTTCATTCTTACACAAATATGGACAATGTATATATAAATATAAAAATTAAATTATTAATACATCAAAAGTATATATTTCTTTTTAAAAATATATATTTATATTTTTAACAGGTGAAATCTTCGTGGGCTGGATACTACGAGTATAATACATTTGACGAAAACGGCATTATTGGTCAGCATCCTCATCATAAGAATTTATACATAGCGACTGGTTTCAGTGGACATGGTATTCAAAAGGCACCTGCAGTAGGACGCGCAATGTCAGAGCTAATCTTTCATGATCGTTTTATAAATATAGATTTGTCGAAATTAAGTTTCGACAGATTTTTAAGATCGGAACCTATGAGAGAAGCTAATGTGTTTTAAAGTTTCTGGAAATAGAAAAATGTCTTTTTTTTACTTGAATGTGTATTATACATGTATCATATATATTTTAGTATATATATATATATATATATATATATATATATATATATATTTATATACATATGTATATACAATGACAATATAAAACCTAATCTAGAATAATAATAGTTCTATATTCTATAAATGAAGAGATGATTAATCTATTTAAATGATAAAATTTTTAACCCTTTGCACTCCAGCTAATTTTGTCATATGGTCTACCAGCAAGGCATTTTTGTAAAATCTCTAGTGAATATTAAAAAATTATTATATCAAATAAATTCCAGATTTTTATTGTCGCTACTGTTCTCAGTATCATAAATAATTTCATTATAAAGTGTATATCGCTATAGCGGCGCCTATGTGCAAAAGATTAATTTACAAACGTAATAATAATATTGTTATAAAATATATGATAATATATGATACGTGTATTCAATAATTCATTATCATCATTTTAAAATCGTGTGACTCGTAGTTTTATGACAATACAGATAAAATTTGTCCGATATATACAGCAGCACTTTCTTCGCCTATGCTTTGTAATATATTTTGCAGGTCACTGAGAGATATATTGGTTTGTATCTACAAAAAAGTAAATTATATAGTAAATTATATACATAGTTTAATTATATTTATTTCAGTAAGAATGCATGCATTCATAACAAAAAACAGAATAGTATATATGAAACGCTTGACAAAGAAAATAAAAGAACTTACAGCAATATAATTCAAAAGGAGTAATGTTGAACTGGATGAACTTTCTTCAAAGTTATTAAATAAATTTTCAAAATTCAAATGACGGGCTAATTTCTTCCATCCTTTTGTCTCATCTAGGATATCTGCTAATTGTTTTTCCTGGACTGCATCCATCCAAACTTTTTGTGTATCATCAATATTTTCCTCTTTACACTTAATTGCTCCTAATGATGTATCATTTTGATTGGAAACAAGTTGTAGAATCTGCAATGAAATAATTTTCCTCATAACTTTTTCTATATAATTTTATAATGATAAGATGTGGAATATATCTCTCTTTGCATACATCTGGTTTGTTTGAAGCCAAGTCGAAAGATGATTGTCCGATGGATTCTTTCATGTTTTCATCGTCCGAGTGTATTTCAGTTTTTATATTTTGTACTTGGTCCCCTTCAATCTATCATGAAAATACAATTACATATAATGAACTACTTCTATATGTATATATAAAATATGGTTTATTTCACATAATCATTATAGACATACGTTGCTTGGCTCACGATTAAAATTCCTTATGTATGGATCAGCGCCATATTTCAATAGAAGGGCACATATTTCTTTTGCTTTCATCCCAGGCGTAACTACTGCAGTATGCAATGCTGTATTTCCACTGAAGTTTCTTTTGTTAACATCTATTTTGGTCTGTAAGAATCAACAGTATACTATAATATTTTTGATATAGAAAAGAGAAGATATGTTTCTGATAAATATTAAATTTTACATTTTTTAACAGCAATTCCACTATATCTTTATGACCTCCTTCGACTGCGATATGTAAAGCTGTTCTTCCATACGACATATCGGTATTATTTACATCTGCACCAGCTTTAATCAGAGAACATACTGCATAGTATGAACCTGCTTCAGCAGCTAATTGCAAAGGTGTCCACCCTAAATCTGTATTTGTTTCAATGTTGATTTTTTCTTCAGCCAATAAAACATCAATACTTGCTTTTGCTTCTGGAACTAAAAAAAATGTATTTCTTATTATAAGTATATATTATCTATTATTTTTTACTATTATTTATAAATCTTAAACATTTCTATTCTCATTTCTATTTCTATTTGTCAGATTTTTCTTAAAGAGTAATTGATTTAAAAATAAAATGAAATATTTTTAAATTAATACATACATTTAACAGCTCTGTGCAATGGCATTTGCCCATAATGATCTGATATATTTGGATCTGCACCAAGTATAAGTAATGCGTTTGTAATTTCCGCATGTTCTTGTGAAACAGCATAATGCAATGGTGTCTATGGCATATAATGTAATAATTAAAAAATAATTCTTGTAATTATTAAAACGAGATATATATTATAGGCAAAGCATCAAAAAAGCTAACCTTGCCAGAACTATTTTGAATATTTACTAACTCTTCACTCTTTGTTCTTACAAAACTCATAAGCATTAAGATACGTTTTATAACATCTTTTTGTCCATATCGGAGTGCATAATGTAGCGGCGAATCACCATAAGTTGTTCTGTCTTTTAACATATTTACTATAATATCTTTAGATTTATCTGGATTTGCTTTAATTCTCTTTATTGTATCGATAATAACATTTTTGGCAAACATTTCATTATCCTGTAAAAACAAAATTCAAAATAACAACATTGATGCAACAATAAGATAGCAATTATGAATTTATAAATTATAATTAATTATAATATAACAGTTATATATTATTTTTATAAACTATATATTGGAATTAAAGTTTACCTTTTTACTCGGTGCTCCATCATAAGTTAATTTATTTTCTTCACTTTGGGCTAATAAATTCTCATATACTGTAAAATTTAAATTACATTGAATAACATGTGATATATTTTTTTAAGATGTACTTGAAACTAGTAAATCTTTCTCTATGTATAAGTTTGACACTTACAATCTAAATTTATGTGATCAACAAACTCCTTGAACTCACTCGAAGAGCATTTATCCTCTAACATCTTTTTTATTTCTTTAGAAATTTCGGTACTATCATTGTTTGAAGGTACATTCATTAATGGTGTATTCATTAACGGCGTATCTAGATTAAACGCCATTTGTGCCAATTCCTCGCTATTCGAATGAGAGACTCGCGTTCTTTTCCTACCTGAAATTGTAAAATCATAAGTATTATATCGAGAAAAGAAAAACATTCGAAAAAAAATAAAACAAAATAGAAAATAGGATGTGATAAATAAATGTGATTAATTAAATAAATAATAATAAAATAATTAATTTATTAATTGTAATTAATTTACCAATCATGCGATCGCTAGGTTTATATGTAAACTTGATTGGTTCTGAACAATCTGAATCTGAAGGACGTTCCAACTGTATAAAGACTTCTCTCGGTGAAGTAATATATAGATCCTTGTATGGTGGAGTTCTAGAAATACACAATATAATTAATTATGAATGTATAATTAATATGATTAATCATGAAGGAAAATAAATAATTTCAAGCACAATATACATACCGAAATACCATGGCATATTGATGGTGAACGTCTAGTTCCGAGAAACGACCATAATCAGTCCAGACCTCAATGTCATCGTCATTTAGTTCGAAAAATTTTATTTTTATATTTTCTATAATATGAAATACATGTTTTTTTTTACATATTTTTACATGTACACGTTACCGCGATAATGTGGTATATCATAGTCAGAAATATCAAATTATTAATCACAAACTTACTTTTTGAAACTTTCTCTACAAGTATGAACACTTCTTCTCCACCTTCACAACTACTGGTATACTTGTCAATTCTACATATTTTAAGTTCCCCTGTTAACGCGCTTTCTATTAAAAACATATTACAACTTATTGAACATTTTCATCGTTTGAATAATGAAAACAATAAATTTGAAAATTTTTCTAAAAAAATTTTTCTAAAAAAAAAAGAAATTTTATTTTGATAAATTATTTAAACTTACTTAAATTATTGATAGGATTGCTATAAACTGGTGTTGTAATTGATCTCATGACATTATGTTGATCTTTGATAAATGCTTGAAAACAAAGAGTAACTGTATTTAAATTTATAATCTTCTGATAACGTTCTGCATCAGCTTTAATCTGTAATTGATGTAAAAAATTTAATTGCCATTTTTCTTTGGAAAAGAATAAAAATGTATGTCTAATTATATAACAATTTCAAAGTAATAAAAGGTATTAAAATCTACCTGTGCATCGTCACGAAGACTAAGAGTAGCATTAAAATTTGAACGTTTACGTTCCTCTAAAACTTCTGCACGTAATTTTCGTACTATTTCGTCTTTAATATTTTTTCTTGCAGTATGTATTATTCCCATACTATGGAATCTGAAGTAGAAACATGCATCCATATAGTACACTAATAAATACATAGATCAATTGTGTTTGCAATGTTAGACAGAAAATACAAACATACTCAGCAGTAAAATCGTTTGCAGATGAAACTTCTATATCATGCGGGTCATCTATATCTGTGGTACCCATACGTTTCACTAATCTATGAGCATGTGGTGTATGTTCGTCGTCCGTTGTAACCAATGTGCATCGTATTATTGCTTTATCCAAAAAATTATGTAACTAAAAGTACAAAAAAATAGCAAATAAATAACACTGCATAAAGAAAATCATGTATATAAATATATTAATAATTTTATTTGCACAGAGAATTTAATTTATACTTACTTGGACTGTTGGTACATTATTTTTATTCCGTCTACGTCCATTTGATGCACCCAACAAACTTCCATGTGTCCCTACCATTTCAGATTTATATCTGAATCTAAATTTATCCATTGGATGTACCAAAATATTAATGTATGGTTCACCAAGTACTTGTACTAATAAGATAAAAAAGTTTGATATATTCTCTTTAAGTAAGAATTATCAGATATCTTAGGCAAGCTGATTTAAAATATATACCTGAAGCATTAGTTAAATTGATATAATTATCTGTGATATGCATAGGCGACGAAGATGTTGACATGGGTGATGTAATACTCATATTTCCCTGAGATCCACTATATGGGCTTAGACCACCTGTACTGCCCATCAATGTTAAATCTGAAAGGAGAAAATATATAAAATTTCAATATTCTATTAGATCCATAATTAATTCTTTATATATACATACGATATATTAGTAAATATGTTAACTTTCTATATATGTATATACGAAACTTGTTTTAATAATTATAATAATGTACAAAAATAATAGTATATAAATATTTTCTTAAACTAAAATTTTCAATATATTGAAATATCACATATGAAAAGACAACGCGAATGAAGGATATTCGAAAATGTTCAAGAACACAGCAGACTTATAACAATATTATTCCGAATATGACTGTAGCACAAAATATGACATGATAATTTTTTATACCTTGATATTTATTATGATCGCTTGTGACACGAAAACAATTAATATTTATATTTTTAAATCAATCTATATATCGACAGAGCAAGCGGAAACATGTAATCACGTGTCACGATGTGTCAAACAAGCGATTGATAATGACACAATAATTATATGTACAATAATAATTTTTAATAATTAATAATTTTTCTGTAACATTTGTGAATGAAACACTCGCGCTCGTATTACCGTTGAATGGAAAGTACGACGGGTCCGCCTCATTATCCATAATACCACTGGATGTCAACATACTCCGCATCGCCATGTTAAAATTCTCGTACGCATCGGGCATATTGGCGATTACTTTCCTCATGAATATTAAACGAGTGTGCGATCGACAGATGCATCAAATTAAGAAATTAATTCGCTCAGCTGTTACCGCGAGTACGATCAAATGTCGCAGGACAAATAAAATTTGAGAGTCTCGTCTCCGATAATGTTGGGATGCACGACGTTCGTTACTCACCAAACGCACGTAATCAACTGCTTCAATACCGGAATAATGCGTTAATCAAAGTACAATTTAATGACTAGTATCGCGGGTTCTTCCCCGGGAATATGACGTGACGACCAATCAGCATATATCATGGGTTTCCCTGAGTAGGCATGTGCTCACGTTGTAGAATGCCCTGGCAAAACGCATTTAGGAATTTCCCATAATCCTCTTTTTTCGATCTATCTACGATATTTCGATTTATAATATTATTTTTACTAATCTCGTGCGAAATTATCATAATCTATCATTTATAGACTATCATAGTTTTCATATATATTTTCTATATTTTGAAATCTTGTAAAAGAATCATACCTACTAATGAATTCCGAAGTGCCTATTGAATATTATTTAGATGATTAATATAAGGCTCTTATTGTAATATTTTAATTTTCTTCTTCTTCTTCTTTTATAGATATCTTTCTCTTTTCTTTAAGATGTAAAGTAGTCATATTTTTTATTTTTTATCCTTTTTTTCTAATTTAATGAAAATTCCAGGTGATATATATTTTATATTATAAATCCAATATCTATTGGAATTTTTCATTAGATAATGAAGCCAGTTAATTAAAGCGAAGACGAATTTGGATAGACCAGGTAAATCCATTTGTATTGACGGCCCTGATTCTGCGAGTTCTTGATTTAAACTATAAAATACAAAGTAAAGATATTTTGAGTTCTGATTAACAAAGTCAATATTAGTACAATTGATCAGATTATGTAGGTGAAAAATCACACTTAATTTTATTATATGATGCTCTTAATTATTGCAAAAATGACCGTATAAAGATTTTTTTAAAAAGCAGAGGACTAATATAATAAAATTAAAAAAAATGACAATAAAAAAATAAAATATTGATTATATTGTGCATAATTATGAGATACATATCGTAAATATTTTTAATTATTGATAATTTTCCAAATTTCCACTCCTACATATGTCATTATAATATCTTTGATCCTTGTTAAAATTAAATCACATTAAAATATAAATTTTTATAAAATATAATTTTTTTCAATATTTTTTGCACACACACAAATTATAATTTATATTATAATTGTAAAATATATAGATCAGAAATAATTGTATGCTAATTTTGGACTTGAAAATATGCTTGTCTTTATCCCAGAGGAAGATAATCCAGAATTAATTCATAAAGTAGATGCGATTATGAACTTACTATTTTGTTTTCAGGCGCTTGTTTATGGCTTGTTTATGCGCATTCTAGCAAGATAACGATGTTTCAAGATGTCGTTAGCAAATGCCTATGACAGCCTATTCAGAATATTCCACTACACTCTTGCAAAGCTCTATTAAAATATTATGTGGGAGGGGAACTGATAATGCGAACATATATATCAACACCTTTGCCGCGGAGACCAAGACACAGTTCACAGAAACATTTTCTTCGCAGACATTCAATCAACAACAGTCCAGTAGCAATGTCGACTAAAAATGAAAAGATCGGGATAATTGGCAGGTAAAATAATTGATTATAATTAACATATTTGCAAGTTATAATTAAGGGAATAACGTTCGTTTCTGCTTTCAATTGTCGCATGATCGAATTATTATTTTATAACTTTTCAACATGCGTTGTATCGCTGATAAGCTTATATAGTATCTTAAAGTAATCATTCAAGGTCATTGAAAAATTATTTTTAGCATGAAAAATTGACTTTTTCTCTCATAATTTTCTTTGATTTCCAATTCTTTTTTTAAACTATTTAACAAAATTATCATTTTCATATATTCAGTCTATTTTTAAATTACTATTTCAGTAATAATCAAAATAGTTGGCAATATAAAGATTAGTATAAAAATAACATTTATGAGATATTGAAGATACAAAATGTAAATTTTAACATTTCCATTCAACCTTCACGATAACCATTAGCTTAGAAAAAAACTGTAATTTTTTTTTCCATTAATGTAAATCACGAGATAGCGAATAAATGAGATAAACTGATAGATAAAAATGATAGTTATATCTGATACATAGAATGATGATAAGTTAAAAAAAGAGATGCAAAAGAATGAATTATCTAAAAATTGAATATACAACTTAGGCAGAAAAAAACCACACAGTATAGATGTCGAAAAAAATAAGAATATTAGAAATAATAGCAGTACAGTATTGAATCGTAATTATCAACAAACATTAATAAGTCCGCAAAAAAATAAGTTACAAATAATTATCACAAAAAGCGCATCAATACAAGAGATTAAATTCGCAAACGTTTCGATCCAATCCAGATCCTTTTCAATGCTGACACAATATTAATATAAAAAATGTAAGTGAATTAAAATAATAATATAGAAAAAATTTGGTCGCTCGCAACGGATAACAGACAAATTCAAACTGAGATCCAAAATGCTCAAGTAAATATTCATAGTCGGTATCGATAATACATACATATGAGATAAACACGCCCATATTAGCTTCCGAAATTTATAATTAAGAAATAAATGAATTGTAATCATTTATTTCTTAATTATTCAATGTTTGTTGATTCAATACTGTACTGCTATTATTTCTAATATTCTTATTTTTTCGACATCTATACTGTGTGGTTTTTTTCTGCCTAAGTTGTATATTCAATTTTTAGATTTTTTCTTGTAACCACCACATTGACTGAATTTTTTATTTTGATTTAGAATGAATTATACTTTATAATCTATTTTTTTTTCAATTTTAGTATAAGTATTTTTTATGTATGTATAAGTATTCTTAAAGAGTATATATAAGTATTCCTTCATGCATGTATAAATATTTGTAAAGAGCACTCTCTATAAAAATAATAAATTTTTATATCACAGTATTAATTATTCAACATCAATATACAAAATTATAATTTTATTGATTACATTATGCCATTTATTTCAAGTTAATTATATTAAATTACTATCTTTTGTGAGAAGAATGATATAATTTTCAAATATCTGTACTGTTTTGTAATAAGCTATACTTAAGATAAGATAATACGCTCGAAAACAATATTTTTTATAGTTATATCTGATACAGAATGACCTAATCTTTTCGTGATTATTAATGATTTTTATATAATACACTCATTTTTCATAACACAATAAAACTAATATTGACAAATATAAAATGCAAAGATTATTTGAAATTGATTGAGTATTAAAATATCTTTTTTCGTGAAATTAATCGATTACCTTATATTAATATTTATTTCAGCGGCTTAATTGGACGTAGCTGGGCTATGCTTTTCGCCAGCGTAGGATATCAAGTAACCATTTACGATATCGTTCAAGATCAAATTAAAAATGCGTTGGAAGATATTCATCAACAGTTGAAACGCCTTGAAGCTGGCGGTCTTCTCCGGGGTACACTAACTGCGGACCAGCAATTTCAACTGATAAAAGGTCTATTTTTTATCTTGTGATTTCCTATCGCAATAATTATTATCGCTGTGGACAATTAAATTACATTGATTTCATATCGAGAGATTTAAAACAACAGTAGACTTCATATTTTTGATATGGTAGGATAGCGGTCAAAGAATTTTATTCGAACATTCCTTTATAGGATCTTCTGATCTGGCGGAAGTTGTAAAAGATGCAAAATTGATTCAAGAATGTGTGCCAGAAAATCTTTCGTTAAAATTGAAACTCTACAACGATCTCGACAAAGTCGTCGACGACAAAGTAATCTTGTCCTCTTCGACGTCTACGTTTCGTCCATCTCTTTTCAGCGAGAAGCTGAAACATCGTGAGCAGATCATAGTCTCTCATCCTGTACGTATTTCCAGACTCTTAGCAAATATGATATTAAAATTTTTTCTGGCAAATCTTTATATAATAATATGATACGTTTATGTCTAAAAATTTACATATTTAGTTATAAAATTTATATAAAAAAAATTAAGATTAACTCATAAATCTCAACACATAACAAATATTTATTTTTGCTAAACAAATTAATTTTATTTTATTGACTCTAAATAAATTAGGAAAGATATTAATTATTAATAAGATTAGATAATCATTAAAAATGTCATAAATAATATTTATGTAGATTATTATTTATATCAGAAATTATATTTAAATTATTATTATTATGCAACGATACGCAGGTAAATCCCCCTTATTATGTGCCATTGGTAGAGGTAGTACCAGCACCATGGACGCGTTCCGATATTCCCGAGAAAACAAAAGCCATCATGACCGAAATTGGTCAAAAACCTGTTGTCTTTAGTAGGGAGATTGATGGTTTCGCACTTAACAGAATACAGTATGTAAGATATTGTCCATACAAAATATTTTTAAACATTTGTTATCATTCAACACTTGATATATCTAAAAAGATCATATTAACAGATATGCGATATTAAACGAAGCCTGGAGATTGGTAGCTGATGGAGTGTTAAGTGCAAAGGATATTGATGCGGTAATGAGTGAAGGTCTCGGAATGCGTTATGCTTTTCTTGGTGCTTTTGAGGCTGCGCATTTAAATGCTGAAGGTAAATATTCAAATACAAAGAGAGCTATTATTAAGCTTCTACACTATAAAAAGAAACAAACAAAATGGCTTTTCTCATAGATATTCAATTTATGTTGTTAATATATAAAATATATTGTTTTATAGGAATGAAGAAATATTGCGAAACGTATAACAAATCAATCTATGATGTCAGTATGACTTTCGGACCAGTACCAAAATTTGTGGGCGAGATGGCGGAAAAAATCAGCAATGAATTGAACGAGATGTGTCCACTTGATAAATTAAAGGAAAGACGAGCATGGCGCGATACCGCTTTGACAAAATTATCTATACTCAAGAAAGAATTAAATAAGATCAAACAGTAAAAAGATACTTATTTCATGCAATGTGCTACTATTAAAGCTTGTTTCGTTAAAGCATTTTAAAAACAGTTTTATATATAATTTTATATATAAACAGTTTTATATATAACAAAATAATTTGACTAAAAGAAAAATATTATTCTGACTGTAGAAATTAAATGAAATTGCAATAAATCATATATTTGTTGTTTGACATCTACCAATCTCCATGCCCTGAATTTTAATTTTTTAAAAATTAATTTTGTCTATATTATATAAGAAAATCAAATAAAAAATAGGATTATTTTATTTTATTTATATATAGTTACAGCTTTTTAACGCTTTCCTCCAACGCGAGGTGCAGATTTTTGTGTCACCTTAGCTACTTTCTGTTTAGCTACTTGTTTTGCTTTCGGAGGAGCAACGGCTTTCTTTGTTGCTTTTGCTGCTCTCTTCTGCTCTTTTGCTGCCCTAAAAATAAGTAATAATCAATATTATCATTACAAAATATTATGTAATATTGCTTTGTATGAACCCGCAAAAACCAGACAATGTAATAAAAAATACAGTTCTGGGTGAAGCAGTCCATTTTTATTCTAAGACAATCTGAAATCTGAAGTAGTATAAAAAACTATCAGAGGAACAGATGTCTATTGCAAATTTATCTTTAAATAAATATTAAATTAATATTTATATCTTTAAATAAAATATATTTAATAGCATTTGTCACTTTTTAATAATTCTTCGAAAATTGATATTTTATCAACAATTGAATAAATAATTATAATAAAAAGATACATACTTGATTGCTTGTTCTCTCTGAGCTTTACGAATTTCTGGTTTCATGTTACGTTTGGCCAAGATATCTGTGAGAGAGGCACCTACAATAGCACGCTGGAACTTTTGGGCCCGCCTTGTTCTTTTCTTGGTCTGTTCTTCCTCCTGTCCCTTCTTGTGTTTACGTCTGAGAAATATATTAAATTTAACAAAAGCATGAAAAATTATAATGTTTGCTACAAAGTAAGAAATATTTATACCTGTATAAGACGGTCCATGTCACTTTTCTAGGATTACGCCTCATCAAGTGTGCAGACTCGCATTTCGAGTTGAGGAAAGTGAAGGTCTGAAAAAGCGAAGGAAACGAAGGTTATGCTCGACACATGCAGTTGACAAACGAGGTAAATACTTTTTTCTTTTGAAAGATTTGTCAATAATTAAGGTACGAAACTGCAATGAATAATTATCCTATAATTATTTCAATGATATTTACCTTTCCATCAACTTTAACCATGGTCTTGCCATGGCCCGGATATATTTTATATCCACTGTACGCGCAAAGACCGATCCTGTAAATATTGAAGATACGTTAATCACAGACATTTCGTTCACGCGATGCACCATATTTTCGTTATAAATACAACGAGATTGCATCGGAAATACTCGGATATATATTTTGCACGAATAATTCTGACTTACTTCATCGTGATTAGACGCGAAAGAAAAGTCTCGGTAAAAATGGCCGAAAGTTTCCTGTTTCGTGAACATTGCAAGAACGCATGGTAGAGTGCGCTTTCGTCAATTGAACTTTCATGAACCATAAATATAGAACGCATTCCACTTGTTGAAAAGCGTTTAACCAATCAGAACAAAGAATCATTGCCTGATTGGTCAATCGAACGATTGGAGGGATCTATAACGTCAAGTGACGATTCCACTCTATGTATAAAACATATTATGGTTCTTTTACTGGCTTGACGTTCAAAATCTATCGAAGAGTGCGATATTTCGCGGTATCAATTCCTCTTTTCTCCTTTTCCTTTGTAATAATAGACACATCTTCAATTTCAATCAGATTTTTGAATCTCGCATTTAATATATTCTGGTAAGCATAATCATATAATATATTATTGAAAGAAATAATGCGAGAAATAAACGATTATTTTAATTCGAAAATGTTACTTGTTCGAGAAAGTGCGAGAATAATATATAATTATATTTTACAAAATAGTGTCTAATGATTTTTATGTTTGAAATTTTTTCAATATATATATTTTGCTAAAAGAGTTTTGCATATTTCGTATCTCTTTTCTTAGTTAGTTTATTTCGTATTTCTTTCTATGTATATTTATTTGTGAAACTGATAATATAATCTCTCTCTCTCTCTCTCTCTCTCTCTCTCTCTCTCTCTCTCTCTCTCTCTCTTTCTGTTTTAATGGCTCGTTAAAGATAAGATGTAATAAGTTTAAATAAATATTTCAAAGATAGCAAAATCAAGTAAAGTTTATTTTACTTAAAAAAAAAGAAATATACATATATATATATATATATATATATATATATATATATATAATACGTTTGTTTAAATTATTATATTATAATAATTATTATATTATTAATTTATTATATATTAATTTTATCATAATTATATTATATTATTATATTACAGTTTATTTGACTAACATATATATATATATATATATATATATAATATATATAATACGTTTGTTTAAATTATTATATTGATTTTAATATTGTTGTAATTTTAATAAGGAGGACAAAAGTAGAAGTATACATACACAATAGAAAGTATACATAATAACATCTTTTATAACATCTTTTAAAGTTTCTTTTATTCAAACTTTGGCTTGCAACTAAATCATATATATATTATGCAACATCTTTTCTTTATCACTCAATCAAGTGTCTTGAATTAAATTCTTTGATAATCATTTAATTATTTATTTTATATTTGCATATAATTTTATATATAATTATATCGTTGATATAAAAATAAAAGTTCAAAATTTTTCTCGAAAAAAAAACGAGAAAATAAGAAACGAGGAAACTTGTGGAATACTAACGAAGGTCAATCTGAATTAGGTTTAATAAGGCTTTCAAGAGCGAAACAATCGAACGCTCGTATTTCATCGTGTCCGATGATAAAATGGCATCCGCATCTTTCAAAGGCACCCGCAAGACGTACAGCTTCGAGGAGCGGAAAATTTTAATATCGCTAATAAATAAGCACGAAATAATCGAGAACAGGAAGTCAGATCCAATCTCCATATGCAAACGGAAGTCTGCGTGGTCGCAAATTGCTGAGGCGTATAACTGGATAGTCGGGCCGCAGGGTGCGCGTTCTGCGATACAGCTCAGACGTTGCTGGGAGAACATGAAGATTTGCAAGCGCAATCGCGAAAATAAAAAACCCCGGTAAATTAACTTTGAATAACAAAATGAATATTTATAAAATCGGATTAATCGAATCTAAAATTAGTTAATAAATATGAATGGAATTTAATAAAATTTTGTACTTCAGGATTTGCTTATAGAGCTATTTTAAATATTGCACGACAGTTAGAGAATATTACAGAAAAAATGATACTGAATAAGATTCTCGTTTGAGAGAAATCTCTTTCAATTTTTTGCAAAGAACTTATATCAGTGTTACTGATTTATAATTATTAGTAGTGCCTATATATACTATAGAATATTTTATATTATTATTTAACATTTTATTTTTATATACATTATTCTACTGTAGATTTTAACACGACAAAACACTTATAATGTAATCTTATAAAAAATTGCTATAAAGTAGAAAAGTATAGGATAAATTTAATTGTTAAATCTTTTGATCTTTTAGTGATGATACAAAAGCGGTGTGCCAATCGACAAAAGATGAGAGACGGGCGAAGAATCAATGCTGGGAGAGTGTAACTTGCGGCCAGAATACGTCAGAAACGCCAACATCCACCGGAACTGTCGGATTACCACCGAACGTGGTATTCGAGCCGAAAGATTCGGAACCGTTTACGTTGCAAAGCGTTTGCACTGCCAGACCTCAAAATCTGAACTGCTCGCGAAAGGCTGTGGATAATTGCGGAGACTTAGGTTGAAAATATATATACATCTATTCGTATATATATTTATTCGATATAATTATAAAATTATAAAATTAAAGAGAAAATTTATATAATTGTTATATAATTATTATAATAGTTTATATAATTGTTTATTAAATTTGATTTTACATAGTTGGTGACGCATTCAAGCAAATTGTTGCCAATGAAGACAAATGTGACGTCATTGCACCGCTTCACGATCCGATGAATTTTTATGAAAAGTTTATGAAAAGAAATGTCGATTCGCCTGTAGTCAATCAATCGGCAGAGGATAATATTGAGAAGAGTCAAGAAAATTTAAGGTCTACTGCTTCGCAAACTTTTATCTCCCCCTCTGTTATGCAGGAACAGAATCGCAAAAGAAAGTCAACGCAACGAGAAGAAGAATTGCACATGCTTGCGCTTTCAGAAGCGCAGATGAAGGTCGATATAGCCGCTATGTTAAAGGAAGAAGCGAAAATCAAACTGGAGGAAGCTCATTATCGCAAAGAAGAGGCTAGACTTAGAATGGTGTTGTTTACTCACAAATTAGACAGGAAAGAGGAGGATTAAAAAGATTAAGAAAAGTTGGACATTTTTGTTGGACGCAACGTGAAACACGTAAGTCTACTATTTTTCTTTATTTTTGTTGTTGACGATCTTGATTGGCGCTCAAAAGCAAGAAGGATCGGTAATGCAAAAAATAAACACAGTTGTTTCTATCTGTAATACGAATTTAGTTCTTATAAATGCAATTATAAAATATAATAAATACAAATTTTCTGATCATATTGCTCACTAAGTAAATAATAACTATTGCAATATGAGATATTATTTGATTTAATGTAAATGTTGCAAAGTTACGACTTTTTATGAATGTAAGCGTGACGGGGAATTGAGAAAGATCTGAAAAATATAAAAAAGATAATTTCAATGTTTTTTTCAGTATATATTTAAGTTAGTTATTTTTAGATAAAAAAGTAGAGAATCTTATTTCTTTATATGAAAAAGATACAGCTTTGTAAAAATTTGATTCTACAACACATGTACGATGAATTTATCGTCCTATCATATTGTCGTAGAATTAAAGATATTACTACGAGTTTTCTTTGCCCGCGTGTCTTAAAATATTCTTGATTATTTCAAATTTAAACATCTATATTATGGAAAGCTATTTTGCGGTCATTTTGGAATGTTATTTAAAAAAATACATTATTATTGATATTTTTGAAGCATTTTAGGGAATATCTTTGTAAAACGATATTTTTAACTGCTACAGTGTTCATGTTACGTATATAAAAAAGATATAGATTCTAAATTAAATTATCCATTTGATGTATGAGATAATGAAAATCGATCTAGATATTTGAAATTCATTTGAACATTCATCGATAAGTGCTTGATAGCTTGATCATCAGCAGTGAAATTGGCAGTGTTAGTATTGACTAGTGACAGAATATATAGGTCGTAATAGTAATGGATACTGAATTATCGCGGATTCGTTAGTCGATTTCATAACGTTTGCTAAAGTAAATAAATAGAGCGAGGATAGCATATATATGCAATTTTAAGATCGATCTTCTTGATTTGTTCTACATAAGATGAAAGTTGTCGTTGAGGGTCGATTTCGCGGTGTTCGAGCAACGGGTGACCTCAAAGAGTGACGGATCGGTATAGATTGGTTCGCTCGGATCAAAACCGGTACGTCGTCCAGTAGATAATCCCACAGCACCTTCCAGAGCTGTAGACGACGAGGCAAAACGTTGGCTGATGGCGTTGCTCATTGATCTCGAAATCGATCTAATTAAACACGATTATTATATAATTCTATAGTACAAATTAAACTTTTAATTGGAAAATAGTATAATTATAACTATAAAAAATATATAATTATAAAGCTAGCTAATTATAGCTCAAAAATTTAGCAAATGTATTTATAATATTTTTTGATAATTTGCTATTAAAAATGCTGACAGTTTAATCACTTACGAGGCCTGAAATGGTTTCTGAAGACCTGTCCTCATGAAAGAAAAGTTGTTGACTCGGCTGCTGTACGGCTCATCGGAATGATTGCTGCGGTTGCAGGTTTTGTCGAGTCTACGATTTTTCATGATCACAGAATAAACGTATTTTCTGAAATAATGAATCACTTTAAATTTGCTTAATAGATAGAAAAGATAAAAACTCAAGAAATTTTATTTTTATATTTTTTTAAATCATTTCTCTTTAAAAATAATGATACGTTAATTCCAATTTTTAGAGGTGACATGTAATTTTTACCTGTAAACGAGCATAGACAAAAAAACGACGGACGCCAAGAGAACGACGAGGATTCCCACTGCTGTAACTAATCCGTAATATTCATTTTGTGTTATACAAATATTTTCCGAGATCTTGGTTTGTCTTTCGACGACAGTTTCATCTTCAATGTCCATTCTCGAATCGAGAACCTATCAAAATACGGATAGCGTTATTGATCGTAGAAGGAAAGCATCTCTTCTTATTTCTTCTATGAAATGAAAACTATCTACCTCTATCATTTCTCTGACATGCTCTTCCTCTTCCTTGTCCTCTTCGTTCTCGGGTTCATCGCCCACGATGCCGGTCGCGTTAAGAATCGTTGACGCATTCTCGGTACCACCGTCCATCACGGTTATCGGTGACATTTCGTTCTCATCCGCTACCGTATCATTACTTGCGTCCCTTCGCCGTCTGCCGAAGGACGGTTCGCTTCTACCGGTACCACCGGAGCAATACGCCGGTTGGCAGCCATCACGGCACGTTCGTACGTTCGCCTCGAACACCAGGAAATTTGATTCGGGTATTTTGAAGGCGTTAAAGCGGGCCTCGAGGCTGTCGCCGTCACGAAGGCGATCCAATCCCGGAAACACGTAGTTGTCCACTGGACAGCTGCAGAAATTTCCGTTGGAGTTATGCGCGTGCGAAATTTCCTCGAGGGTGATTTAATTTATTAAATGTAATTTATTTAGTTATTGTACATGTATGTTTGAATATCCGCGATCTCGAAAAACAGCCAAAGTGTAAAAACCAATAGAGATATATGATATTACATTTTAGACTTCAATGTGGATAATATATAATATTAATGGCACTTTTTTTGTGTAGTATAATTTTATGTGCACAATTAACATCTCTCGTTCTTTGTGTAAAAATTATATTTGTTTAGAGAACTTTAAGATATTTGTCTTTCTTACCCGTATCTGTCTATCAGTTGAACGCTTCTACCAGAATAGGGATCTCTTGCAATAACATTGGTAGCAAATATATCTGTTACGTAATTGTATCTATGAAAAATAATAATTATTAAAATCTGAACCGTGTAATTGTATTTCGAATACTTCAAATTATATGTTCAAAAATTAATTTCAAAGTCGAGCAAATAATGATATAAAAGTGATGAAACATGTCATGCGATTTTTATCTCTCTCTAGTAATTTTATTTTTTTTTAAATTAAATAACTTAATTTTGACTATAACTTATTTAATCGATTTTCTTGTATATAATTGTAACGAAATGAACAATGATTACCCGTCCTGAGCTTCAAGTCTGAAAGTAAGAGGGTCACCAACAGCGATAGTGGTCGTAGGTCTACCTTGATAAAGAATCATCAAGCGTACTTTGGAACTTAGGGTGTTTTCCGCTGGGAGGTATTCAATGGGGATGGGAGACCCTGATCTGCACAGCATGTACGAGTCCCATTAGTAAAATTGGAAGTGGAAGTTATTAAATAATGTGAAAAAAGAGAGATACACGCCCGAGCGAAAAGTGAAGCTGATGTCATAAATCGGTGCTTTAATTAGTTTGCGTTTTTAAATTTTAATTTTACTAATTGACGTGTATATAACGTAAATTATTTTTCAATTTTATGCAATCAGATGTTAAACTTTCATATTTCTTTCAAATAAAGTAATCGAGATTGCGAGTATGCTATAATTAATAATATAAAAAAAAGTTTGCAATATCAATTAATAAATTATAATTATTTCAACAAATGATGATTAGCATAAATATAGGATTTGTTATGTATAATATAATATAAAAGAGAGAGGGCAATATTATGTACAAAAGATAGAACATGCGTGATATTTCCGAATGATATTTCGGATTATACATGTGATAAAGGAAATTACACGAACGTGCTTGCACCTGTATACGGATATTCTTGCCCATGAAAGGCGGAGCGTTTTATCCGCAAATAAGTATTACATATGGATTTATATTAATATAAAACAATTAACAAGCAAGAAGAAAATAACTTTACAACAATATCGTAACATTTGTTTAATGTTATAAAAATAAAGAAATTCTTGGTTTGAAATGTTATTTTGTACAGAAATCACAGAATAGTCTCGTAAATAAAAAATACAGTTTAACAGTGTTATAGGCGTGCGCGGATAATGAAGAATATTATTAAAAATTATTTAATTATTTAAAAATGTATAATAATTCAAAAATGTATTTCTCGATATGATCTCATTGAGACTTAATCGAATGTACATCACCAGAAAGTACGCATCTACGACATTTTAACTCGTTAAAGATCGTACTCTCGGTGCAAGACACGACCTCTCGATCGATATGACCTGGCATACCCGGCACCGATGTAGCCGGATGTGACGACAGCCTCGCCAGGTCCTCGAAATAGGCACGTCAGATTGAATCGCTTATCTCGTCCGGTTTGCACATAGTCCGAAAATTGCACCACCACGATGTTTGTCATCGTATCGCCGTACTGCAAGCATTCGTGTCTCCCATTTCAAAATGTTTATTGCGTTTATAGTTACACTAAACATTAACGTTTTCTCATAAACAACTACAAAAACATGAGTAATTTATCAATTAAAATTTTGAAGAAATTAGTTAAAATTTAGGAGAAAAAATTGTTGTTACAAGAATTTTATTTTGGTACATATTCAAATATCTAATTAAAAGAATCAAGTAGAAAATTGAAACTAAAATAATTTCAGACGTAGAGCAATTTATGAGAAGTTCGAAGTTTGTTTGATGTTGAATGACATTGAATATGTATGGGGCAAAAGTTTTTAGCTCAAATTAAATCTGAGATTACTTGTAGACCAAGTTGTTAACAGGAAATTGCCATTCTTACTCTCTGCGTGCCGCACTCGGGGTATCCTTGTGGTCCGCTGATACGAAGCACATTCACAGTCCCGCCATTTCCACGGAAGAAGCACCGATCGTAGTATCCGTATGTGTAAATTCGTCCAATGAATCCCTCCGGTGTTCTCAGAGTAAATTCCATCCCATCCTCGCTACAGACTTGACTCACTAGAAGCGTAACAAAGTGCAATTTATTGGCAGGAGCGTAGTTTCCGGGAAATCGATCCAAGAGAAGTACCATGTTAATTAAACTAAAGTTAATTAAACCGAAATTAGCGTTAGTGAAAAAATACTGAAGGCAAAAGAAGATATGATAAAATCTGCGAGCTCGCAAATGCAGAAAAGACAAATTTGATGATATTAAAAATCAGTGTTAAAAACGCAGTTAATACACTATAATTTATTGTTGTTAAAAAGTTATTAAATTATTGGGAAGAAATGGGAAATTAAAGGTAGTCATAAAAGTGTGTCATATCGATTTTCGAATTTGGATTAATGTGTAGGTTTTGATAGTATGATTGATTGCACACATGCAATGTGCGAGATATTTGAAGGAAAAGAAGTATTAAAATAAAAAAAAACAACATTAGATTTATTTCATAAAAGTGAAATAATGCGCGATACAATAGTGCAATATTATATATACATACATTAATTATTAATGTGCATCTTCATTATTGAAAAATAATTCATAGGTGGAATCTTATCGAAACCAGAATAAATTATTCTTTATGATAAGCTCGATAAAAATTTTACGAAAGCATAAATTTAAATGTAAGTTTGCAGATTTTATTCTAAGTTTGGAGATTATATTATCTTTTTCTCTCGAGCACAAATTTCATTCGAAAAAAATGTTATCTTGATTTCTAACGTGCACGAGCGCATTTCCCAATTCTTGTAATCAGCGCCCTATGGACGGACTGGGCGCTTACCGTCCAGACATTCCCCATCTACGCCTTGGCGACCGTTGTTTCTCTCGTAGAAGTCGTAGTCGGAGCCTGTGTCGTAATAAACTGGGCTGCCCATCTCCATGTCCCTGGAGTCCCGGTCGCTGAGCTCGCAATTGTCCCTCTCGGCCCCGTAAGGTGCGGCATAGGGCCGGTAATTGAAGGATCTGCAAATGACATTGGGAATTTGCGAGCATCGTCCAATCGATTGCGCAAACAAACGTTGTCGGATCATTCGTAATTCAATCTCAAGCTCCCTCGATAGACATCTTGTAAATTAATGGAAATTTTACATTTCACCATGATGTTGTATAATTACATCATTCTTGTAAAATTTTTTTCTTTTATAAAATTGATTATATTTTTCTGTTTCATATGTTCGATAGTTGAATTCGATTTTATGTAAAAAGATCACTCTTCTATCTTCTATCTACTTTAATTATTTTACAATTTTTAGAAAAATTTATATATCTGATAATTATTACCACCATATCGTTATTGCAAAGTATACTGACTCGAATCATCTATTTTGTTATTTCAAAAATAACTCATTTTATGTAAAAAAATATCAAGATATATTTTATTTTTTCTTTTCCTCTAAATTATATAAAAACATAAAAAAGAAAATTTTATCTCTTTTTATTTTATCTCTATAACAAAGAAATATTTTAATTCAAATATTCGGGACAACAACCTACACATTCGGTATAATAAATAAATATTAATATAAATTACCCTCCACAATTTTAGCCATTCATTATTTCTATAAATTCGTTCATTATCATTACCTGCAAACGAAGTCTCTAGCATCGGCACATTCTCTCTCGCACTGAGCTAGCGATGATGCAGTGGTATATCGTCTGACAAATGGCTTTCGCACCCTAGTGTGAGGTCCAACTTGTCTAAAGTTATCTTGCTCATCGCATCTGGATATTAACGGAGGTCTGCCTATGATGGGTCCGCCGGCGGTACCAAACGGACGAGAGTTATACACACCACCTTCGCCTATATATCCGCCACCCACGATTCCACCGCCATCGCCACCGTAGCCTCCAGCGGGTCGCGCAGCTGGACCATAAGGTCCGCCACCATATTGAGGACGCGGCTCGGGACCATAGCTTTGAGGACCGCGACCGTCATCGACGAATCCGTGCGAATACGTTCCGTGTCCTGGCGGCGGATACCTGCTATTTATTGATTCAAATTATCAATGTTTTTACACCATTGTGAAATTTGTGTCTTCAAAATAAAAATTCTTAATGCAAAAATAGTTAAGAATTAAAATATGTATGAAATTAAAAATATTGATGTTTCATATTATTATACATATAATTGTGTTTAGTTTCACAACTCACCGATTAGCATAGGGATCCTTGTCAGGATATCTGCCAGTGGCTGGATACCGATCAATTGGGATTCGATCGCCACCTAATGCCGAAGGATATCGATCCACCTGAGGATCTTCTGAGAGAGGATAACGATCGATCATATTTGGGTATCGATCGCTGACGTCGACGGGATACCGACTCGGAGTTGATGGATATCGAACACCGTGTATTACAGGATATCGGCCATTCACAGGATATCTGTCTAATGTTCCGGAATCGGGTGTAGGATATCTATCGCTGCCGATAGGATGACGATCTCCTCCTCTAATGGGATATCGATCGGAAATCGGATACCGATCTGAAATTGGATAACGGTCTCCAACTGGATAACGATCAGAAGAAGGATAACGATCTCCTGTGGGATAACGATCTCCTGTGGGATAACGATCTCCTATGGGATAACGATCTCCTGCGGGATAACGATCTCCTGCGGGATAACGATCTCCTGTAGGATAACGATCTCCTGTGGGATAACGATCTCCAGCAGGATATTTATCGGGATATCGATCGCCGACAGGGTATCGGTCTGGATAATTGTCCGAATCGCTCGAAGGGAATTGTCCAGGATATCTGATGTCCGGATACCTGTCGTCTAAAGGACGACGATCGGGATAACGGTCGGGGTATCGATCGGGGTAACGATCTGGATAGCGATCTGGGTATCGATCTGGATAACGATCTGGATAACGATCTGGAATACGATCTGGGATACGATCTGGATAACGATCGGGATAACGATCCGGTTTGACGCTGCTGGAGTATCCTTTATCATAATCGTCCGGGTATCCTAAAGATAACATTTATTTAACAATTATATTTTTCAGTAATATTTATATTTATTAATGAGAGAGAGAGAGAGAGAGAGGGGAGGGAGGGAGAGAGAGAGAGAGAGAGAGAGAGAGAGAGAGAGAGAGAGAGAGAGAGAAATGGAGAAAGAAAAAATTCTTTATCGAAATCTTATTATATGATCATATATATATAAAATATTTTATACTTTTAAATAATAGGAGCTTTTCATAATGAATAGATAAATAATAAAAAATTATAAGCATTGGCGTTAAACACGTGCTTGCTTGATTTTATTAAGATTGAATGCAATCATAATAGACAAAATAAAATTTGAAATTTATAATTACACTTGGCGCTAAATATAATATGAATGCAATTTAAATTCATGATTAGCTTCAATATTCTAACAAATATATATTAAATTCACAAGGTTATTTCAACATGCGATGTGCGTTTACCACCACGTCCAACAGACGTGTCATATGTGTATTCAAGATTTCTTATCTCATTAAAGCAACTAATGTGATTGAGTAATTTTATTAATAAATGAGCGACTTTATACGACGTTGACGCATAATATGTTGAATTAATAAAACAATTCTAACCCGGTCTTCCTAAAGAGGGTCGTCCAAAGTTTGTGTCCTGTCCCAGAGGATCCGGTCTGTATCCAGGACCATCTCGATCGCCGTCTAGATATTGATCTGTCGACACAATGTGTTGTTATATTAAATATTAAACACATATATACGACATGATTCTTTATCCAAAGAAATCCAAAAAAGTCGCGAAAGATACAATGCGATTGTGCAGTGATATAGATCAATCTATCAACTGACATTACGGTATGTCAAGGATGATGGTTAAATTTTAAGGCAAAGAGCAAAATCAAATATATATATATATATATATATATATATATATATATATATACAAACTTATTTTTTATTATTACCATTTTTATTTATTAATTTATTATTTTAAGTATGTTAATTGCTTGCTGAATTCTTGCGCGTCATCAGAAAGGATTATTACGAGAAGTATAAAGTACTCAGAAATTGTCTATGGCTTGACATTTCGTGATTGATGAGGATCGATACTTACGCATGAGATTCTCGTAATAATCGTAATCAGCATCGTAGATAATCCTGTGACCATCTCGCTGATTGAATCGGCTCAATCGACAGGTGTGATAATGCTCGGAGTAAACGGCGCTGCGACATTGGAAGCTCGTTTGCCGGAGACACTCGTCAAGACATTCGCTGAGGCTGCGGCCAGTAATCTCCGAATGAAACTCACCGCTCAGACGCGAGTTCCGGTAACGCTGGAAGGCCGTGTCTGGACGTCGACCGTCAGAGAAGAGGTGGGACGACGAGCTGCTGTCCGGATATTCGGAACCGCGCGCTACGGACGGATCTACGTTTCGTAAGTGAGCATTGATAACGAATTGTGAATCACCAATGGACCATCATTATTTAATTTTACACCCTGTTGCATACAATAGCATGTGTAGAAGTCTTTCTAATTCATTAACTTTGCATGATTAATTCGTGTATTATACAATTTTAATAGAACTGCGTTTATTAGATATGCGTTTAATTAAATTTTTATTGTTCGCCAGAACCAAGTTAGTCAAATTAGTAAATTTATATAAAATTTAGCGATTAGTAAAATTTAGTAAATTAAAATTTCGGTGTAATAAACTAAAAGAAAATGGAGAATTTAATAGAAGATTAATTCTCTGAAACATAAAACTTAATTTTTCTTTATTTTATTATAAATAATACTATATTGTTATTATTGTCTAATTTTTATCTATTTATTATACAACATCTATCAAATATTATATGTATGATATGATAAATTTTCGCATGCTAAAACAGAAACAGATGAAACAAACTAATATTAAATAATAAAATTAAAAGTTTGCATAAACTTACGATTATCTAAACAGACGAGATCATAAAAGTGATGGCTAGGACTGCTACTGATGCCAATGTCGTCCTTTTGTGAAACCGAATCTTCCTCAGATATAACACACTGCCGAGTTTGCTCGTCGAACTCGACGCTTCGGCAGAAATATATCTCTGCTCTAAGACATAGCGCTTGACACTCGTCCAAAGTGAGGTTTGTGTAAATATCTACCTCAAAGGGACCACGTAAACGTTTATTTTCTTCTTTAACAAACACGGCGAGGCCATCACATCGTCGTTCGGCTAATCAAAATTTAAAAAATATTTATTTTTATTTGGATATACAAATATATGATTAAAATATTACTTGTAATATTTCTTGACATGTTTAATATTGATTAAAATGCATTTAATGTTTTTTAATAATATTAAATATATTATGTGTTTTCTCTTTTTCTTTTTAATTATTACAAGAAAATTTTTCAAACATACATACAGCTTTGAAAGAATATATATATAACTATTTATTATATATATAAAAATGCTGATAAAATTTACCATTGAGGCAAGTATTTTCCAGATAATCAGAATTCGGATCATCCTCTAGTAATTCGGGATGAGTTCTTCTTGTAAAACGACTGAGAGAACAACTTCTCAAGGCAGTATCGTACGTCGCTGATCGGCAGACGAAACTGAACTCATTAAGACACCTAAACAGAAAATTATTTCTTGTAAAATATTCTACACTTCTAATCTCCACGTGTATATACCTGTCTTCACAATCGGTTCTGTTCGCAGCACTGACTTCTTTAATATCCGTTAAGGGTAGCTTCAGCTTCTTTCTCGGATGCCTCTCAAATACGTAACGACGTTTTGGGCATTCTCTCTCTATTCTATCAGCTGACAATCAAAAACAAAATCTTAACTTCTAAAACGTATAAGTAAAAGTAAGTCGTAATTATAAAAATTCCAAATTTTTGAACACAAACAAGAATGATTTCTAGATTTTTGTGAAAAATTATTCGTTTGCAAATTCTATCCTATAATAACGACAATCATTCAATTTTTTTAGGACGAGCAAATTTTAATTAATGCGACGTGATGACATTTTTTTAAAATCAGAAACTTACACGTCAGGCACACTTCGGTAAAATGCACGCTATTCGGTACGAGCATGAGATTTCCGATGCCCTCGGGCTGCGCCTGTTCCCTCGTTAAATAGCAAGTACTCTCCTCGTACTCGGCCGCGCCGCTGAAGGATGCAATTCTATTGCCAGGTTGAAAGTCAAAACTTGTACACGCGCGGACCAAGTTATTCGTCGCCGTTCTATCGCGCAGACATAGGTCTTGACACTTTTCCAGAACCCTAAATGGAGCCGCCGAGTCTCGTACCTGTCGAAGATAGAAATTTTTTAACATTAAATAATATGTCTCTTACCACGGATACGATTATACTTAGGAACTTTTTTTATAACAACTATAAGAGCAGTGATGAAATTAAAATATGTGAGAAATTTCATTACTGCTCTTATAGTTGTCATAAAAAACAGATAATATTAAAACAGATAAAGTATAAAACAGATAATATTATAATATTGGAGGTAATTCTCTGCTTATAATGAATATTTAAAAATATTTCTTACTCTCTTTATACAATAGTAAATTGCAAATTTGAGAAGCTGAAATGCTACTTCCAAACGATAGTTTAGAAAATGAAGTATTTCCAGAACACAGTCTTACCACATCATCGTCGAAACCTTGAAGTTGTTGATCTGGAAGTCTCTCGTAAACAACCCTACCTAAACCACCATTGCAACCAACGATTGTTTGCGCTGAAACTGTAATAGTTTTCTCGTTAACGCCGGTTTGTCGGTCACCGAATGACAGATCTCAGATATACATATGTTCATTATATCATATGATTTCATTATTTATATATTATCTCGCGTAAAAAAAGGATTATTATTTCCTTTTCACATAAAATTCAGGCTACTTCCTCTAGTCGAGCAAATGCGCGTGCTTCGATTTTTATCAATGCGATATTTTCATGCCATAAGTGACACGAATAGCGACACAATGCCAACTAACAATTTCGCAAGTACATCGTTCCACTTATATCTCGCGATTTGCTCGTTTGTTGAAGTATTTAACTGCATGTGAATTCCAAATAACATTTTTAAAATTCGATTCTCATGTAAATAAAAAAGATTTAGAAAATTGAAATTTAAATAAAATTTACGATTTTCGTCAATAAATGTTATCAATTTAATAAACATTTACTATATTTTAATAATGTATTTCAATCAAAAGTGTTTTTATAAAATTTAAAATCTTTTTTCAAATCAAATCTTAATCAAATTTAAAAGAGAATTTTGATTTCTCTGAATTTTTTCGAAAAACTAAATATATCGAAATCGACATGTTGTAATGTACATGTAATGTACATGTAATGTATTTACAAAATCTATATCTGATTTCAATTTGAATGAGAAATTATGAATTATTATATTCAAATTATTTGAAACTTACCATTAATTAACAAATTTAATACAATGAATATCCAGATAATTGGCAGCACGCAAATTGATCGATGAGTTCTCCACATTGCGATATTTAAATGTAACGATTATTATACCGTATACATGTCAATCGTTAAATCTGAAATAAGTAATTAAATATTTGATATAAAAGAAAGAACAAAAATTTCTTCGTTTTAGAAAAATGTTATTACCATTAAAATTTTTTAATTTCGTTTTTATACACATTGTTGAATACGAGTTATTAAAATATGATATTAAATTATTTTGTATTCTCAGTGAAGTTTCACGAATAGTAGAAATTGTGAAACAGACGAGAAATGTGCTCTCACTTTGAAAATAGGGAAGAAATTTAATTTATGTCAAGAGAGAGAAATGTTCCTCTAAAGGACAGCTTTGCATTGAAATTTAAGAATGCAAGAGATCTTGGAATTATTTATAAGATAGACTATCGCAAAGATACCTTACTTTCTACCTATATTTTTCTTTTCCTATCAGATAAATGTCATGTCAAAGAAAAAATACCGATACTTTTCGTGCCAAAGGAAAAACATAAAAATTTAAAAAAATTGTATACAACATATATGCAAGTTCCTTTGCATATTTAATCGAAAAAAATATATATTTAACATATATATATTTATGTTTAGTATATGTATATTAATGCATACATCATTAATTTTTTTGATAGCTGTTTCGAAATCATTTAAATGTTTGTTCTGGGAAGGACAGGACAGATAACAGACAGACAATAAATACTCAGTTTTTATTCTTCGCGTGAAAAAAAATACGACACGACATGAAAAATCGAAATAAAGATAAAGCTACGCGGGAGGATCATTTGTTCTGGCCGATGGACAGACGTTTCCATGTGTTCGAGATACACGGGGACAGTATATACTAGAGTTTACGAGATTCCTGATGAGCGCTCACCCTGAACATTTTACACACACTCGCACCCTCGTAATACATATGCGACTGCCAAAGGACCAGCACACGCCCGTAAGGGCAACGAAGCGTGATTCCAACTTTCAGACATTACATTATTAGCTGGTTCCATTATCTGTTCGGTTATCGCGATTGTTGTAAAAAAAAAGGTTCAATCATCGGAAACGAAAGAACGAGGGTCATCTTTACACGCTCGACGCGATTCTCGATTTCGCCATCAATGGCGAGATACAGATATAATATCTTCCAAAATATAATTTTGCGTTTTTGAAGTTTTTATTGTTTATTGTTATATTATTGTTATAAAAGAATCGCGATATTTTATAATAGTGTATTTTCTATTATATTTTAATATTTTATTTAATATTTTATTTAATATTTTATTTAATATTTTATTTTCTATGTCATATTTTATATTTCATCTTCTATTATATTTTATTGACTCTTTCGGACTAAGAAATATTTAATATAAAGAAGTTGAGTCTACATGAATAATTAAGCCATGAGATAGCAATTAATTATCTATTTTTGAGATTTAAATTTGAAAATATAATATGTATATAAATATTATATATTTTATAGAGATAATATATATAAATTTTCATAAGATTATATGTAACCATATATAAACATTAATTCATTTGAATATTAATTTATGTATATTATCTTATAATTTCCGCTTATAAAAGCCGCGCGTAGTTTCAGCGACTGTTTATGGCGATGCCATATAATGAGATATTTATGATAACGTAAAGATTTTATTGTGGGGTTAATTTATGTTTACTCGCTGATGTGCGGCTGTATTTTCAGTTCGTGATGAATGCCAATTACTGTGTGACTGTGGCTTGTTCGCCGATTGTGTTCTATCGTTGTCCACCATACAGCGAAACTGCTTATTAATCGCGTTACGGTTTATCGCCCCGGTAATTGCGTCTGTCACCGACAACGCATATATAAAAGCTTATTCTCATGTTAATATCGGTCGTGAAGGGAAATTATGGCGCTTGTTCGTTATAATTCGCGGAATGTTACACGTGCAAAATTACATTTCTGTAATTGCTCTCGCCGGATTTATTACGCGCTGCTCATCCTATGCAAATCGTTTCGGGAAATTACTCGGATTAAGAATAATTAAATATGTCATTAGACACGAATGAATTATTCTCTAATAAAAACCGTGTTCAACATCAGGAGAAGAAGACATTAAAAATGTAATAAATGTTGAATTACAAAATGTCCCGTGTAAAATATTTTTAATGTAAACATTTTACGTAAATATTTTTTTTATATCATTATAAATCACATCTGCGTAATACAATAGTGAAGATTTTTAGACAAAAAATTTGAACTTATCAATCGTAGAAATTTATTTTTATTTATTTTCTTTCGATAATTAGACAAATAGAGATGTTTTTTTCTATAGATAAATAAGAACCAGAGTCTCAAAATTGTTTTAATTTGCAATTGCTCCTTTTTAAAAGCTTACTTTCTGTGATAGCTTTATTGTGAGCTTCCACCACAGGAACTATTGTCGTGGTACTTTGAACTCGGTACGCGGATGGCATTGTTGCGTGCGTACTCGTGTCGAACCGGGAATGAATTCGGCCATTGTTGTGTGACGTTGATGTTAATGTAACGTTCGCACGCAACGACAAATTATTATCTGCTAACGCTAATTCCGTCGAATTTAATTTGAGCGCGACGCGAAAATGAGCGTGAGGTGAAAATGTACAAAGATTTGACTACGCGGGTATTTCTAGAATTACTAATGGCATTGAGAAAATTATTATAGAACGTAGTGCAATGTGATTGCGTGACTGTATAAAGATCGCGGAAAATCCGTCCTGCATCATATGATTGTGTAACAATCTTCTGAGAATTATTATAATTATAGCGATAGAAACAAACGTGTACAGCATATTTTGCGTTAATTGCCACGCAATGCATCATTAGAATAATTGATTAAGATTTCAAGTGCATTCTAATCGCTCATGTACAAGCAATTATTGTACCTCTCCTTACGCAATTGTATGAACAATGCTCTATAAAAAAAATATTTATTTTTTTATTATCGTGTCCTAATGATCATTTGATAATTGATCATCGTGTGTTTATCAAAAATTTATCGTGAGAATATATTTAAAAGTTTTACATTTTTTAAAATCAATTTTTTATATAATTAATCAATTTTGCGCACACATTCTTTTCCAGGAAGAAATAACTTAAAAATTATAAATGAGAAAAAAAATTCTTAAGAGCGCGATTCAATTAGCACAATAATTTTTTTAAAAAGAAAAACTGCAAAGAACTATAATTAAAATTAAACAATATTACAATTGATTCGCGTAATATTAATTTGATCTCATCTCATATTTGAATTTGAGAGATTGCCAATCATATAAAGAAACAAAAATTCATCAATCAAAAAAATAAAATAGATCTCACCCCGATGATGGATAGCTCTCCCCTGGAGAGTTCTGCTTTTTTTCTTACAAATCCTTTTTCTGCCTAGTGTGATTCTGCTAAAAAAAAGGAACAGCGAAGAAGAAATCGTCGCGGATGGGTTCCCGCTGTGTTCCTCGTCCTGTTCGTCCTGATCGCGCGAAGAAAAGGCGTGCGGGTGTACGCCGATATCACGCGTGCGGTGCGAGTGGCACCCGTAATCAAACTGACGGTCAAAATCGGCGGGAAGCGTGGAAATAATGGGCAGATACCTGTGCACATACCTGGGAAGCGGAGAGAGAACAGCAAAAGAGCAAATCGTGCATTCCCGATGAATGGCCTCCGTGTATAGACCATAGGGGGCCCATACAGGGAACGCGAATAACGTGCGCGGGAGGGGCCCCCACGTCCGACTTCTGGCCTTGCGCGCAACGGAAGTGGACCCATTGTGTGTCCGGTTTCCGTGGGGCCATCCGGGAAAACGGGCGACGCATGGTGTGTCGTATAAGGGCCCCAACGAACGCTGCAGATCAGGCTCGGCGCCAACACATGGCTCTTTCTCTCTCTATCTCGTTATCGAGGCTAACTCGTTGCGGAATCATGGATTAGAGATTCCCAGTCGAGGTCAACCAGGACGAGATCGCGCCATCATCGTTGACAGAAGGCAGCGAATCGCTCAACGATCGACTGGAAGGTAACCAGACATTTTAATATATATCGAGAACTTGCTGTTTATCATATTAATATTGGAAATTATTTTTATGAGTGTAATTTTTTGTAACACGACAAAAAAACTAGCGTCTACGAGCCACAGCGGATGGTAATGCCTAAAAATTCTTTTAATTGCACGCGAAATTTAAACGAGAACTAGGCATATGCATATATTTTACTTGGTGTATTTTATCAAGATATAGATTCTCATTTTTGAGAAATTCTATAAAACCCTCTTTACCCCCCTGAAGAGACGTAGACGAGAAAAATATCGGATCGTAGACGCTAGTTTTCTTGTCGTGTTATTTAATATATAACGAGCCTAATTCCTTTCGATGTATTATAATTTTTTGTATTTTATTCAGATATATTTTATTATTGATTTTTAATTATTGTGGAGAAAGAATCATGTACATTTTTTCATGTCTCAAATCTAACAATTTCAAATTTTTGTAAAAATGTCTTACACAATATGAAACAAACACAACTCTTGAACAATTTTACTAAATAGAAATCTTATAAATAGAAATCTCTCTTTTCTGATTCGACGTATAAGAGAAATATTTTAGTTAAAGATTAAATAAATAAAGATATATGTTATAAAGGAAATATAAATGAAGTTAATAAATATAAAATGCAAAGTTTTTTTCAATAATAACAGCATTAGGTGTTTAACTTTTCATAAATTGCGATGTTAACAACAATCTTAAACTCTTTTCTTTTCCTTATTTTACGGAACGTCTTTTCTTGTGTCCCCAGGGAACACATTGTACTTAAGAAATATCTTTTTCTCTAGGGACAGCAAATAATGACGCAGAGTCTGAAATATTGCAGAAAGTAATTGAAAAATAAAGGGACATAATAAATCTTAGAGTACTTGATAATGTGATTTTTTTCTATGTTCTTGATATATTTTTACTTATTAATAGCAACAAATTTATTTTAAATCGAAACATAATTTATATAATTTATAATTCACTCTCGGATTCAAATATACATCTCTGCTCTCATTAAACACTAATTAATATAAAAGAGAAAAAAAGAAAAATTTTTAGAAATATACTTTAGAAAAGATATAAAATATAATTCTGTTAGAAAACATATGAAGTTTATAGTTAACAAATAAACATTGAAATACATATAAAAAATAAGAGAGAAAATACATTTTAGAAATACATTTAAAAAGTTACTTCATTAAAAAGTTGGAAGATAAAACAAGATTTATTTCAAAACATTAAATTATATTTTCTCTCTCCTTCAAATAAATATTATTTTATTAATAATTATGATATATATGTAAGAGTATACAGAAAGAGTTAGTTCTAATTATATTTCTGACACAAATGTTTATAATCATTATATAAATAATTATCAAAGTAGAGAGAGAAGTGTTTTATAGATGCAAAACAAATTCAAAAAACAATGTTCTTTAACGATTTAACTGCAATTGTATATGTATATTTCCCTTAATCTTGCCTTTAATTCGAATACAATCAATGAATGCAAACGTACAATAAAGATAAAATTATTTTCCATAGAACATAATTCCCGTCGTTCATGTATTACACGTGTGTGACGTGATAAATTGATGACAGATTGTGCGATTGTTTGAAAATTGCCGCGCTTAACCACGTGGTCGCCGAATGCGTGTCCGCTCCGTATTCTCTGCGTACGTGGGAAATCTGTCAAGTGCTCGATATCGTGATAATTTGATATAGTCAGCTGAGGCAAGATGCAATTGCCCGTCTGCGAACTGTAACGAGATTGCTCGCAGTCGCGTGATATTGCGGAAAAAAAGTGTTTGTTTTCTTCGCGAGGCGCAAATCGAGGTGAGAATTGAAAAACGCTAAAGATAATCTGCTCTTCTCTCACGACACCTCATATTGATTTGCGATACACTTACGGCGATGTTGACGTTTAACGACAATCATTCGTTCATCGAGATGATGTTTCGACCGGGAAAAATATCATAAAATTAATTACTTTCTACTCTTGTAGCGCGAGCGTTTTGAGGTTAACAGAATATAACAGTTGCGTGACACGTTTGACGTAGGACGAGTTTGACATACAAGATCGAATATTTTGCGCTTATTCACGTAAAATATATTGTTTTTTCATGTTTCAGTTGGGAGAAATTTGTATACACTTGAGCACACTCTAGAGAGCAAAGAAGACCATCATGCCGCTCAGCACTGGTAAGTATATAAACATAATACCTCCCTATTTGTTTTATTTTCTATTATCTTTTATTTATCAAGCATGAAAAATTTTAATGTTGTTCATCACATTTTTATCAATTTTTTTAAAATTAATATTCTGTTTTTTTATTGCAGATATATCCACAGCGCTTCACTTGCTGGAGCAAGTACAGGAACGTGTGGAGGATGATCCTAAACTTCAAATGCATACATCGCAAGATTTGAAGTCATTGATTTCGTTATTAGAGGATCCTGTATTTCGCAGCATAGTTACAATTCAAGATTCCTTGATTGAATTGAACACTCAATTGACGCATCATCCATCCATCTTGCCTGGCGACTTTGACATTAACATTAGTGGGCAGCTGGAGCTTTCTGTTCCAAGTACTCCAGTGCAGCCACTCGGACCAAACATGTACCCAGATCTTTACCAGGATAGCAGCGAGTTGGAAGATCAGAGAGTTCCCGTTGCTCCATTACTGCATAGCAGCAGTGAAGATACAAGTGCACAGGTGATTTTACATTATTATTGTAATCATTTGAAGATCAAATATTATTGTAATATTTCTTGTATATTGAGGGATCGCTTTGTTACAGGTTACCAGTCCCAGTCTTGCTTCAGAAGTTATGGGAATGCCGCCTATAACCACTCCTACTTATGCAAAAGAGTTTAAAAAGGTCATTGAGGCTGCTGCAAGGGGACGGCAAATATTTACAGTGCAGGTAAATTTCTACATACATTTTTCATGGATTAATAAAATAAATTTTTTTTAAATATATTATTTTGATAAAACATCTTTATAATATCTTTCCTCTCTAACTTTGTCAATTTTTTTGATCTTGTTCTTTTCTTATATATAAAGAAAAATATGATGACAGAATTATATTTCAAGTACTTTCCACTAATGTAACAATTTCGTTTTTTTTTTTCAGTTGTATAAACCAGAGGGAACCAGTTTGGGATTCAGTGTAGTTGGACTTCGCAGCAAGGATAAGGGCGAGCTTGGCATATTCCTACAGGAGATACAACCAAATGGCATCGCGGGTTGGTGAGTGAAATATCTCTTTTTATTAATATTGTTGCTGCATGCTTTTGAGATGTACATTGATTTGAATAATTTTGTTTAACACATCGATTAATAAAATTTCGAAATATCGCCATTATTTTGGCAACAGCAGTGACATTTATTTTGCGTTTGTCAAGAGAGATTGGACTTTAAAATTTATAGGCATTTTTATTCTTTAGTGGCTTTAGGGTCTTGAGTATAAAAGTTTTAAAGTATATGTACTTGGATAAGTTTGAAACGCGATCAGATAAGTTTCAAAGGTAGAAAAGCGTTTGATAGCTGTCAGAAAAAAGGTCGTATATCCGATGAGGCGGCAAATAATGGATGAGCCTGTGAATGTGCGATTTATCAGGTGATCCAATAACTTCGCTTTTACCGCAGTGCGGTCGAATCGACATTTTGTAACCGAATTAAACGCAATATCTTTAATTCAAGAGTATCATCCACTGTTGCATAAAGAAAAAAAAAACATTTTAAAAGGCTTTTGCATTCACGTGACCTCTAGCAGAAAAATCGATCGAAAGTATCAATTTTAATATGTATTAAACATTTTTATTTCTGTAAAAAATTACATCTTCGAGTCCACAATTTCTCTGCGAGAAATTCCCAGTGACGCGTGAATCCGCTGCGAAATACGACTCCCCTTTTGATTCGACGAGGGCGAAACACGAATCTCTAACGTTCTCCGAGCGAGCGTCGAGAGAATGAAAGCTCCCCAGGTAGTCTCATCTACATCACCGTCGACCAAACCGCAAACACCGAGTGAGGGCAAACGCTCCCGCGCGCGCGCGCGCGCACCGTCATCGGGGATCCTCGCGCTGAAAACGAGGCGACCGCGAGAGCTACAGTTTCCGGATCACGCGTTTCTCGCTCTCGCAGGCACACCCTGTGGCACCCCGTCGTGCCGATCGTCATGGCACGCATGCCCGTTACCTTCCTATCCGGAAGCTTCGCCGTCACCGTCGAGAAAACGCCGCCTTTGAAAAAGAGCCTCCCACCCTCGCGACCGACCAGTCTTCGACGAACCTTCGTCGGCCGAAGGTCGCGGGACGGATCTCTACGCGCCCTTATCACGCGGCGGACACGCACCTTGCGCGCCCGCGCGCGCGTACGTACGCACGCACGCACGCACGCACCCACGCATGCATGCACGTACGCACGCAATCCGCCCGCCTATCCTCTGTATGTACCCCTGGTACATCGTCGCGCCGAAGTAGTCCGCGCGAGTGTGTGTGTGTGTGTGTGTGTGTGTGTATGTGTGTGCGTGTGTGTGCGTTCTCTACCCTTCTTTCGGTCAACCGCGAATTTTTTTCGCGCGTTCGATTTTCGCAGTGCGTTCCCCGCGTGCGTTCCCCCCTCGCTACGCCGATGCACCCCGGTGCGCATCCGCCGTCGTCCGACAGCCTCGTCTATTAAAGACTGACCGGGGGGGAGGGGGGTGGTGCCACCCCCGATTAATCTCCGCGGGGAGGGCGGCCAAGTACGCGCGTGTCAGGATCACGTTTCCACGACGGCATGCGAGCCCTACCGCGTATACCGTGCGGCGCTCTTTCACGCGATGCGCTCATTAATCTCCCTCTCGCGCGTGGTTCTCGCCCGTGAGGTCTCGTAAACGGCGATTTTGCAGCGGGTTGTTACGCGGGAGGTGAGTGAACATAATGAGAGAGAGAGAGAGAGAGAGAGAGAGAGAGAGAGAGAAAGAGAGAGGGAGAGTTATACGCCGACGTCGTTCTTGTGAAAGCTCACGTGGTGCGTGCTCGTTTTCTCATCGTTAAGGAAGCGCATCGCGGTCCATTTTGCGGCTCGCAACTACTCATTGTACACGAGGGTTTCGTGGGGCACTTGGCTTCAGATTTCTCGCGTGATATAAATGTGAGAAGCACCCTGGAAGGGTAAATGCAAATTAATCCCACGATAAAAGTCGTAAGACGCAGTAGATCCGCAATGACGAAGTGCTCGTCGTCTAGACCACGGGATAAAATATATATATATATATATATATATATATATATATATATATATTTCCTAGTTATGTAATGTTACTCGATAATCAAGGGAAGAAAGTGTGGTCAATCGACGAAATTGGTTTGCTCAATGATCGCGGATGAATCGTGTTTACGTTCGTCGGGACGAGGGGTAGAGAAAGGGGATATGCGTGAAACGATTCTCGTTCAGCTTCTTTGACGTTTCCACGTCGTTAAATGCTCTCTTCTCTGATCGAATAATACGTAAACGCTAACGAAACGCTAGCGAGAAATTGCGTTTTTATCGACTCGCTCGATTCTACAGCCGCGTTTCGCGGCCTGTACACGCCTTTGTAGGCGAAACTGGGTTAGATCGTCAGCAGGAGAGAGTAGGCCTCACATCGATCCCGGATTTGAATTCAACGTTGAAATTATTCTAGCCCCCGATGCGCGGATTATTCATGCCCTGGGACCTTTAGTCGCGGTGACGTCGCGGTGAATCGTGTTCCGCCGAAAGGACGACGATATAACGTTCGACGTTCGCACGAAAATTAATCGACGGCCCGACCTCTCATCCGGGTTCGGTAATGGGTCCCCTTCGAAAATTTGTCGCGCGCGTGCGATGAAATTTATCGCCATCAACGCCACCGGGGAGACACGTGATCGTTCATAAATTAATTCGTCTCGTGATATGACACTTTCGCGTTATTCATAGATAATGACAAATCATAATGAATATGAAGAGATGAGATGAAACTTATGTAATTATTAAAATCTGATATTTTTGATATCTTTTAACGTTCTGAGATTCCAAGTATTTATTAAATAATAGTGTAAAGAAAAAAACAACAATATATATGGCGTTATTTATGCTATTTCTGTTAATACATTAATTAGCATCGATTTTATTATAAATATATATTTATTAAAATATTTTGTTTATTAAAATGTTTATTAAAATATTAAATTTATATTGATATAGCCTTTTTATTATAAAATATTTGATTAAAATTTCTAATTCTCTTAATTTATTCATTGTGATTATTTCTTTCAACGTGAGTTATCCATTTTTTCAATTAAATGAATTTTTTTAATTATTTGGTGATGAGAGATTTTTGTTCTAGAATCTAAATAAATCTTTTTAGTTATTATGTTTTTTTAAACTGTGCAACAAATATAGCGATTGTGAGGGTATGAATTACAGGGCGTGAGTAATTTGTTGTCGAATCGATGGTTGGCCTACATAAAGCAAGCGTTTTACCACTTTTGACAGCGTCCTAAATAATATAGAAAAAAATTTACAAAAATTTACAAACGCAATTGATGGAAAATTGTTTTTATATAATTTATATATATATTAATATTAATATTATATATATTATATATATTAATATTAATTTTATTATATATAAATATTATATATATTAATATTATTTATATTAATATTAAATCAATTTTTTTTCGTATGACATCTATCAAAATTCTTCCGTATAAATAAAATGATATAATTACAATATGTTAAGTATCGATAACAGTGTCGCGTGCTTTTGTAAACAATTTTAACGATTAAATAATATAGATAATTAAAAATTTCGCCAATATATTAATATTAATCGAGCAACAATCACATTAGAAGCGTATTGTTTTCCTTTCATTAAATTTATCTTATGACAACAAATTTGATTTTGATTGACATAATTTGTGCGCATAATAGATTATTATAAAATTTCATTAATTATGGTGCATGTTTAGTATTTCGAATTTTTTTTTCGAGACATGTGAAATTTATCATGCAGAATTTTTACGTTGTCAACGATCACGCGGTTAAAATCCGAAACTCGTCAGTTATATTATCGACGCACGTTCGGTGAAATGTGCAATATTATTTCATTCACATCTCCCGAAAAAGCTCGGTGCGGTTAAAATGCATCACCGCGTTATGTACACGTTAACGAATTTACTATGCGCGAGAGAGAAAGTCGAGAGTGAATTATTAGCGGGTTACACAGTCGCTCGTTTTTCTCAATATAACAATAAATATTTCAACTATAATCACTGAAGTTTCGTAAAAGCAACGATATTAAACAGCGGTTTTATCGTGCGTCAGATTTGTTTGCAAAGGGAACTTTGGGCGACGGATATTAAGGTCATATATCGTCAATGTAATAAAAAAGATTTTGTTTATCTGTAAAAATTCCGCTTTGTAACAACACACGTACGTTACATATATATTATATATATTACAATTTATACAAGGAAATTGTTGCTGCGAGCAAAATATTATAAATTTCGTTATCTATTGCACGAGATGTATGTGAAATTATAAATAGCATACATTAATATGGGATACATTTTCTAAAATAGAAGCTGTAAAATTATTATAATTAAATAAATTATTGAATGAGCGTAGTCTCTCTTTGCTTTCTATAGTTTTTATAGTTAGTGAGGGACACTTTATGGAAAGTTTTACAAAAATTCCTAGGAAAATATATATTAACATATTAAAAAAAATTGGAGTGAGCAAAATGAAATCACGAGTAACTGGCGCTTTTGAAGTGTCTTCTCGCTTTTGATTTGACTCTGATTTGCATCTCAAAAGACGAAGTGGGAATTGTTTCAGATTGGAGTTGTAGAGGCTCAAAGCTTTCGTACGTTTTTCTAGCGCTCCCATTGTTCGCGTAAAATGTATCTAGAACTCACGGTGCTATCGAATCCAGACAATTGGATCGTCGGCTGGATCGGCTGTTTTATTACGATGCGATTGTTTAATCCTAAAACAAATGTTTCGCAAGAGGGTCAATATCGTTAACCAAGCGACCGTACGTTATATAGTTGCAACAATGGAGATTAGTATCCCCGATAGTTTGTACTTTGCAATCGACCCGGTTGTCGCCGTCGCCGTCATGTTTTGCGCTTTGTTCGTTCGATAAAGACGAGACAAATTTCATCGCCGAATAAGATAGTGTTATGAATAAAATTGCATTATATTCAGATTGATATCAAAATTTTTTACGAAAT